TCATGGCGAAGCAACACAGGGCCCCAGTTGCCGAGTCAAGGGCCCTCTGTGCGTTGGTGTCTCGCTGCTCGTTATCATAGCATTCATGCCACAGAATCACCGGCAGATACGAAAAGAGATAAGCCTAATGCATTACCCCGCGGTTCTAGACGCAATCTCGCGTATTCTGTCCTTCATTAGGTTAAGGATACCACGGTTAAGGTTTCCGATTATCAGCGGTTAGCAACTCCGAGCGCTATCTCCCCGCAATTCTCGGAATAGCTAACCGTTAGCCATGTGAGCCACTAACACGCAAACCAAAGTGATATCTATCACTGGGAATTGTGGAATGGAGCCCCTCCCCATCTGCCATCTGGAAGATATAAGTAGTGGTGGATAAGAAAGGAGCATTGTGTAGCCATCATCCCACGCAATCGTACTGTCGCGTCATTGAACAACAAGTGCTACGACTTTCGTCCCATTGACCTTCAATTCTATTCCCCTGCTCCAATTCACATCCTACAAAGGCCTGGAGCGTACTACCATTCCACTGTCAACATGGAGACTTTGCCAGAACCAGTTCTGTACCACTTGAAGCCAACCAAACTGATCCCTAATTCACCCAAACCACTGCTCCATTACAAGAACGCTTTTGTCAAAGATGGTCAAGTCGATCGTACCAAAGCATTCGATACTTTTTGCGGCAATGAGTGGGACGTACAATGGGTCGTTAGATATGGTCAAAATCAGCGATCCCATTATCATTCCCAGTCCCATGAAGTTATGGTAGTTGTCTCCGGCCCTGGCCGTATCCGCTGGGGTGTTGCAGACTTAAGCGATGACCCACAAGAGCATACTTCTGGAACAGCCTATGAAGACGGCGGACTGGAGCTCGAGGTCAACGTGGGAGATCTTTTTGTCATCCCAGCAGGCGTTGCACACAAGTCATACGATCCATCCGCTAACACGGCATCTTTTGGTTGTATGACTGGAGACGCTCGTGGTATTGCTGCCGACAACCCGAGGATTGCTGTTGCAGAGGTGCCACTTGAGGGATTCTGTATGATGGGGGCTTATCCGAGGGGGTTTTCATGGACATGGGATGAGGGAGGCGATAGTGCAGACGACTTCAAAGCAGTATGGGACGTCAAGAATCCTGCCGCTGATCCATTCACTGGAGATAAAGGTGGTATTAACCAGTACTGGAAGGTACAGTGAGAGCCTAAGAAAGGGACGATTGTCGTGACTTTACATAGTTACACCAAACTTCATAACCACCTAAGCGAGGTTATAAATAAGAGGTTCTATTTAATTAGTCTATCTTATTGTGATGGTGCTTTGTAACGGCATCGAAAAAGACTACAAATGCAAAAAGAAGGATGTTTCAGAGTTATACTATGGTAAGACACGAGAATGGCAAAAGAAAGGGTCTGGCCGGGGATTGAACCCGGGACCTCTCGCAAGCTGAGCTGTAGGGTTTTCCCTAAGCGAGAATCATACCACTAGACCACCAGACCAGGAAGGAAATAGCACGTGATGTGGTTAAGATTTCGGCTCCAGGATAATGTTTATATTCATCGTCAATGAGAACTGCATACTCTCCAACTCTTTATATATTGCGGACTTAACTTCATTATCATATAGGTGATTGAGTTCCATGGCTGTAATAAAGCTCAAGCAGATTATAGACAGTAGTATCTATGTTAACCTAGGTTACCTAGTAGACATCTCTTAAGTTTAAAGTCTATTACGGATTGCTCACACTATTAACCCTTGCTGGGCAATAAAGTCATGTCTCCCGCATTGCCTATCATGACCTAGATATTACAGGTCTCGGGGCTCGACTGTCTTTTGAACCGTTGATAGGGAGACAAAAAAGAAGGTCAACTGTGAGACTCATTGTAGTAAAACAGGTCTAGCTACAGGCGAAGTTGTCAAACTGGTCTACAATCTCTATGAACAAGGCTCACTGCCTTATATCTTCTTTCAATATCTGGCCAGGGCCTCCTATATCACGATTTACGGTTCATTGTCTTTATTCTGTGGTAAAGTAAAGTTCTATACAGGAGTGCATTTTACAGAACCAAGCAAGTCTCCCTATCTCTTATATCAACAAGCAGGTCACCGCATTTTGGACCCAGTGCAGATAAATGCATCAGAGACGAATAAAACAAATCTCCTAGATATTTAAGTTAGGGGTTGAACCCAAGTAAAAGAAACTGAATATTCTAAATTTAAATAGTTCCGAGCCTGTAGATGAACAGATGTACCGATGATGTGCTGTCTCTTAGACAGCGTCTGTAGTAAAGAACCCCTAAGGGTGGATTTTGAGTGACATTTCACAATATGATTGACCAAGAGTGCTTCTCACATGCTGCCCGAGGAGGCCTTGCTGTCGACCAGGGCGCTTGTGGCATTGTCAGTCGAAGCAAGCACTTACCCAAAGCAGCAGCAAGCATGCCCCCCTTACCTGTCGAATTCTATAAAAAGGAACGCTTACTCTTCGAAACCTCTACTGCATCAAGGGTTACCCAGTCCTTGAATGGTTTCCTTCCTCCTAGCACTGCACCCATGTCGTAGGTGATCTGCATCTGAGCGACTTATGAGTGGTGAACGGCCGTTAGGCCCTTAGCTGGTCACTTCAACTGTAATACTTACTGAGTGGAACTTTTGTTGTAAGTCAACTGCCGAGCTCTAAATTTAATAACCTGTTATCACGGAGTACATTTAGCGACCAAATGATCCTGCAGGGCTCAGTAGAAGGAGCATCACCCTTGGCCGTCCAATGTATCTCCGACGTTCTTTATGGCGCCTGTGAGACCGCAAATCTCCCAGGCGGCTTGTATTAATCTCACTAAGAGCCCAAGGTGGCCGCCGTGATCGCTTAGACGCAGTAACAACATTCAGACTTTACATTTTACTTTCAAACATCAGGGCGACGTCAGCCATGAGAGGCCAGGACCAACGAGTTTCAGGAAGCCGTCCGTTGGAGCCGGTTTCCAGAAATCCCGAAAATTCTGGAGATCAGCAATGTTGACAGTTGGACAAACCCTAATTCCTCGTATAGACTGTAGAAGATAAAGACCCATCTTTGGGGTCATGATAAGCTACCCAATAGTTGGCTCCGGCCATGATATACCCCTTACCGTAGTCGTTTTGCTGACGTTAACGAGGATAATGCTTCTCTAAACGAGACCGTTTCCTGCACCAGACTATTCTGGTTGTAGTCTGTCGGATAGGCGGGCGGACCTCCGAAATCAACCCCGGCATCCCGCTCGGTAACCCCACAAGTCAGCCGCACTCCGGGGCACCTTCGGTATCTTCGTAGCCCAATGCCACGGTTTGGATGGCGCGGATGGGTTGATTAGAGTTGAAGTCGCTTAGGAGCTGAAGCTTAATTATGCGCCTTGCCTCGTAAAATGGCGTGGTTTCATGTTGCTGTTGGTTAGTTGCTTGTCACACTACTGATTGTCACGATAGGTGACACTCAGAATGACAGATGCTCCAGTACTTCGATACTCATTCCTTGAACTCCTCTTGCTGATCCCTGATTTTTCTTTCTTTTCAAGATGTCCTTTTACTTTTTCATGGCCAAAGTATTGAGAGCCGACGAACTCACGACTAAGTTTATGGTCAATCTTTATCATGTCAATCACTTTAGTGTAATTGGTAGAGGATTAGCGGTGTCTCTAAACTGGCATAGCGTTGTGGCCTGAAATGGGCAATGCTCCCGGGACTAGCTGCACGAACATCATCCTCTCTTATGAGATAACTGGCTCACGTCCAGGGTCCAGGGCGTTGGGGATACTACTGTGCCGAGTTCCGTACTTGATGCTTCTTCGTTATGCATATTTGTGGCTGATGGCACATGTCACCTCAAAGGAGTTTCACTTCGGTCTGTAAGGCTTGACTTGCTGGTTACTTGCCAGGACCCTTAGACATAACGTCATGTTACCTGGTCCCAGTCAGAAATTCATTCCATCGGGCTTCTAGAAGGAGGTTCTGTATCACTTTTGGTTAACAATTTCAGTCTTCTGCATATGTCATTGATGTATGGATCTTGGAGCGGGCATGATACTCCATGGACTTTCCGTGTGATGTCTAATATCGCCCCATCCGAGCGTTTCTCGGCAGTTGGGCTTCATAGGGCGGACAGTATTCCCCAGACGTATTACTAGTCGTTGAATTTACAAAGGTCCCGCGGGACCCTAGTGTTTTGCTTCTTCCCAGGTTCCCGGTTATGAGATGTTCCAGACCTTGTAGGGGTCCATTACGAGCTTGGTTAAAGTTTCTATACATCAACAGCCACAGCCTCCAATAAGATCAGTTACCAAGGGTCATGGTAGTCAAGCGACTAAAATAACGGCCCGATTATGCAACATTGGGTGTAAGTCAACAGAGCCTCCTGGGGGGTGAAAGAATAAGGGAACCCTCCACTTTGTAGGGCAACAGGCTTTTATGGGACATAGTCCCATATACTCATTGCCATCAAAGAAGCTCAGTAGACTTCCAGTCTAAACAGCATTCGACTACGTACTATGTGAAGCGGCGATAGAAGATATAAAACCCTCGAACTGATAGATTTGATAAACTATACCAACGAACGCAGTTGTCTCTGGGCTCGATCGAGTCCCATATATCTTAGCCTGTTCTCATCTCCTCAACGTGGTATATGAAAGGGGACTCTACAAGCCGTACCTTGATTAGGCCACTGGAGCTAAGGCTTCCAACCCTCCTAGGTGTTGGTCGAAATTGTACTACGAGCGTAGTGCCCATTTGAATCTCATGATCCTCTTAGCCAGAACTTTCAAGCATCAGGGTTTGTGAGTCCTCGTATAGATGGACCAAGTTCTTTCATCTGCCGGTATTTTCCTGTCTTTGTGAGCAGAATTTGCAGTATATATATCCCGCATTCATCTCTTGACGAGAGATGAAAAGCCATTCTTCTCTCTTTCACTCAGCAGCCTCTTCATATTGCAAGAAGACAACACTCCTTCACCTATCAGCCTTATTCAGTCAGGATGAAGTTCTCTATCATTACATTATCCCTCATCACTCTCGCTTCTGCAGCTCCTGCAGCCAAGCCTCAGAGCGGTGAGATCTCATATGGTGCCCTCAACCGCGACCATATTCCTTGCTCAGTCAAGGGCGCGTCGGCCGCAAACTGCCGCCCTGGTGCTGAAGCCAACCCCTATAACCGGGGCTGCAACGCCATTGAAAAGTGCCGTGGTGGTGTTGGTGACAACGTAAGTTCAACAGACGAGTTTCCTCGTGTGCAACATCGATTAACTGTTTATTCAGTAAGAGAGGATCCATCAAGTTCGGTTAGTGGAATGGCTTGGTAACCGAATTGTAAGGGGGCTGCCGAGTTATGATAGAATCTAGGTTTTTATCCGACCGAATAACAACCTGGAACGGTTTTCCTACTTCATAGTCCCATGGATCTCTTTTTTTCATTAGCATAAGATTATATATCCTATTCTATATCCATGTACTGAAACATCATCATGTGAATGTCGCCTATTTCTATTCCCTATGTTGAGGTTCCTCCCGTGACTGCACTTACGCCAACCATGGAGAGCTAGAGTTATGAACTCGATTTGATTGAGGAAAGGATCTTGACATGATGCCGCTTCGGATACACATGTTGGCATTTACATAGTATGATAGTCTGCCGTGCTTTTTGTTGGCTGTTTTCAGCAAGACCCTTTCTTTTGCGTTCTATGATAAAACAGAAAAGATTTATTATTGCTAGCGTTTGCCTGGACATGTTTCATGCGTGGCTTCACTCTATCTTATGGTCAGAGGATGAAAGAGTCTACCATCACCCTGCCAAGTTTCAGCAGCTTAACTTCATCGTGATCCATCCTTCCCTCGCACATTTGCACAACACCCAATTCAGTTGCATTGCGGTGCTTGACGGTAATAGTCGCGTCGACATACGTAGACTTCCTGATACCCAAGAGAAACACTGGGCGAAAATGTCTTGATTACAAGTTTGTTTCCATAGTGTTTAGACATGCTATATGCTTCTTACCAAGTTCTATATCCGTATAGTGAATATAAGCTCAGTCACAGGTTCGCTATAATTAATGATTATAATATGTGCTATCAGTCTTTCTCCATGACTATTAGGTAATATGCTTAAACGAATTCTAGTTTATAGATGGTTCGGAGCTTGTTGCTCTCTATCTTTACAGGGCGTACGATGAGGTTGATGATCTTGGCCCGATCTGTCTACAGATTTGTTATCGATTTTCTCATCACCAAGATAATAGTACGGAACGAGAGGGCAATTATGAGCTCACGATACGAACATCATGACATCTTAGCACTCAAAAATGACGTTGGAACATAAAGATCAATGGTGACTTCAGGGTAATAGTGGCATAGATTATCCACCTCCCTAATTAGCCTTATGCCTTATCACAGCTACCGCCTGCTTGGGTAGGATTGGAATAGATAACGACAGCCTTATCTTGGCAGACAGCCGGTGTGAGATTGGAGAGAGATTGGAGAGCCAATCAGTGGAACACTGTGCTGATCGGACTCAGCCGATTGGTAGATTGTGATCCTCGCTCCTTAATTAAGGAATCGCCGTCCGCGGTTTTCCGCCCCACTTAAGTAAAATAAGAAGCACGTCAGCAAATGCATCATCCCAAAGTCAAAATGCGCGCCGTTTCCCGGCGCCAAATTTTCGCAATCTTTGTTTGCTAGTTTACTTACTCCTTATTACGTGTTTTGACGATTCTGCCTGAGCTGCGTAAAGCAGCCAGGTCACTCTTGCAAGTATGGCGTCTGTACATATCGTCTGTCTTTATATCATTGCTTCTTTCACTGTTGGCGTCTTATCAGCGACTTCTCACGAATCTGACGTGATCATCTATGGCAACACAGTTGCCGCGCTGGCAGCTGCCATTCAAACGGTTCGTATGAACAGAACCGCCACTTTAGTCTTTCCGACATCACGAATCGGCGGTCTTACTACTTCGGGATTGGGCTGGACCGACTCAAAGGAAGGAAACACCATTGGTGGAATTGCCAGGGAGTTTTACGGCAAAGTGTACGAATATTACGACAACGACGACGCATGGACTCGTGAAACACGAGATGACTATCTCGCAAAGCATATCGAGGCGCAGCCTGGACCAGCCATCGGCGACAAGGTTCAATGGACCTTTGAGCCCAAAGTAGCAGAGGAGATCTTGGAGAAATGGATCAAGGATGAGGGAATTCCTGTCTTTCGGAACGAGTCCATCCTTCGTACTAGCAGCGGCGTGAAGAAGGATGGAACCATCATCAAATCCTTCCAAACGCGGTCCGGGTCAACTTTCTCAGGAAAGATGTTCATTGATGCCGGCTATGAGGGTGACCTCATGGAAACAGCAGGCATCTCATATCGCGTAGGACGCGAAGACAAGCAGGAGTTTGACGAGTCTGCAGCAGGTATTCACTTTAACGAGCCGAGGCGACTTGCTGCTATTGACCCATACAACGACCCTGATGACCCTGACAGCGGTCTGCTCCCCGGGGTTGGTCGCGTGATCACCAAGTTCGCAGCTGAAGAGTCGCGTGGCAAGAAAGATCATCGTCTTCAAGCCTTCAACTACCGATTATCTTTAACGACAGAGGATGACAACAAGGTGGAATTCTTCAAACCAGATGGCTACAATGAATCTCACTACAAGATCTTGATCCGATACATCAAGACTGGCTACCTAGGGCCGTTCTTCACGACACAACTCATGCCGAATCTTAAAACCGACACCAATGCAGCAGGTCAAATCAGTACCGATCTGATAGGTGGAAGTTACAACAAGACGTCCAATTATGCTGAGTATTCGTACGAGGAGCGGGAGGCTGCTGCGAAAAGGCACAAGATCTGGGCGCAAGGACTTCTCTGGACATTGGCGAACCACAAAGATGTCCCAGACTTTGTTCGTGAGAACACAAGTGCTTGGGGCTACGCGAAGGATGAGTGGACTGACAACGGCAACTGGCCATACGAGATATACATTCGCGAGGCTCGACGGATGGACGGCGTGTATACGATGACACAGGCCGACATTCAGCACCCGAAACCGTATGACAACGACACTGTCGTTGCAGTCGGGTACTATACGCTCGATGTTCATCAAGTAGAACGTGTTGTTATCAACGACCGCATACATGACGAAGGTCTCATTCACGTTCCCAATCCCGGGCCTTTCAGCGTCCCTTATGGGTCTATCGTTCCCAGAAAGGAGGACGCCACCAACTTTGTCAACCCTGTTACAATGAGCGCCACGCATATTGCTCTGTCTGCAATTCGTATGGAGCCTGTCTATATGATCATGGGGCAGAGTGCGGGAGCAGCGGCTGTTTTGGCCATCGAGGATAATGTCGCTGTGCAGGATGTTGATCGAAAGAAGCTTAAAGGAAGGCTAAAGGATCATGCACAGGTCTTGGAGTCCTTCTCTATAACATTGCAGCCGAGTCGACATTGGCTTGTAGCCTGTTTCATTTCTTGTCTTTTTTATATCATATCATAGCAATAGAGGTATATAGAATGAGAGGGTATGAGTTGCGAGATTCAATCCCTGATCTCTCCTACTGAGTCAACTTTCAGTGTTTTCAGTGTGCTTGCTCATTCTCGACAGGCTTTCTCCAGATCGTCAGTGGTGACGAGTCTGTATTGGACAAGAACTTTGAGCTTCCGGCACTGTTGAGATATATCAAAGAGTGGAGTGCGACTGACTTCCAAGAAGCTTTGCCAACCGAGCTGTAGAGATGTCAAGTTGGAGGAAAGGTATTGAAGAGAACCTTGGAGTAGCCAACCGGATGGGCCATCCAGGCCTAGGGTCTGGAGCTGTTTCAATGATTGTTCGACATGAGTATGATCCGAGATCCAATCAGATAGATGTTTCTGCGCGTCAGCCACTACTATTCTGTTCAGATGGTCACCGTTGTGCCCCCTCAAGCCGGTGAAGTAATGAAGTGACTTAATACGGGCACAGGTGGCGAGTATAAACTGTAATCCCTCAAGCTGATCGGTGAAAACCGTTCCTGGATTTCCGCCGCCAGTACCCACGAACAGAAACTCAATATTAGGGCATCAGGTGATGATACCTATTACCGGCTCACTGTTTTCCACTTGGCAATTCCAGTCGAACAGTAGGGACCGTACAAGACTCGCACGAATCGTCCTGATTCTGAGGCTGAACAAGAATTTCCACTGTTTGTAGTAGCCTTTAAGGACTCCGGCATTCTTTTAAATGAAATCCTCAGACAATTTGTGTAGAGTTTTGCATGAGCATGAGAACGCAACCAATGTCTGCTCTCTAGATCGGGATTGTTGACGAAAGGTACTGACGTGCCCAACAATCATTCGGTAAAGCTCAGTCGGCAACTTGACGGAGTGCTGGGATTCGCGAGGCGACGCAGAGGTAATTCTGCTGCTGTCAGCTGCCGGGGCTTGAATTGTGATGCCCACATTCTGAAGGAATGCTGTTGCTGCTTGGGCCCGTCGCTGGGCATCTTTATCGTCGGGGTTTCGGCTTGCGATGAAATTGGTTAATCGTGCGATGGTCGCCAGATTGTCTTCAGCTTTCTCTTTGGATTTTGATGTCCACATGATGCCAAATGATAGTCAAACAAGTGTTTGACCACGTTTGTTAATTGAGATAAGTTGACGCGGCCGAAACACAACAACTGAAGCGTGACGGCCACACAAGCACCACGTGACTAGGCTACACAAGATGTTGGCTGGTCGCCGTCCTGATTTACATAATTTCATAAGACGCATGAGAATCTTTGCATGAAATTGCGTCATCTGATGGGAAGAAGGGAGGCCATGGACCGATGCACATGGATACAAACAAGTGGGATTAATATATTCTGAGGAGTCATCGTATTAGAACAGTTATTCAACATGAACTCCCTCGCGCATCACTATTATAAACAACTCCCTTTCTATGAAGAGTTGGAATTATCAGTACACGACCAGGCGCCTGACCCTCCAGCAGCTTTATATGCCTGGATAATATCGACGATTGATCCATAAGTACCAGCGACCATTAACAAGGTGCCGGAAGCAATAACGAACAAACTCCATCCACAAGCTGATAGCCACTTGGGCGAAATAGCGCGCTTCTCCCAATTGTCGTAGAACCACATGAAGCCCATGGTCTGGAAACACATGAGAGTACCGACGAGCGCTCCAATCAAGGAGATAAGGCTGTAGAAGATAGGAATGGCACTCGCGATGATGTAGGCAATGGTTGACACGATGAATGTGCAACCTAACCACGTGCTCCAATGAACCGCGGAGTTAGAAGCCAGGTGCTTTGTGTTTCTCAACAGTCGAACAAACATATACTTGCTGGGAAGCTGTATCTCGTTAGCAACATAAAAGCACGGGAGGGCATGAGCCATACATGAGTGACAAGAGTGATCGAGACGATCAACCCTGGAATAGCGACGCCATAACTGGCCTTCTTTATGGTATCACCAGCCGAGCCAAGAGCGGGCGAGGATACATATGATCCGCAGAAGTAGTACATCAGGCAACCGATCGTAAGGTAGGTCACGGTCACGATGGCCTGACAGATGGTCAAAGCTCTGGTGTATTGTTCGGGTCGTCGCATCTCAGCAACAATGGCGAAAAAGCCTGGAGTGCCGCCGTATGCTGAGATGAGGGAGCAGATTGCTGAAGCGGCTTGGACGAAGGAGGGTTTGTTGAAGAGCTTGTAGTCCGAGACCCAGACGCCTTCTTGAGGGGCTGCTGCTGGTCGCTCTTGGACACCTGTAGCGATGGTGACCATGATCACTATAGACATTAGCTATTAATCTCAATGTTCGATGTGGAACTCACCGGAGATCATAATGCTGATGACACCAATCCATGCTAGCCAGCTCATGCGAGCAAGGGTTCTGATGCTCGAGAGACCAAAGCCCAGCACTGCAGCGACGGCGACGAAGACAGCAGTACAGGCTCCATGGCTAGACACAGCATTGAGGCCAATGGAAAGACTGAGCATGCCAGCGCCGGATACAAAGACCCAATCTATCAAGTTAGCATTTCCTCATTCAAGTCTGGCATCATAACTTACAAATCCACATAGCAAACCCAAAGAACTCCTTGCCTACGACTCCAAACATCATTTCTCCTGCATCATCGATTGCATAAACATGGCGATGTCGTAGCTTGAAGAGTCCCACGATCCAATTGGACCAAGTCGTTATGATCGCAACAGCTAGCAGGCAGATGATGCCGGGGATCATGCCAAGCACGTTGAATGTCGCTGGAATCGAGAGGACGCCGAGACCGATTTGTGTTTTCATCATCAACCCAGCGGTACCGATGAGTCCGACCTGAAAAACTCATCAATTCTGTGAATCATGCCATTTTTCGTCGCAAATTCTGCTTACACTTCTGTAGTCAGGACCCTCATCCGAAATCTCACCGAAAACTGCATCGTGATGCAACGAAGCTTCATTGTCCGGCTTATTCAACTGCGAAGGAGTAAGAGCCAAGTCATTACCCTGCTCCGCAGTCGAATTGATGTTATAACTATTCATGATGATGTGTTGCTTGAAGCAGGGATCCGCAAATTAAAAAGAACAGCAGCCGGACAGGTCTTTATACGTAAAACTTTGACTCATGCTCCATACTCAGCCCACTCTCGCCCCCAGACCCAGTATTGAGAAACCGGCCCCGGGCATCGGGAGCGCATCTGCCGAGCAAGGAGATAACCAATTATGCAAGCTGTGATGAGTGAGCATCCGGGGTTCCCCAGATATTACCCCGCGGACGGAAGTAGGGAAATTTCCTGATCGAAGGAATCTAATCATTCCCAGAGGTTGAGAGGGTGAAAATTTGGTGATAACGTTCCGTACCCACTGCGGAAGTGGTAGGGCCAATCGCTTTCCACGCGCTGGAGCGACTTCGGTGGATTGGCCAATGGGGTTGGCACAGACCCTGACGTGGTGGTTAGAAAAGGGCGTTGTGTGATACGCCTTATTACATAAATTCCGAGACCGTGCATACAACCCCGATCTTCGGTCCTTTCTGGTGAACTCAAGTTGCAGATAGGAAACTTATTGAATCTTTCCGGTATTAGATAAAGATGCAAATGTTCCATTATGCAGTTTGAGAGATATCGTGTTTGATACTGATTGGTTTCGCTTATCCAAGCCCCGAGCTGAAACAATTCACTTTGAATGATAGGAGATTCGAAGACGTTACCGTTAGCAAATCGAAGTTTTGAGTTTTGACCTCTTAGGAAATGATTCACACTAAGAGACCCTGTTGGCGTTTCGTAGCTCTCAGCCATGCAACGCATCTAACTTCCGTCCCGTCCATCCGTCGATCCGCAAACGGCACGGAAGTCTATCTTCACCTCATGTGTATTAACATGTTGCAGTTCTTATACAATCTGATGCTCGCCTATACTTGACAACCCCTTACCCGACTCCCGATATGTTTTATTGCGCTGAACGCGTGTTGGCGACGGCTATGGGGAGTCTTATAATTTCCTGATCAGGTATGAATTAAGAGATTGTCGGCAAGTCAAAGGATGAGGCCGATATTGCCTGAGTCTATCCGATCGTGTTACTGATTCTCTTTCCCGATACTCAGACATATCCGATATTACCTTTCTAAATTTCGTGATAGGAATCATTGGAATTACGTGGCCATCCCTTTTTCCCCCATCCGCATACCACTAGTGTTGCACGGTGAAATGACTACCTCAACTATGGGACAACAAACACAAGTCGCGTAACCGACTCCATAAGCGCGATGTATCCGAGATACAACTGAAGAACACAAGACCCAAGATATCTCCCTTTTTTGTTTTCTCTTTGCTTGTTGCTTGACATATTGACTCTGAGTCTGTAGATATGGTTGGGTTCTCTTGTCATATCTAATCTTATCTCGTCTTATCTTATCAGCCAGCCAGCTTTTATCATCGACTACCCTGAACCCCAGGAGCTGAAAACTTAAGCTTCGTACCAAGGATCCTCCCATGCTTGTGCTGGACCAGTTGGGTAGGATGCCCAAGCCAATTGAGCTAGGCGTGCCTCACCGCTCATGTACGTAAGGATTGCTAATTGCTCTTGTAATTGTAGAACGTTGCACTAAATACTTGCTAATCAGTGTAGTGCAATACCTCCAACTTTTCACGATCGCACCAATTGACACGGCAGGCATGTTCTCAGCTGTTCACGATTTCTAATCAATGCTGCACAATGTCTCCAGTCTATTCGATCGTTAGTCTATGCGGTGCAATGCTCTCACATATTTAATCCCGCGTTGCTCTCTTAAATTTGAAGCTTTATCCCAGGCTGTTAAGTGGAACTCAACTGCACATCTGACCATATGGCTTCATCATCCTCAACGCAAACTGGCAAAGCCAGCACGAGAGAGGACTTGTTGTCCGTTCTGAGAGGCCAAAGCCTTAGAGTCTCGGACTTGGCTCTGATGCATGCCGGATGGCCGAAAGACATGAATCCGCACGTGGAGGCCATAGACGTTAAGATCCTCCAGATGATTGAAACGTCAGAAAATATTCCCCAAGGAACACCGATAAGAATACTAACATATCTGTCAGACATGCTGTCAACGAAACGGTACGCTCGCGTCTGACCAAAGCTAACCTGTCGGAGCAACTGGCGGGCTGGTACCCGTACGCCTCCCGCGAAAAGCTAGAGGTCTTGACATCCTTTCAAGTCTGGATGTTTATCATCGACGACCTTCTCGATCAATATTCCATCGTCGAGCAGTTCGATTACAATAAGCTGCAGGCCCTACTGGATGACTGCGAAGACTATGTCGAGAAAAGCCTTGGTGTATCAAGCCAGGAGGTAGAGCCGTCGACTCATTATCTAGACCACGATGCTGTACTGTCATTTGAGGAGTACGCCTCAACCGTTCGTCGTATTTACAGGGACAATCCGAGTTACCGAAAGCGCATAGCGAAAGAGGCTATTGCTACCCTGAGAGCATACCAAAAGGAAGCTTTTAATCGAAGAAATGCCCATCTTCCTTCTCTAGACGAATATCTCGGCTACCGGGATGCATCTTGTTGTATGAAGCAAGTGGTGGCCAACATCGAGTTCGCCAATGGACTTGACTTGCCTGAGTACGTCATGGAATCTAAGGAGATTCGCGATCTATACGAAGCGGCCGTCGCTGTTATGTGGATCACGAATGACATTGTGAGCGTGCGCAAAGAGATACGAGAAGGGTTCGTCGAGAACATCGTGGTGTTGTTGGCGCATGGCAATATGCAACGAGGACTTGATGCGTCGCTCGACAGGCTTCAAGTTGAGATCGATAGAGTGAACAAAGCTTCTGATGACGCTGCAAGTCGATTTGCCGGCGAGACTTTTGAGCGCGACATCGCCTTGCTGGCGAAGAACTGCAAGAATATGTGCCTGAGCAGTTGGTTTTGGAGGTAAGTCCCATTTGTATCCAATTCTAGTGCTGCAACTGACAAAGCAGCGTCAAAACCCCAAGATATTGTCTGCACGATATAGAACCGGATGCGAATGGGGGCTTTAACTTCACGATTGATCAAATTGCCGAGGGGACATCGTGAGTTCGTTGGGCCGTGATATTTCCGGGTTAACCATCACATTCAGTCGCTAAACAAGGAGTCCACTCTACGGAGTTGCTGATTTTTAACCAGTGTTGGTACTAGAAGAGTATAAAATGACACGTTTTGTATTCGCTGTGGCGCTGTGATATCCCCGTGAACCCTCCACGCCATGATATTCATTCCGTAACAATTCCACAATACCCTCCAATCCGGCCCGATACCGCCCTCTCTCGATCAATAAAATCAGATTAGATTAGATTGATTAAACAAGTTTTTTGCCTTTTAAAATTTTGCCTCACATCTTCTGCTTTACCTTTTGCCCTAGATAATCTGACTGACGTACGCGGTGGAGCTAACCGTGCCGTGTTTACCGTGAAAAAGACCCTCTTTGTTTTACGAGCCTCATTACTATTTGCCAAGCATCCCACTCAGCTTGCCGATCCTGCCGTTTTCTACAGGGACGCAACCAACAGAGTCGGAACCAACGGGGCGAGATGATCTTATCTGATGCGTTCTTTTCGTCGTTTGATCCACCGGTGTCGGAAGATTTATGCCGGGGGGCATACAGCATGTCATTTCTTTTTAATGTAACCCTTTTCCTCGTCAAGAATCTAAAAGTTCTTGAGCTTAATTCTCTCTTTCTAGCTTGAACCGCCAAAATGGGCTTCTGGAACAGGTCGAACAAGACCTCTGATGTCGATCTCCAAGACATCACGACGACTACAGACCACGAAAAGAATCCTCACCCTGAAGATGGACACCCAGCTGTTCCCGATGATGCCCTACCCGCTGAGGATGTCACTGAGGGTGTTAAGGACATGGAAGCCATCACCCTCGTATGGACCAAGTCATCTCTGATCTGCCTCTTCATCTTCATTTGGCTCGTTTACCTTCTCAATGCCTTCCAGAGCTCGACCGTCGGCAATTTGGTACCCTATGTCACCAGCGACTGGGGCTCGCACTCGCTTCTCAACACCATTGGTGTCGTCGCGAGCTCAATGACTGCCGCTGTCTTCATCCCGCTTGCCAAACTCCTTGATCTTTGGGGCAGAGCTGAGGGTTATCTTTTGATGGTGGGATTCTGTGAATTGGGCTTGATTCTGATGGCTACGGCCAAAGACCTGTCGACTTACTGTGCCGCGAACGTACGTAACAGAAATCACATGTCGCCTGTTGGAGCTAATGTAATTGCAGGTCTTTTACTCAGTCGGTTTCACAGGCCTGATCTACAGTATCGATGTTGTGACTGCCGATGCCACCAATTTAAAGAACCGAGCCTTGGCATATGCATTCACGTCGTCGCCCTACATGATCTCTGCTTTTGCCGGATCTTACGCTTCGGACAGAATGCTGGCTGATATCGGCTGGCCTTGGGGCTTCGGCATTTTTGCCTTCATCACGCCCGTTGTCTGTGCGCCCTTATATCTTCTTCTCAAGATCAACTTGCGCAAGGCCAAGAAGAATATCTTGCCAAGGAAGGCCAGTGGTCGCACGTTGAAGGAGAGCATCTGGCACTATGTGCTCGAGTTTGACGGTAAGTTCAACACGTAGTTCCAAGTCTCCCCAAAGCTAATTATTGTTGTCTTGTAGTCCTCGGAGTATTCCTCTTTGCCGCTGGCTTGGTCATCTTCCTCCTCCCTTTCACCATCGCTTCCACGGCACCCCACGGATGGTCAACTGGATACATCATTGCCATGATCATCGTTGGCTTCATCCTTCTTGTTGGTTTCGCCCTCAATGAAGTTTACTTTGCGCCAGTTCCGTTCCTCAAATTCCACTTCTTGACTGATCGAACCCTTGTTGGCGCTTGCCTCCTCGATCTTACTTATCAGATTTCGTATTACTGCTGGAACAACTACTTCACGTCCTTCCTTCAAGTTGTCAACTATCTGACAGTCGCAGAGGCCGGTTACGTTAACAACACCTTCAACGTTGTGTCCGGCTTCCTGTTGTTTATCGTGGGTTGGAGTATCCGTAGGACTGGATACTTCAAGTGGCTCCTCTGGGTCGGCGTGCCGCTTTATATCCTAGCCCAAGGCTTGATGATCTACTTCCGAAGCCCAACTGGCTATGTGGGATACTTGGTTATGTGCCAAGTTTTTATTTCTGTCGGCGGCAGTGTCTTCACAATTTGCATGCAACTCGCCGTTCTTGCCGCTGTCGATCATCAGCACGTTGCTGCGGCGTTGGCTATGTTGAACGTCACTGGCACAGCGGGTGGCAGTATCGGCGACACAATTTCTGGCGCCATCTGGACCAATACCTTTGAGAAAGCACTGAAGATGTATCTGCCCGCAAGTGCGCTTGAGAACCTCGAGGCTATCTACGGAGATCTTCCTACGCAATTGAGTTATGCTAAGGGCACACCAGAGCGCATCGCTATTCAGAAGGCATACGGATATGCGCAGACTCGAATGTTGGCAGCTGGAACGGCCATTATGGCATTATCATTTATCTGGGTCGCTCTTATCAGGAACTTGAAGGTCTCGGAGATGAGACAGACCAAGGGTAATGTTTTCTAGAAAGTCTGTTGCAAAAGGCCATATGTCATTGATGGACAGGGTAAAATGGTCGGAAAGACCGAAAGTCCAATACATCTCAAAAGCCAATTGAAAAGATTTTTGTTATGCCTAAATAACTGAAATGTCATCAAGATATGCATGGTCAATAAGCAAAAGCCTGGTTGGCCGATCTTCTCTTCTCCCTTGCCAGTACCATTTCCCTTCCACGTGCGACTATGCTAAAGTATTGTCCATATGCAAGAATGCATTGAACATGGTTAATGGAACTTCGGTCAAGTATTTCTTCTTGTAATAATTATGAGACCTTTCTATCTCGTTGTCTTCAGACAATTCCTTGCGTTGAAAGTGGCTGGCTGAGCAATCTGTCGCCCAAGCAAGGGATGACTAGACCGCGCCTAATATTGTTTTCGAACGGCCTTCCCACTACTTCGGGTCAAATGTCTCAGCCTTAGAATGACTCTAGACCCAGAGATCGCAATCGAGACCCTGAATTCGAACGATGGCGTCTGTCACTAAGGACCCCTTGCGATGTTGTCATTTCAACGGGCAGACCATATCGCCGCCACCAACATTTCGCATTGCTTAGTTGCACTCGGACCGTTGGCCCTGATCTTATATGTAGTAGGTGCCATTGCCAAAAAAGGATTGCCATTCGTTCGACCGCCGCCGTTTTCACGTCAGAATGAAGGGCCATATTGGAGCGTTTGCGCTGCTCAGCGGCATTGTCAGCGGTGGTGCTGCCGTTGATGCGAGAGACGTCCAGTATGCGGACCAAGACCCTGGGACGTGGTGCGTTACCTACCTTTCGACATACCTCGCCCCAGTATCAATTGCGACCGATCTCCCGCGCCCAGCTGAAAACACTACAGATGTCGGACTGATATTGACATCTACTGCTCAAGATCCAGATCTCGCTTCCTCGGCCGCTTCTAGCGCATCCACTTCAGCTACGCTTGAGCCAGCTGGACAGCGTATCATCCTTCTCATCAGCCCTTCTGGCGGTAACACAAAGCGCGATATCGGCGGTTTTGTCGGTGATGGAAATCCCGACATCTGTACCTTTGCTACTGTGTTCACTCTTGGCAACGGTCGGCTTTTCGAGGGTGGTGTTCCAGTTTCATACCTTGGTGATGGCTACCAGAAACTCCAAGCCTCATCCTCATCAAGTGATAATGCAATTTCGACAACTTTCAGCAGTGAGGGAGGGCTACTGCGCTTCCAAAATCTTTCGTTGCCCAATGGTGGAGCTTCATTCTGCCAGACCCCTTCTGATGGGCAGGTTTACATGACCTTCGCGTTCAGGCCATCTGGCTGCGTACCGGTGTCCCTGAAAGTGTATGGAGGTAAGTATTGATCACACCTTTACATTCCATTACTGACAATGGCGAATAGCCGAGCAATGCATTGACGGTAGACTCGATGGCCTGGGTCCTACAACATCATCCACCAAGCCTGATGAGACCATTTCAACACTTTCTACGGAAGAGGTATCTGCTGAGGCCTCTGCTATCGAGTCTTCAGTCACCTCTACATTTTCTACCGAAGAATCAAGAGTGTCCACAGGGTCATCATCATCCGAAGGTGCTATCAGCCAAGAGACAGAAGCACCCAGTGGCTCGTTGACTAATGAACCGACTGCAACACAATCTCGGGGAAACACAGTCGTCACAAATGCTATTTCCAACGGACGTTTCGCAATCAAGGACCCCAACTCGGAAAGTGGCATTTTTGGCTTTGATGCTGAAGGTGAAGCCAAGCAACGAAACGGCAACTGCTACAAGGCAGACGGAAGCTCCGATGATGGCTGCGTTGCATTGGGCTCTTCTTCCGACTCAAAGAAGCGAGCTTTTGGAGGACTAGCGAGTATCTCACAATTCCTTACCAACCTTGCTCCAAGCAGAACTGTTCTCTATACTGTTCAGTTCTATTACGTCGTCATCACTGCTGGAGGCAGCCAGGCGTGCAGCGTCAATGCCTACCTAGGCAATCGCCAGTTCTACACCATGGGTCTATTCACCAGTGGTGGTGTTGGCGTCTCTTGGAACAGAGTCCTCACTACTGTCATGGCTGACTCTCGAAGCGCCAGCTTTGGCATCTCCATGTCCTGCACAGGCAATGGTCTAGCACTGATCTACGTTGACTCGGTTTTTGTCTCCAACCAGGTGACACCTGACAACATCGATCAGTTCCAGCTGGACTTTGGAGATGGCAACAGCCCCCAAGAGACTACTAGTGGGCTCCCGTCCGCTCCAACAAGTGAACCGGCCAATTCAGTAACATCAATTGAGCCAGGGACCACTAACACAAACTCCCCTTCCGCTACCACGACAGGCTTCACCAGACCCGAGATTCCTTCTCAAGAGGTCTGTCCCGATGGCTACAGGCCTCCCGGCTTTTGTGGACAGAGGTCTCCACAGCCTTCAGAGCCATTCTGCAAGTACCGTTCCCAGCCCAATGCTGATGTTGTGGCGTATCCACTCTCACAATATCCCATGCAAGGCATGGATATCCAGAAGTGCGCGTTAACTTGTGCTTACATCGATGGATGTTTCGCATTTGCTGTGAACAACAACAAGAACTACCCCTGCAATTTCGTCCTTGAACCATTGAGGGTCTCTGGTTGGACCAGTGGAGATCCAGATCGTGTCCTAGAATGGTCTGAGTTAGCTTGCTTCAACTGTCAGCTCTGTAGTGACTCATCATCCCTCTCAACGTCGACCGCTGACTTTACTGACCCTCCGGCGCAATCGGAGACAACTGTCATCGCGGAACCATCGACTAGAGTTCCCCAGAACACTACTCATTGGCTACCTGACCCACAGACAAGCTCTGGAAGCTTAGAGCCTACACCAGGCACAAAGCCAACGAGCATCCGACCACCTCGACCGGAGACTAGCGTTGACGTTGGGCCAACTTTCATCGAAGGCACCACCACTTTCCCTGAAGCAACCCACACATCAGCTGAAGATCCTGTTCTGGATACATCAAGCGGCACGCTCGAAGACTCTACATCCTTCAGCGAAGATGCAACATCGACTACTCAAGATCCCACTTCAACCTCAGAAACTACCACTGCTTCTGAAACTCCAACGGAGACTTGCAAATACACTCACGGCGAGATGTGTAACTTTGATCGTTTCAACTACCCGAAAGACGTTCTCTGTTCATGGGGCGACAAGTTCACCAGCAGAAAATTCTGGTTGGAGACCCGCGAGTCCTATCCTCATCAAGACCGAGCCGAACAATGTATAGCCATCTGTCAAGGCCATCCACTCTGCTTGACTGCTGGATACTCACAATTCGAAAACCGATGCTACTTCTCTGAACTTCCCTTACTCAAGGAGAACTTCGTCACCGAAGATAACGACTGGAAGAAGCAAGTTTGGCTGGACACGCGCTGCTACACCGACTGCGAAGCGTGTGTCCCTGATTCTGTCCCCAAAGGTCCTCCCGATATGTGTGCATACACTTTGGGCGATGAGTGCAAGCCAGTCGCCAACCCTCCTGACGGCACTGTCTGCAATTACGATGCGTATATGGGAGGTGGATGGGTTGATGGAAATGATCCGAGCGTGATTAGTGTTTATACAGAGTACGCCCAGGCTAGTCCTCGGAGGTGTGCTGCTATCTGTCGAGCTTATCCAGGATGTAAGGGTTCTGGATATAAGGATGATCGGTGCAAGTTCTCGGTTTATAAGCTTGCTTTGACCGGTATGCCCATACCACTTGAGACGGACAAGGATCCTTCTATGAACTCTATCTGGGATGATCCTGCGTGTTGGACATGCCCTGGTTGCGAGTAAGAGGACTTGGAAGCTCCTCATTTTCCTTCATTTTCTCCACCCTCGTCACCCTGTTGGCGCATTTTCTTTTGTCCCCGAAAGCTCTACAGAGTGATTTCCTTCCAAAACTTCTTTTCTCGTATAATCTAGATTACTATTGTATGATAATGTCATGAATCTATCCTCACCATAGCACATAACACGCAATGGCGTGAGGCTATGAAGAGACTTGCTCTCCATTGCCGAGGGAAGACCCTGACTGAAAACCGCTCGAAGCGATGCCTTGGGAACTCTTCTGTGAACTATCATGCGGGCTGCAAGCCATTTCAAACTCCGTAACTCCGAATAATATGGCTTTCCACTATCCTTGATCCCTCAGAACGGTTTTCAACTCAATCGACATACTCCCCAGTCGTTATTACCAAAATCTCAAACTCCATCTCCTCATAATCCTCTGCAAAGTCATGTAGTCCAGCGCCTTTGGCAAACTTCGCACACAACCCATACATAACACCCAGTTGCTCGACGAGCCCTTCATCCGATAACAGCGCGAGACTTTCTTCGCCAAGCTTCAATGCTTCCAGATCTGTCTTTGGGATCTCAGCGAACTTCGGTGCGTCGCCCGATTTTCCTGCATCCTGATAAATGTCAAGAATCCCCTTGATCTGCGCAATCCTGCGTCTTCGCTTATCGTGCTTAGCAGCATCAGGCCCTTCACAGGCAGCGCACTGGCACTGAAAGCCCCAATTCGACAGCTCCTTCATCCTGGCTTGGTGGGAGATTGCAACTTCGATGTATGAGTTGGTGATTTCCTCGTCTTTGTCAATGTCCCTCACTGCGTATACTTCCATGAAACCCGTTGGCTCATCGTATACCCAACATATGTTGGGTGTACATGAGTGATTCATGCGACAGAAAATGGTGAACAAGCCACATTCGAGACCCCCAGATGTGATGCTCGCCGCATTTGTATAGAACTTGGCCAAGACAATACCAGCGTCGAGATCTGTCCCAGGACATAGTTGGCCCTGAAGGAATGAGAATTCGCGCAGCTTTTTATCGTTGTGATACAGATCCATCAATCGCTGTTGTTCCGAGTCGCTCAGATCTGCGACTTGATCAATAACACATCTGTACTCGGCTTTTGTCTTTGTCTCAGCTTGTGAAACTGTCAGAATCGGTCTCTCGTGAATGATGTGAGTCCCAGCCTTGATGAGCTCTTTGGCAAACAGGCCGTGCCCATCAGCCGTCTCCTTCATCATATATAGACATTTCGCTTGCTCCATCGCGTAGTATGAGTTGTCGTTTTCATTCTGGTTGATCAGTGTCGCAAGATATGCTCATGCTGATAGTTTCCAGTTCGTGAATCATTTTTAAAAAGTTCATCGTAAGTAGCGGAGATTTACGTGTCATGTCGCACCAATCAAAGTCCTGAGCAAGCTTCTTGCTGTTATTAATAGATTTCAAATCCTGGTCTAACCGTAAAGGGTTGATGCATATGAGGCCGAGCTGATTTAACTGGATAGCAGCTCTGCTTCTGCTCCACAGCTATGGGTACGTTTTGTAGCTCTAGGGTGAGTACTTGCTTAATAACATCACAACTTCAATTCACTCGATCTCAGAGTAAAAACTTCATAAGTTGTGAGTTGGATGTGTTATTTACAGTTGAGACCGGTGGCTGAGATCTTATGTTACTATACAAAACTTTGACTAAAAACTTTCTTTCTAGTAAACAATAGCAGAAATTGCATATTACTTCTTTCTGTCGCCAAGAAAATAGTTGCATTTCACAAGTTCAGTTTCATGCTTGCAGAGAGAGGGCCAAGTGCACATTCTTGCATTCTCAACTATTGTGCCTGGAAACGAGCCTAGACAAGACATTAAGCGGGTATCCGACAATACCAAGATCTAGATCTCTATAACAATCCAAACAAAATCTACCCTAACGTTTTAAACCTCTAGGACTTTTCCTTCAGTACAAATATACCCCCATGCCATCCATAAGTCCTCGTCAATCGTCGTCCATGTCGTCTAGCCGTCTCAAAAGGAATCTTGCCCATGGGGTGTGGTTCATGGAAATGGATACCACGCTCAACGTCCAGCTTAGTCTGAGTAAACTGCCAGACGGAGCCGTACAGCTTCTCAATCTTAAAGCCAGTCGCCGCTATGGTATAGAGGAAGTCATTCCACGGGATCAAGCCAGGAGTCGTTGTTACTTCGGGATCGAAGAACAAAGTACGGAACACCTTGAGCGCTTTGGCATCAACAGCAAATGTGGGCTGGGTGGCTTCAGTCGCCGGTTCTGCTTCATCAGCCGGCGGGGTCGCCTCCTCGGCAGTGGCAGGCTCTGTCGGATCACCCTTGGTCTTTGACTTGATTTCCGGCTTGAACTTCTTAGGTTCATGCGCAGGCCCGTCCAAAAACAGTTTCGAAGGAGGTTTGTTGAGCTCCCACAGATCTCGATTCGTAATAGACTCGGCCTTCGAGTCGGTCTTTGCAGGCTCAACCCACTCAGCCGTCCTTCGCAGGGTCCGCGGTCGTGAAAGCAGCTCGTAAACACAAGTATTCTCAAAGCCTGTGACATGCTTTTGTGTGACTTGGTCGATCTTGGCCCAGACGATGTCCCGGTTCGCTTCAGCTCGGCGCATGGTATCTACCGTCGCTTTGGTACGGCGTTTGCTATACGGATAGGTAAATTTTCTACCCGACGGCTTTGCGACCCTAGCTGCTTCATCAAACTCTTTCCGCAGGAAGGCCTCATGTGATTGCCTAAAATTGCCTCGCGTCTTACTCCAAGCATCTCGGTATAAATCAGTATTAGCTTGAATAACCTGGTCAAATTGGGTGGCCCATGGTTGGTACAGCTCCAGCTGCTTCAGACACTGTGCTATAATAGCAATATCACCAAGTATCTTGGAGGCATGAACGGATATGAGTGCATCTGCTTTGGAATCTGCCTGCATCAATCGCTCTAGTTCATCGACGACAAGCAGCAAGCGCGCTATGAAAAGCCCCCAGTCATCCTTCCACAACGTTAGGATGAGGAACATGACCTCTTTATCTACTTCAGTAATCTTCAACCCGGCGCGGGGGATTACATTCATATCTGACGTGTAAGGATCCGGAGGTGGCATGCGAACGAAGAACTTCCGAATGGGAGGTGATGATAGCTTGTAAAGATGTTTTTTGAGTAGTTCTGGGCTCGATCTCGAACGTCTTCTCTTGTAGGGCAACCCTCTACTCGTCCTTAATTCATAGCCATCAGCTCACGCTGTCTTTCATAATTGCAACCGGCAAAATCGGGATCTTCAAAGACCATGCCATCATCATAGAAGAGGCCCTCGTAATGATCATAATAGTAGTTTGATCTGGTATTCATAGTTTTCGTGGTAAGACACGTTCAGGAAGATGCAGAATGAGAGTGTAAGTTAGCAGGTAATTGATAAACAGAATAAACGATTCTAACGTGGCAGATTTCGTTGAGCATATGGCGGTAGATTCGTTGAGGTTGGAAAAGCTTGAGGAGCTTAAGCCGTTTACCTTCTTAGGCTGGTCTAGAGGCCTGAGGCAGGAAGGTATCATCTGATGAGACCACTGTGTCAGTAAGTGGAGTCACCTCGGTAGATGAAAGTGGGGACGGAAGTTTGGTTCCCGGACTCCGATAACGCTCAGCTCATGTTGAGGGCTGTTACGGTCATACGGATGACCGGACTATTACTCGAACCCTGCAAACAAGGACGAAAAAGTACGCCAAGGCCTTTGCCTCTCACAAGATATACAGAGGACTTCATTTCTAGGCAATCTTGAGTTCGATCATAGAACACAGCATTTCGCATATCGGATCAATCATGTCGAAGCCCAGGCCATCAGCGGCATATTCTCAGTCTGAAGTCCTGTACACAACACAGCCATTTCTAGTATTACCGGATCTTAGAGTCCTTCCTGAACAAGATGTTGACTTTCTCGAACTCAATCGGTGCTTTCACCTGCCTGTACGAACGGTCCAAGAAGAGTTTATCAACCAGTACTTCTTGTACTTACATCCCTACTATCCTTTGGTAGATGAGAAAGATTTCTGGGATATGTACATGGGGAGAGAGAGCGGTGATGGAAAAAGGAGGCCAATGTCCCTGCTCGTTTTCCAAGCGATGCTTTTCGCAGCATCTGCGGTAAGGCTCAACCAAGTCTTGCGAGACATGGCTGACAAGAGACAGTTCGTATCGCCAGTAGTGCTTAAAAATGCCGGATATACAAGTGTGAAAGTGGCACGGAATATCTTCTATAGAAGAGCCAAAGTACGTAAACTCACTGAAGTCGCGCATAACCACTAACCCCCTCGAGCTGTTGTTTGACCTTGGGGTCGAGAGCGACGCGTTCACAAAATCCCAGGCGGCCTTACTCTTGACGTTCCAATTTTCAGCTCTCGAACCGCACGCAGGAAGCACTTGGCTCGCTATCGCCATTCAAAACGCCATCGTTGCGCAAGCTCACACTTTCCAAGCTCCTGGATCAAGTATATCGCGCAAGAAGAGTAACAAGCGGCTATGGTGGTCTCTATTCTGGAGAGATAGAGTCTTGACTCTTGGTCTTCGAAAACCTTTACAAATAACGCCGTCCAGCTTTAATGTTAGTTTAGATCCAATCACTCCTGGGGATCTTGCCGATGAAGCAGAAACCTCTGCTGTATACGACTCTAGGACCAAGCGCCAGCTAGCAGATATCATAAACTACCAATGTCGCCTGGCCGTTCTTCTGACAGACACTCTTTCCATCTGTTATGGGCCAAACGCATTCGACATCACGTACTCGCTGGATAATTTCGAGCAAACCCTTTCTCAGATCAGAACCGCCAAGAGTAATCTCGCCCGCTGGAAGAAAGAGGCAGACAGAGCCCTCCATCCATTTCTCAATGGCAAGGGGGCGCACCGTTCGACAACGCTCATATCAAGCGTCGTATACATATATGCTTAGTGAGTGGCAAAACTTATGCATCTTGCTCTCCCCACTAACGATAATTGTAGCGCTGCCCAAATTGCTCTTGGAAATCATGAGGCTATGATGATTGAACAACGACAAAAAGGGATCAATATCGTCGATGACACTGTACTCCGGAATATCGGCAAGGATATAAGTTATGCGACAACAGAAACAACGAAGCTAGTTGGATTCATTGTTCAAAAAGGTTTAACTCAACACCTTCCTATATCTGCGTAGGTGGCCAACCCTCAAACGGCTTGCTATATCTAACCTTGTTCAGCATCGCGTACATTGCGTATCCGCTTATGCTGAGCTCTATTGATGAGAGGATAGCACCCAAGGACCTCGAAGCTGACGAAGACCAAGTTTTAACGAGATATCATGCACAAGCAATGCACCTGTGTAGCAAACGGTTTGAAGGTGCTGAAGATATCAGTAGAATGATCACTCAGATCGTCCAGTCAACACCCATTCAGCTACCACTACGTCCATGCTCGAAAGCACCAGGGTGCCGGCAGTCATCTGGAGCAGAGGGAGCATTGTCGCCACCATCGAAGAGTGTCACGAAATACTGGGATGAGCTATTCATCACACGCCAGTACATGCGCCTTCGACTTTCCCTCGACTACGCCTTGATAACTGGTAGACCACCAACGGAGCTAGACCTGCCGACATCTATTCTTCACGACGCGGGGATAAAGAGGTTGGCCTACGGGCCGATACACAGCTTGTCTGCGACAACTCTGTACTCGCCTCGCAAGCGTCGCGCATCGGAAAGTGTTGCTGGTCTGCCAAGGGTCATTGAGCTGGATGAGAAACTATCGGACGATGAAGGGCAAGCGGAGCATGTTGAGATATTGGATGACCTGACCGCACCTAGCACTCAAATTGTACAGAGGGAGGCGAGCAGTTTATCATCTCGGCCCTATTTTGACTATGATGCAATTTGGGCGGCTAATTTGTTTGAGGAGATTACAGATGTACTTTGGGCTTGACGTGGTAATGATGGGAGGAGTTCTGTACCTCGAAGGAGTTCTGTACCTCGAATCAATTGTATAAACCTTGTTGATCGAATTTCGTCAACTTTCCAGTGATATTTAGTTGCCATTTTCGTCCATGGCACCGCTGCAGCAGGGGTACCCCATACCGCCAGGTAATATCGGAACAGTCCATGATCTACAGCTAGGGTCCCCGCTGGAAATATCTCTTCCACTACTGAGAAATAAGTTAATGTCGATCTTTCCAGATAGGTACGCGGCATATCTCACTCCGATGCATCGACAAGGAATGGCGACATCAACGTATACACCGTTCATATGCGACTTCGTGGTATCATTGACCCGAGAGTACCGGACCCCGCGAAAATGCGCTACACCATAACCCTGGTCTATGATGTACCGTGCACGATATAAGCTGCCAGTACCGGGCTGAATGATGAAAAGAGATATTCAGGTGACCTTGACCTATCTTCGAGTATAGTACTTCTGCTTCACTTGAGAGTTCAGGACCTTCTATTCTCCGGCTGCTATCACTATTGACTTTCCTAGAACTGAACGAGAAACTGTCAAAATGAGATTCCCTTTTGCGGGTCTGGTACTCACCGTCATTGGTTCTGTCCAGTCAAGTCCTGTTGCCCAAGCTGCGAAACCACCACAATTCTTCCTCATCGGTGACTCAACTGTCGCCGTTGATGGCGGTTGGGGTAATGGGCTCCTATCGTACCTGAACGCCCCAGCCAAAGGCGACAATAGAGGTGTCAGTGGCTCTACTACCGTATCCTGGAAGTCTAATGGTCGCTGGGACACTCTCATCAAAGACATCAGTGCGGCAAAGGCCGAATTTGAGCCTGTTGTGACCATTCAATTTGGTCACAATGATCAGAAGGTCATGCAGCTGAATGACTTCCATGCCAACTTGGTCGACATTGGCAATCAGATCAAAGCGGCTGGCGGAACACCGGTAAGTCTCCTATCTGATCTTCAAGTGTTTCGCTCGTACTAAGAAGCGCACCAGATTTTCATCACTTCACTCACGCGCCGCACCTTCCAAAACGGAGAGGTCGTCCAGAACCTCAAGGAATGGGCTACCAAGACTATTGCAGCTGCTGGGGATGTCGGCGCCCAATATCTCGAACTGAACAAAGCCAGCACTGACTACGTCAACGCCATTGGTAATGAGAACGCACAGCGTTACAACTGGGGAGAAGGTGATAGGACGCATCTGAATCCAGCTGGCGAAATTGTCTTTGGAAGAATGGTAGTGGACTTGTTACTGGAAAAGCGGGACGACTTCTCATCGTATTTTACTCCCAACAAGGCGCTTAGCGATAAGATTGCAAAGGGAGAGTTTGCTACTGGCGACGAGTAGCTCCGACAACAGCGGGACCTAGCTTCTGTAATGGAAATAACATGTATTTTGCTAGGTAGATTGCAGCACGAACCAAAGTCGGATTATTAGTTGTCAGGTGGCTTCTGCGCCCAAACCACCTTTCCGCGAAAGTACCCGTGGACCTTCTTTGACCGAATCTCACGACGGTACCTGGCGGCAAAGACGTGGATCTCCTCTCTACTCCACCCCAGTAGGTTTGCGATGAACATTAGAGTGCCTTCGACGTCCTGTAGGATTGCAGCCTGGAAATATTGACCAGCCTCTTTGAGCTTGGGATCTTCAGGCCATCCGCCGATGGGCACCTGGCTTCGGTTAGAATCTATGAGTTGGACGTATTGTAGGATTTAATACATGCCTTGATTTCTTCTTCCTCAATGGTTACGAATCCTGCTTCCTTCATGCTTTCAACTTGGACATTATCTTCGAGAATAGAGAATGGTCGCTGCAGTTTCCGGCCCCCTTCCATAAAGATCTTACCCCACTGGCCCATAGCGCTATCTTCAGACACCGAGTTATCGTCACTGCCAATGCAAGGCGAGGCCTCATGGCTTTCGATATAACCCCCTGGCTTCAGGCATTTATATGCTTGCTTGAACAGTCCGGGCCAGTCGACAATGCTGCCGACCAGGAATCTCATGTGTACATAGTCAAGTGAATTCTCCTTGAAAGTCCATTCCTGGGTACAATCATCGATTTGACTGAAGGGTCAGTGTGTCACTATAACGATATTGGTGATCCATGTCCTACTAACAATTCGAGGTTTGGTGGTAGCCAACCTGGCTGGATTGGGGAAATGTCGGTTCCTACCACTTTTGCGTTGGGAAACTCGTCGGCAAAGTCCCTGTTAATGTAAGCTAGTGGTTCTAAGGACTGTAAGTGAGGGTCATACATCGCCCAAATTCCTACGCAAGCATGGTCAATTAGTTGTCGATATCGATGGGGGAGACAGTGACGCGATTCTTACCTGTGCCTGTTCCTATATCTACAACGGCCTTGACCGAGGCAGACTAATCAGCAAATGGCTCAAGTCACATCATGCGAATTGAAAAGTACCTGTATGTCGTCTTTCAACGGCGCTTTGTAGAGCTTGTCGTTGTACATGAGAATCAGAACATGGTGACTGGAAATTTTAAGCAGAGCGACTGATGTGATACACTGACTCCTTACTTGATGTCTAGTGCTTCATTGGCTTGATTGTCATTCGAAATCCTGGACAACGGGTTAGCTGCGATGCACCGGACTGAATGACAGTGCCCCGCAACCGCTGAGATGACGACTGACCAGTACTGAGCATCGCCTTGTTTACTATGGTATCTCCGTCCATTGATCTCTCGGTAACGCAAGATATCGGATGACAGCGAAGCCGTTGAGCTAGCATTGTCCGACAGTGTAGAGTCATTGTCATCGTCGTCGTCGTCGCGGTCTGGCTCCTGGTACGTCAAAATCTTAATCCCACGAAATGCTTAGGGTGGGTGTATGTCAGAGGCCTACTGTATCCGTCCAATGCTGACCGGGAAGAAGCCCCGTGGGAGCTTCTTCATGGGATGCGACGCCTGTTGTCGGCGCAGGCTGATCAACCGTCTTGTCACTGGCTTGTGTATCAGACATGATGATCAATATTAATGACCAAGGATGAATAGTCCAAGTACCATGGTGCATGATCTGGGTGCGGCATTTAGAAGTCAACACCGCGGGGCTCATCAGATGATGTCTGCCAAGTTCGCCTCTTCTACTCAACCAATATGGAAGGTGGGTATACAGGATGCTGCAACCAACAGACAAACAGGGGGCCCTGCAGGCAGTCTTAGGCGAGACAAAGATGTCGCAAAGGAAGCAAATCGTATATATAATTATCATAGAAATCCAGCTACTCAAAAGAGGGAATACTATCTGCCAAAACTAATCGCAGTATACCCGCACACGACCACTCGACATCGGCACGCTGCTGGGTGAGAGATCCCGAAGCCAGGAGCGCAGCGACTCAATGTCCCATATCTCTCCCGCATCAGCCAACTCGCACAAATTCTCGAAGTGACTCTCTCTTTCAATCTTACACGGTGTTTTGGGAGGACAATCTGCTAACGCACCAATGCCATCTAAAGTCATCTGGGCATGCGTCGAAAACGGCTTGACGATATCCTCCAGCTTCTCCGATTTGCAGACAATTCCATCGTGGAACGGCTGCTGTCTGAAAGTAGTGAAGTTCTCGCCTAGCTCTTGTCTGAATCTGGACATGAACTGCTCCTTGACATCACGTAGGGTGTCCCTAAACTTCTGCTTGTTATTGCGATGATGGTCCAGACCATCAGCCTGGCTTAGCAGAATCCGCAGTGGGCGCTTATCTTCTTGGTCGCAGAGCAGCTTGATAGCTATGCGTAAGGCGCTTTCGGTGGCCTCAGATCGTGTTCGTTCCATTGGGATCACAATGATTACAATGGCGAACAGCTCTTGGAATACATCCGCCATATACTTGATCTCTGGCTTTTGGTCGTCAAAACCGGGACTATCGAGGAAAATGGCTCCAAGGTTACTGGAGTCGTAGGATTGAATGCCCAAAGTTCTGCAAAGACTACTGGAGCCAGGTTTGAAGTAGTCCTCAGATGCACCAGTCAGAACAGTAAGCATTTGACTCTTACCAGCTTCTGTGGAGCCCTGTACTCCGATGCAGATCTTGCCGGAAAGCTGAATTCGGAGCTGGGCGACTTGAGCAACACTGAAAAGCCACTTAGGCCAGAAGAAGGTAGGTGTGATGCACCATTGGTTAGCCTTTACCCCAGGATAGTCTTTCAAGCCCTCTTCGAGTTTGACTCTCCATTTCTCTATCGTTTCCAGCGTATGTGAGCTTGCGATATCCTGCTTCACACGATCGAGGAGGGTCTTCTCCACTATGTCATCGGACTCGGCGATGGGTAGGCCAAGTGCCTGTAAAGTAACGGCCAGAGCACCAGGAAATGACAGATCGAGATATTCTCTGTGCTTGTTGAGAAGGTGACTGATGACCTTGGTGCTTGCAAACAATACGGCTATACCACCAGTGACGCCCATTCCAGCGGCGGAAGTCGCTCCCACCCCCAGAGCTAGGACTCTGGAAAATAACGAGGCTCCAGAGAAATAAGACGGCAAGGCACCCAAAGCAGCTGAGGTGATCCGATGGCCCTCGGTGGACTTGCAGTACCATTCATAGGGCGCGTCAAGTTGAGTGATGATCACAAGATGACAGAATTGAATGACACCCATGACGTCTTGGAACTGGGAGACTGCTTGCTCTGTGCGCCTTGCGCGGTCTGTTGAACGATGATATAGATCATGACTGAATGTCTCGAGCGCTCCAGCAAATGTCGGTACCTTCTTGAATTGCTTCGTTAATGTTGGTCTCTTGGCGGCTTCCCAACTTTGGACAAGAAGCTGAGCTCGGGTAATGCTTGGGGCGTTCTGGCTGATGACCATATCTGTAATAAGCCTTCTAAGAGCTTTAGGGCAGGCAGCAGGGATATCATGAAGAAGGCCAGTGTCAAATTCTTCATCTCCATACGCTCCAGGCATAGAAGCATGGAAATCGGATCCAATCTCAAAGTCCTTCGGCCAAAGCACCTTCAGGATGGTAAATGCATGCCCAAGGCGACTGAAGACAAGATGGGGACTAGCATCGCTGACCAGACCGTCTATGCATCCCACAACAGCTTTGATGTTGTCGACAATCGCCATGACTTCTTCTGGGGGATGAGCATCGCGAGAGGTATTATCAGTTCTGAGGGCCTGGACCTTTGACATCTGAGCAACGAGCGCACGTATCATTGCCAACCTGATACTCTCGAATGTAGCTGGCAGACTAGCTCTGTCCAGGCTCATCGATCTTACCGTGTCAACATCGATGTCTGTAGATCGCCCAAAGATATCATGAAGGGTGATGCCTTTCTGAATGGCGATTGAAGCTTTTCCGATGTCTTCAAAGGGGTCATTGGCTTTGATTCGATACTCCAGCTTGACGGAAGTCTGTCCAAAGAGGTCAGCTAAAAAGTCCAAGTGATATGTAAAAGTGAGTACATACCTGGTAGTGATCAGACTTGGTAGGAAACCCAAGAATAGTAAGAGGGATTTCCTGACTATCCTTCTTGAAGGTTGCTCCTTTCAAGAGATATTGCATCACAGGTGTATCGACGTCGAGTGATACGGTCAAGTGGTCGCTGTGAACCACACAGGAGCAGTTGAGCACCGTTCCAGGCATCGGAAGTATCATCGATGAGGCGTCGGAAACCGCATAATGCAGTTCTGATGAGGCTTGATGTGTAATTCTGGCGCCGACAAAGTTCTTAACACAATGAAAATAGTGTGACATCTTGTGGTATTGGTCAACTTGGCCTGCGCTGGGTATCTGAGGTATGTCGTTGACCCGCAAAGTCTGGACACAGTTTTGGATCCCTGGCACTTCAGCCGCGATGGAGTACATACACCCAAAGTGGCAGAACTTGCCCGTATTCTGCAACAAAAGGTCTAAGAAGTACTCAAGAATAGGCCATAGCATTTGGATAGTGGGTGATAGGTTTCCCAGCGGTGTTCTCAGAGCATCAAAGGTCTGCTTGAACTTCCTCGAGCTCTCGTTAAGTGCAAAGGGAACGTAGTCGTGAGGATTGATAACATGGTGAAAATTGCCGCTCAGGTTCATTTGAAGGGAAACTGTTGTTCCTCGAGGTTCAGCGACCATACACGAAGGTGCTCCAAATGTGATGATGGATATGCCGCCTAGTCTCTCTTCCCAGGCATTGGGAACCGGCTCATGGTTGACCATGGCTAGGTAAGACGAGATAGTCGCCAAAGCGCCTCTGAGATGCAAGATTAGTATTAAATATGGCGACATATCAAGGCTTCCACTCACCCAAAGCTATGGCCGCAAACAACCAGCTTGTGCCTTCTCATCAGCCATTCAACAAGCGGCACAAACTCCTCACTTCGGTTCCAGAAGCCCTTATGGAAGCGCGATCCGATATCATCAGACGTTGCCAAGCGCACGTCCAAATCAGACCGGACATCGTTCATGTCACGGGTGCAACAGAAGCCCAGAAAGACTGTCTGAAGACGATTAGACCAGGCGATGACGGGCGGCGTTGACTTGATCCCCGCTTTCTTGCTTATCGGGGCAATTGAGTAGATCGACGAGATTATATCCAGTTCTCGGATGAATCGGAATCGCTCACTTTGATGAAGATTCTCATCGATGTTGATTCCTTGCTCTTGTTCATTGCAGAGATGGCTGACTGCCGCGGCGCCGTAGAACATGAGCTCTTTGTTGGTGAGTTCTGCGTCGCTCAAGCCAGCATTCTGATCGCTGAAATTGATGTACTCGCTGAGAAGAGTCTCTGTTCGTACCATTTTGGCAACGCAATGATTATGGAGTCCAAATTCAATGTTCTAGGCATTTGATACACAGTTTTGAAGGACTATAATGGCCATCATCAAGGTGACGAGATTCTGAGTTGGACGAGGCTCTGCAACGTCTCTGCATGGTCAGCTCATAAGCGCCCGCCACTTCGCCACTTGCCTCTCATAGGTCCATTTACAGGGTTGAAAAGCCACATTCGTGCTACTGTGATTAGGTGCATGAAACTATTGATCAAGGCAGACTGACTAGGCGAGGCAACATAAAGTTAGGATTTTGATTGACTTTAATACTAAGTAACGAATGATTCAGGTTGGTTGGCAAGGGGAGGCAAGAAAACTTAGGACCTCTATCCTAAGTAATAAAAAGTATTAGGTAAATTTAGTATAATTTAATAAGGATTTAGTAGACCTTAGGTTAGATCTTTCTAGCACCTTGATTTTATATTAGAACTTTTCTTACTCCCCGGGGGTTAGCCGAAATCTGAGGGCCCCTTTAATAAGTTTATCTTAACATCCTCTTTTAGAGTCTGTAATCTTTTCACTGTCCGGGAAATACCTAACAAAGCGACAGGCTTGGACGGAAGTCTCCCCTCTCCAGTATAGATCGTAATGGCTCAGGGAAAGTAAAAGTTTTATACACTTCGCCCGACGCTAGCATCCAAAAGCGAGCTGGCTGGGCGGTTTGCTTGTCCTATGGGTTCTGTTGGGCTTGTTGTCTAAATATTGCTTTTGTTATCTTAATTGTCAGCCTCCTTCAGTTTGTCATGACAGTCTAGCAGTAAGCGTCTAAACTCTTGTCGATAGGGGTCGTTATACGCCAGCATGTCCGTTTTTGCCGAAACAGCACGCTCCAAAATCTCAATGGCTTCCCGGGTCCGTCCAACTTTCTGATATGCAGCTGCCAGGTCGCGCTCTGATGCTAAGCGCCATTGATCGTTCTCTGGCAATGTCCTCCTGTTGAATCCTACCACATGCTCCAATATGTTGATCGCATCTAGTGTTCGCCCGTCAACTAGATATGCATGTGCAAGGTCCTGCTCTGATGCCAAGAGAGAAGAATCATTCTCTGGCAAGATTCGCCTCTCAATTTCAATAACATGCTCAAAAATGGGGACTGCATCCTTGATTCGGCCCAATTGTAGAAAGGCCCTTCCGAGGCTGCTTTCATTTGCCAGCCGCAATTGGTCACTCTCCTCAAGTGTCTCCATACCAGTTACCTGCAACCGCTCGAATATCTCGATTGCATTTTCAGTCTGCCCACTTCCCAAAAGGGCGGTTCCGAGTGAGTAGTGGCACGCCAGACAGTCAAAGTTGTTATATTGCGTTCTCTTTCGAACTTTGATGATGTGCTGTAATATATCGATAGCTTCTTCTCTTTGACCATTTGCAAGATATGCATCTGCCAGTCCTTTCTTCGACGACAGTCGAGAATCGTCTTCCTCATCTAGATGCTTTTCGACATCTACAATGTGCTCAAAGATCTCGATCGCATCTTCGACTCGTTCAACGTTCATGTATGCGGATGCCAGTGCGTGTTCTGCTAACAAGCGAAGGGGTTCATCTTCTGCGAGTATTCCCGATTGAGTCTTGACAACGTGACTTAGTATTTCGGTAGCCTCTTCAAATTGTCGGCGATCAGCATATGCAATCCCAAGAGTAGTCTCTGCTCTTAACCGAAGCAGATCTGTTTCTGGCAAAAAGCCTCTTCTCCACTTAAATACCTCCTCTGCGCATTCACTTGATTCTTTAAATCGCCTATCCCGCGCAAACGACCAACCAAGCTTCTCGAGGAGGGTATATGTGTCATCGCCCCTCTCCTGATCATTGCGACTCAACAACCGCATTGCATGTGGAACATACTCTGATCGTAAAGTGTAGTGAAAATCACCTTCTACAGGGAATCTTGCTGCAAGATGAGATATCGCATCTTGGAAAGACTGCCTCCCGCGTTCATCTTTATGAAGCCAGTCTCTTGTTGCCGTATGCACGAGGCTATGCATGTCGAATGTGTCAGCTTCCTCTCTACGAGCTAGAAAGGAGTAACTGCAAAGTGTTCCGATAGCCGACTCGAACTCTGCAGGTGCTGCTACAGGTAGAATGGACTGTGGAATTGCTTTTGGTTCGATGTAGGATATAAACGATAGCAAGTCAACCGCAAGAGGGTCTAACTTTTGGATTTGATCAAAAGACACAATCCATGTTGTTCCTATAGCGTTTTGGGTACCTTTGTATCGTGTATTATCTCCAAATTCCCTACCAAAGACTTTTGAAACTTCAGACTCAGCGCCCTCAAGAAGCTTCAGGTAAGCTCGTATGGGCGCTTTGTTTTTGTTCAGGTACGCAGAGGCCTGAGCGATGGCCAATGGAAGGAATGTAAGTTTTGTGAGCAGTTCGAGGACCAGTTCTTCGTTGCCAGTTTGCGGCTTCTGAATGAGGGATGTTGTGAAGAGGTGAATGGCCTCTTCTCTGTCCATTTCCTGCACATCGAGCACGTCTGACTGGGCAAGATCGACAGCGATCTGGCGAGTCCGTGTCGTGATCAAAACCACGCCGTTATCGCTCAGCGGGAGATACTCTTCCAGGCCACGCTTCTGTTCAGTTCCAAGTATGAGATCTGGGTCGTCTGCATTATCCACAATCAGGAGCCATTTACCAGCGTTACCTGATCCGAGATGCTGGCAAACAAGCTCCTTCACGTCATCACTGTCATCGGTCTTCTGCACCCTTAGTCTTTTGGCAATCTCCGCGTAGGCACGCTCAGCACCTTCGTTACTCAATGTTGGTACCCAGAAGATAGAGTAATGTGGGTGTTTCTCTTTGACCTCGTGGGCAAATTGCAGGGCTATTTGCGTCTTACCAACGCCGCCTAGTCCGACAAGTGCAATCCGGTTAACTTGTTCCTGGCCAAAGGCCATCTCTTCTAATGCTTGCAAGACTGATCGCCGTCCAGTGAAGCGTCTATTCTTCATCAGCGGCATATAGTAACATGGCTCTGGAAGTCTTCCTAGGACGTTATCAACGCCTGCTATTTCCTGCAATACAACCTTCCAAGTACTCGAAAATTTACTCACCGGCTATCCTCTGTTGCTGGTTGACTTCTGATCTGGGATCTGAGGCGGATGGCAAAGAGGGCCTGATGACATCAAGTAGCGCTCTAGCATATGAAGCAGCCATAGCTGCGGCATATGGCTGCCAGCTCTTATTCTTGTGTCGATCGCCATAATCGCAAACCCCTCGGATGATGCCCACAGGGATTCTGTTGATGGTTCCTGCTGCCTCCATTTCCAACCCGATAATATCGTATTTGTCTCTTAATAAGTTTCGTTTCTCGGCATTCTTCAACAGTTTGTCACCCGATCCAATGGGGCCATACCAGACGCAGGATCGTATATGTGCTGGTCGTGAAGAGCGCTGAATCATTTGGCTCTCATCGTCGTACAGAATGTCGTTGTCTTGCCCAGGGTCGGCAAATGTTCCCGTGGCATGATCTAGATTCGCAATCTTCTCGTAATATGGCAAGAAGACCTCACTTTCCTTGGGCGCTAGAAGCTTAATGTTCCCTATGGCCGACCGAACGATAGGCTCAGCCATTGCGAGACTGTGGCCATGACGTAGCAACTCAAAGCCATCCTCAGTTTCCTTTCCAAGGTCATACGCAATCAGCCCTGCACTATTACCATCGGGAAGACCGACGAGAATATCGCCAAGTCGGATATCACGACCTCGACTGATACTAGGCAATCCCGCCGCCACGCCAACAAGCAGCCCAAACCAAAGATTAGGAAAGCACTTTTTGAGCTGACTGGCGAGTGCGGCTGCAGAACCGTTGCCATATTCTTGACCCGCCGGCAGAGTCGCTATAACGATGTTGTGACCACCCATGACACCAGCTTCAAAAATATAGTCATCACCGCGGCTGACGGGAAACCGACCGTGATGTCTTTCATCCAGCAGACACAAAGCAGCTCTTGCTTCAATCTCGAGGGGGGCAATCCAGGCGACTTTGTACTGTTCTGGATCTAGAATGGCCGTCCGATCTTCGTAACGTCTTTTCATGGTTGACATCTTTTCGGCGATGTTGCCGGGCGGCTTCGTCAGAGGTCCTTGTGTAGGCACAAGAACAGTTCGTTTTCACTTGATAATATTGAAGAAGGAAGTTCTTGAACATTGCGATAAGCAAGAAACCCCGCACGCCGCAGCAGGGATGACCAACAGTGCGGCCGAATGGTCTTGGCCTGCAGATTGTCTGTCTGCCTTGAGGTCAGCCTCCAGGGCTGATCGTTTAAGATCCGCCACTAAAATGGCCCCCTATTAACGCGGAAGTCACCTGGCACAACCCTGCCACCAAGAAAAGCCACCAACTGGCAAAGGCGTCTTCCTCAGTAAACCTCACCCGGTATTGTCTAATGATTGGCTACAATATCCCCAACCCTCGATCAGGTTATGATTTTCTTGTGCCAGGTCTTGGGAAGTCCATTCTTCTTGCTTCTAAGAAACGACATTCTATGCGGCCACTGAAACGGCGTAAAATTGTCGCCTTCTTAGGCCATTTTAAGCAGCCATTCCAGATTTTGGGAGGTTCAATCCTTACCAAACTTAGGGCGATGTCATTTGGGTATAGGTACCATCCCATAATTGCCTCCAGCCCCCCGCGATATGACCATTGACGGAGGTAGTATCGGCGACTTGATCGCCATCGCCGGCCTAATCGAACGCATCGTCGTCGAGGTGAAGTCATACAAAGAGGCGCCGCACCACTTCCAACGTCTCGCAATCGAGTTAGACTTTCTGTCAAAGGTTTGCCATCAGGCGTTCCATCTAACACCGAGTCGTGTCGGTGAGCAAGCCAGGCTCGAGAGAGTACGGGCGATTGCGTTGCAATGCCTCGGGCCCTTGCAAGACTTCGAAAAAAAGATGAGGAGTTACGACAACACTTTGGGCCCGGGAAACTGCATAGGCAAGAGTAAAAAAGGTTGGATACAGAACTTCAAGAAGCGATTGCATTGGTCGGCTATCGCGCGTCATGAAGTGGATGAACTTCGCGCAATACTAACGAGTGAGATCTTGGCGATCAACACCCTGTTGACTATGCAGAACTGGTGAGTAATCCGTCAGTATGTACATCTTTCTTTGTATCTTACGTCGTGTAGGGAGAGTCTAACACCAAAGAATACCACGAATAATCCCTTTGCCGATCATTTGAAGGCCCTGATCACAACCACGGAGACCGCTTCTCGTGAGATTGAAACCTACCTCCTCGAAGCCAAGGCTGGGTCTGAACGACTCGAGAAACTCGTGGTTGCTGCGAACTTGACACATGCCGAGCAAGAAAACACACTGAACTTAATGGAACAGAATGCTGAAAAGACAAGCATGGTTCTGGACGCCATCACCAATACCATGGGGGCGGCTTCATCGCAGCTTGTCAGACTGTTCTCCCTTACTGAGCACCTGGAGCGATGGATCAAGACTGTCGTTCAATATTGCAATGAAATTATTGGTCTCGTCCAGCGAAACACTCGCATTCTGCTCTCGCTCCACGACATCGTGGTGAGGTTAGAGTCAGCGATGAGGGCGCCTGGCGTAACCTGCCCGGTTCTAGAATTTGAAAATCCCTTTGGGATCAAAATGGCCCTTCCATACCAAATGTGTGACACCTGGGAGGTATGATTCGCATCGGTGTGAGTGGGCATTCTTACTGACATGCCCAGGGTCTATGCCGGCTGCTCGTCGTGATGTTCTACAACAAGCCAGGCCTACGGCTGGTCGAGCGCCGACGCTTTGTCGTTATGCAATCGCGGTCAAATATGCCTATCAAGCCGCAGGATTGGTCAACATCTGTGGTCCCAGGAGACTCGTTAAATATGTCGATTCTTTTGGAACGGCTTGGCAGCCAGTCGGCAACATTTTCGTGTCCTAGATGCGATCACGTATTCAACTTAGCGAAATCTGATTCCCAGCGAGGATACCAATGGTAAGTGTCCTTCAACAGTCCCTTCCAATAGCACACAACTGTTGATACCCTGGCTTAGCCCGAAATGTCTCCTTTGGTCAGATACTGTGGACGGAGCGCAGTTAGGCATCTCCTCCGATTCTAGCAGTTTGACGGTCCCGGTGCCCCCTCCAGAACCTGTGCACTGGGATTCGTGGAACGGCCAGTGGAGATCGAGGTTTAGACGTCCACAGGCGCTGTCGCGATTACGAAACTCTGGTATGCCATTTGACAGAAGCCCAGCTGCGAGCACCGAGGACGAAGAAGTGGATGTATCCGCCTTTCGCCGTGTTCACGTCGTTCCATTCGAGGGAGACCTTTTGCGATCTCTTATCAGGATCGGAAGTCGTTGTCGAGATGTCGTGCTCAAATATTCAGCAAACTTTGAACCGAACAACCCTCGGCTCCCCCCCGAGACAATTCTGGAATTCAAGAGGCTCATCCAAGAAATGAACGAGCTTAAGGCGACAGGCATTTATCCCCTTGCTGAATTGAGTGCACGTCAGGGAACAAAAAGTCACAAAGAAGTCCTGGAACACTGGATTAAGAGAACTTCCCAAGTAATATATCATCCCCTTGATGACCCATTGTTTCGTGCGAGAGTATCCCATGATGAGATATGGGCAATCCACCAGTGGCTGGCGAACTCTGCACCGCTTGAACTAACACCAACTATAACGCAACTTGGGCCCGGCTCCTTCCGTGATGAGTATTGCAGAAACCAGCATTCGCAGCGGCTTGCCACTAGGCAGGCTAACGCTTACTTTCCATCGGCTCAACATGCCTTTCAAAGCGGCTCAAAATGGACATTGGAGTCTCGTGGCAATAATGGGCGCTATGGCACAGAAGGGAACATAGAGGATGAATTATACAAGTACATGTAATACTATGGCTTTACAGTGAAAATTAAGTTATTCAGCTAAATTATTAATTATCATCCTTTTATTTATAATCTATATTTACATGTATTGGTCTCAGACGTGTGCGCGACTGGCGGGAAACGTCAACAAACCCCGCCTTTCGCCTTGCTTATCTATCTACAAGGGTATGTCACACATTCTGCCCTTGCCGTGTAAGCATGGATAAACAATAAAAGAGTTGTCCTCCGTGCTTATGCATCCCGCGGGTTTCTCTCTCTCCATTATCCTGTACCAACTACAATCGACTTACCATGGAAGAACGCAGGAAGCTATATAAAAAGTATCCATCAATGCGAAAGCTGGAGGAGCTCGGAGACGCATACGTTGAAGTAGGTCCATTATCTGAAAGCGTCGCTCAATCACTGACTAAGTGGTTTCTCAAGTGGAATGATGGTCGCGAAGCTGTTCTTCTACGCTGGCTTTACGACCATCCAAACTTCCCGAATATGCGCAACAATCCCCAGGTAATCTGCGAGGCCATGGACGAATTTGCTGCTCAGCGAGACTTCCTGATCAACATTGGCCCAGACAAAGCAGAAAGGATCGCTACTCTTATTACTGAGACAAAGCCCAGCGTCTTTGTTGAGGTGGGTGGTTACGTTGGTTACTCAGCACTATTCTTGGGAAACGCGTTGAAAAACACGCATAAAGACAACCAAGATGCTAAGAACAAGGCTGTCTACTGGAGCCTCGAAGCCGATCCGGTTTTCGCAGGTATCGCAATGAACCTTATCGATCTAGCAGGACTATCAGATGTCGTAAAAGTGATCACGGGAAAGGCTGCCGATTCGCTTACTCGACTGAAGGAAGAAGGAAAGCTAGAAAGTGTGGATATGCTGTTTCTAGATCATGTCGAAGAGCTGTATGTCACGGATCTCCAGGTTGTCGAATCGCTAGGATTGCTTAAGAAGGGAAGCCATATTGTGGCAGATAATGTCCTTCGCCCTGGTGCACCTGAGTACAAACAGTATGTCAAGGAGCATAAGTCCATGGAGACCCGAGCTATCATCGGTCTGATCATCCCTGGAGAGTTCGAGGTAAGTAATGGCTCACGAGTGTTATTATCAGTCTGCTGATTGTAGGTGATAGGACGAGATTGAAGTGACAGAATACAAGGGTTAGATATTGCTTTATCATGCCTATGGACATGCCCAGCACGTTCTATGACAATTGATCTAATTTTCAACCAGGGATAAGCATGGTATATAGCGTTTACCATATAAACCACCTTCAATATCTCTGTGACCAAATCTCAACACTAGTCTACCCTTCGTGACGCCGATTGGCCATGTCGATTAGGATGAACCAAGGAAACTAGGTTCTGGGTTGAGATACATCTTGTCAAAGCCTTGAACCTTCCAAACTCCGGTCTCAGTATTCAACGTCAAATTCGTGTGCTTTATTTCCCCGGACTTCAGGGCTCCAGACTCAGCCTGGACGCCATCCTTCGGCCGATGGATGTGGTTATCCCCAGCAAAAACCGTAAAATTAGCTAATGGGATCTCCCAAGCATTATGAGTCGCAATAGATGGTGAGCCTTTCTTCCTGTTAGTATCGTGCCGAGTATTCACAATGGTTGCTTGACTTACCAAAGAATTGAGCTGAGACTTTCTTTGGAGCGACGGACAAGTGAAAGTAGCCACGGTAATATCCTTCTTGCCAGAATAGCTCTTTGTTCTCGGCGATAGCTTTGCGAGACAATCTTCCTGCGTCAGGCTCGATCGTTTTGAGTCCTGACGTACCCCATGAGCTGACCGCGGTACCTGCGAACTCAGCCCCGATGGCACCCTCTCCTGTCTTTGGATTGTACTTCTTGGTACCCAGCCACGCCAAATCAGATACCTGCTAAAAGTCAGTGGTGTTACTAAGACAGGACTGGTGTGATCTCATACCCAGTTCATATGACTATCTCCAGACAAGAAGATGTTGTTGTCGATCTTGTTCTTATAGAGATGATTGAGTGTTCTGTTTCGGTTCGCGATATAACCCTATTGGAGATCAGCAGTGGGGTTCTTCTTTCGGAAGTGAGATATGGGAATCTTACATCCCAGGTGTCTCCTCCCCCAGCCGCGTCCCCTTTAATTTGGGAGAATACGATCTGGTTTCCGATCACTCGCCAAGTTGCGTTCCGATCCTTGGATTCGGATAACGAGCGATAGAACCAATTCTCTTGGCGACCACCCATCAGCGTCCTACTTGGATCGTCGCTGATTTTCTCGATGTACTTGTCGTTGACGTCTGATCGTGGTTAGAATGTGAGACTCTATGAAACCTCCAAGAAAGTACTCACAGTCGGTTCCCTTGCTTCGGTCGTATAATCGGGTATCCAATATCACAAGGTCCATCAGCTTTCCCAACTGAAAAGATCTCCAGACTCTTAAACCGTCGTCCATGTCAGTCTGCCTGATTGGCATCCACTCAAAGTACGCTCGGACAGCGTTGGCTTTGCGTGCATCTGTGGCTACCTTCGGACCTTCTCCTTTGAAGGTGTTCGGCTGGTCGAAGAAGTCAACATATCCATCTCTGTAAGCGTTATCGGCAAGCTCTGGTCCAGATTAGTGACAGAACTTCCTGTACGTCGTGGGGAAGCCTTACCATGGTCGTCCCAAGTTGTAATCCAAGCTGAGTTTTGGGCCAACAGTTGCAAGTCAGGATCAGTCCGGTGCTACATAGAGTCAGAGCCTGATTTGGATAGCAACAGTTGCATGGGTCCATACCTGTCCATGGCGTGCACGGTAGTCATATAGCGAGTATGTCGGGTGTTTCGGAATCGACCCGCGCTCTTTATACAGTGTATAGGTGCCATACTCATAGATGTAATCACCAAGATGAACAACCCAGTCGTGATTATCCTTTCGGGCAGCATTGCCGTAGACGTTAAAGTATCCTGGGACTTGGGCTGGTCAGTGACAGTTTGTAGACAGGCATCTCCACACTTACAGTATGCACTGCATGAGAAAACTGCCAGGTTGATCTCTGACACGTCATCGTCAGGCCGGGGTGCAGTCTTGGTCCTTCCTAAAGGGCTGGTATTGTTCGAGTTGCAAACAGTGAACTGATAGTGGTATGTCGTCAATGGCTTCAAACCTTTGGCTTCAACCTGCTGTCGGTTAGTTATAGTGCTTGATCTTGATATGAGAACCCACCTTAACTGTGTAGTCGATATCCGCGGTCGTATAAGCCTTTCCGCTGCTCACGATCGACTTTGAGTCCTTCTTGCCAACTGGAAAGACTTTCCAGTGCAAGCAGATAGGATTAGGATCGGCCTCTATGAACTTCTTGGTCTCGTGGCTGTAAAGCGGTTCGGTTCCATCAATCGGTGCGGTGTCAGCGGAAGATGCATTAGTTGGGGCAATTCGAGTCCACAGTATAACGCTATTGGGCCATGGATCGCCTGATGCAACACCATGAGTAAAGTTCAGTTCCTCTGGCTTGAATGCGACGTTTCCACGCTTCCAGGAACGTCGCTGGACTTGATCGACATCGATGCCGAACTGCGTATGCCGAAGCGAGGGACTTCCATAGTTGATGTTACCATCAAAACTAGCCACTGAGAAGATTACAAAAGTCGTAAGAGTGAGGAGTAGTGAGATCAAATAGGTCTCCATGTTTATATAACGTTAAGGGGATGGAACGTCTTTGTTGACTGATCAATATGTAGCCAAGCGCCGTCTTATATACATGATATGAACAACTTCCCCTCTTCTACCCCATCCAGCAACAGCTGATTGCCGAGTAACTGGTATCACATGTCGCCTGGAAACGATCGTATACTCGGTTGAGATAATGCGATCGCTTTGAGAATGAGGTTAGTGGAGTCACATCAGCGACCAATCAGTAGGTGATCAGCGCGCCTGGTATAGCTCAACATGGCAGGAGGATTCTTAGCTCATGCGTGGCTTGGGTCCACTAGTCAAGAATAAGAATGAGATATGACATTTTCAATTGTATTACTGTAGAGATGCTCATTGGTTACACTTTTCTCTTTAGTCATTGCAAGAATGTTGCTGGCGTCTGCTGACCCAGTCGTGCCAGACGTCATCGTCCTCTTTGAATCAACACACACAAGCCAACATTTACGAGCAGAATCAGATCGGCATTAGTGAATCTCAGCCAACGATCTGTCCTTTCTATCTACGCAATATACCTAAGAGTACCTCTTTTCTTAAGTTGTAATAATAATACCTTCTGTTAGTTACTTAGTTTACGTAAGCTTATAATGTCTTGGTTGCAGTTGAGACTTGTGGCTTAGAGCTTACATCAACACTGAGAACTTAGTAGTTTTAGACATTGCTATTAAATTATTCACGGCTCCAATTACAGCAAAATTATCATTCATGAACACAGATTCACAAACTCTGACTGAGAAAATTAGTAGTGAGTCACAAATTAACTTTTGGTTCTCGCTGTTATAAGAACAGTGCTCCACCCTAGAAGTTGGAATTTTGAATTTTCTCTTTTAGCAACACTTCACCTCGCCATGGAAGATCCCAACCAAAACCCCCAGGTCAAGCCATCTGGCCGACTCCCGAGTCTCCTTAACCCCAAGTTTCCAATCTCGAACGCGACATTTCATTTGTTTCCTAACCTTCCTACGGAGCTAAGACAAATGATTTGGGAGCAAAGCCTGACTTGTGAGCGATATATTACAGTCGAGCTTTGCACCGTCGATGATACTACTGGCAAACTTCGTCGCAATGGAAGTTATGGCAAAGCCTGGCCAGTCCCAAAGCCATATAGACTTCTTTTCCATTATCCCCCAAAGCCTAGCGCCTTATTCAGTACCAGCGTTGAATCTCGTGCTAGCGCCCAACGATTTTATCGCATAGTACTTCCTTGTTTCTATGTCACGGAATCTCCCTCGATCATAGATTCACTCCAGATAAGTGAACAGAACGATCAGCGCAATCCGCAAGGGATCGTTTTGAGCCACATCGGTCCCAGACGCAAAAGACCTCAAGCTCTCATACCAGGGACACTTTCCTTCAATCCTGAGCTGGACACCTTGGAGATCATGGGCTTGCCTCAGTTCACAAACTTTGCGAATGACGTTTGGAACCATGACCCGCGTAACATAGGGTTATGTCACGTAGCCTTATTATTGAGGCCTAGGTTACTTGGTTACAGAATTCCCCATCTTCCTGATTATGCCAGTTCAGAAGACCAGCTGCGCCAAGTCATAGCCAGGCTTCGAAGTGTTACATTTGTATACTACACTAATGTGGACACAGTGACTCACACATCTCTTGCTCATCGCAGGTGTCTATTGCAGAATCGCTGTTTACTTCCTGTCGCATGGGCTACCGGCAGCTTTTCAAGACAGCAGGATCCACGACTCATCGGACAGGAAGTATTTCATAGTGTTCATTTCGATCTTTGGAGCATAGAAGACTTCGATAAACCGTACCAAACATGGATGGAGTTGGCAGAGAAATTGAGAGTGACGACGCCCTGTGCCTTCAAAATTGCTTACACAACTAATCGAAGCAAATCGCCAATCAGGTGTGAATCTGACGCTGTTGCCTATTTGAATTCCGAAAGCGAAAGATGGGAACAACAACTTAACAAATGGGAAGCATCCCAGCAAGAACAAGCATGGAGAGATCCCAAGGAGACCAAACGGCAGTCCAATGGAGCAGTTGAAACTGCAATTGGATTTTGGACATTTCCTATCGAGCCTCATGGCCAATTCAGTCGAGACTACAACCGCCCAAAAGGTGGACGCCGGTGCTTTGATGACCTCTCTGCTTCCCGGCCTGAACTGTGCCTATTCGACCTATAGGCCTCACGTCTCAGACTTCATACAGGGTGCACGAACATCCCTGCAACCGGCGGTGCGTTTGACATAAACTTGCACCGCAACACCAAGATCGTGGCTCACGCTGTGCTAAGAATAATCCTCTGAACGTCAAAAGACTGCAGGCCTTACATCGGAGTGAGAAAACAAACCGGTAAAACATCATACGAAGTTGATCAAAAACTTCCCTAATATATCCTAATATCATCTAAACATTTCTATCACTTAGTCTGGGCGGGGGGATTCTTTGTCGTGCAGAATAAGTTCATATACATGATTCAAAATACACTCCAAGAACCTCTGCATATACTCCCCACTATGGTATTGAGAATTGAAAATAATAAAAAGTTGAATCTTCCCATCCCAACTGCCAAGCAAGATTGCAACACCAGTAATGATTGATTGACTGGCGGCCCAGATATTGGTAAGCTCCATCATCTCATTGGATGCAGCCACTACAGAGCTCAGGTTGCTGATTGAGGAGAGAGAAACAAGATAGAATGGTGGGTCTGAGATAGACCAGGCCACGCGAGGGGAACTGGGATCTGAACGTCAAGGAAGCGAAGAGAACCTGTTCGTGGATATCCTCCGATAAGATGGGTTTGTGCTTGTCATAGAAGTCTCGAACTTCTGTAGCTACTTGAGTTAAGGTTTTTGGCGCAACATCTTTGTCAACTGCCAGCCCAGGAACTTCCAAGTCAATGCCTAAAGCATGTGCGCAAACGGCGTGATACGGTGCGCCCGCATAATCAGGGCTGTTATGCGGTTCCTTGCAAAATGGGCGGAGGTTTGGCATGGGACGATCGACATGGTGAACAGTATAGGCTTCCTGTTTGCGAGGCTGGGACTCAGCGAGGGCCATTTCCAGAGCCAAGACGAAGACATGGAAAAGGTTCTGCCTCAAGGTCTTCATTAGCCAACACGTATTCATACTTGGCTGATTGGGTGTAAAATTGGGCAGCCTAAGTAAACAGCTGGTCGAGATGCTGTAGAATACCAATACCATCGGTAATGTCGTGAGGGCATCGTAAGAACAGGGTTTGGTGACTCGCATCCCCTTTTGGCTGGATCATGTACACGGTTGGAACAGTAAAGACGGGAGCATCGTCATTAAACCACTAGAGTGTGCTTTTATCAGTGCTGATGATATGGAAGGTCGAGCTCAACCAAATCTCAACATCCTCATTATTCTCAAAAGGCTTGTGGGTCCTATAAACCCTGGGGAAGCATGATTCACTGTCCATGTTGCGTCACGCGCTCCAACTCGTCTACTGTCTCCTGTCTTTTCTTTCTCCTCTTCTCTCTCTTCTCCGTCCTTCCTTCTCCTCTCAATCTTTCTCATTTACCATACAGTCTCCAAGCTTCTTTCTCGCTCAGGACTCTCCAGCATTTTACAGCACTTTCAAGGTATGAGCGGTCTGGCACCTTATGCGCTTCATGCTAATATATTACCTAGCAACTCTTTTAGCCAGCTATCGCCATGGCCGCCCAGGAGATCGACGTTGGCATGGACCAGTGGCGTTGCGCCAAAGGAAACACTGTCCTGTCGACCGGCGGTCTCCTCACATGCATTAGAGTTGCTATTGTGGGAGAGTACCCAACTGGATACGATGGATACGACCGCTTCTTAGTCCATATCAGCGAGTCTCCCCCTGGAAAAGCAGCAGCTGCAGATCTGTACAACGCCGTCGTCAATGCTATGAACGACCATGATTTCGAGATCACCGAAGCAACGCTGGTTGTCCCAGACCCGAGATCCGAAGATGATGAGGCCTTCACTGGGTGGGTTTATGAAACGATTGACTATTTCAACCAGTTGGCCGATGGCGAGATTGAGGTGGAAGCTCATGACACAAATGAATACTGGGAGTTGGGAATCAACAGTGAAAAGGAGATTTTCTATGGTGCAGAATAAGCCAAGCATTCTTTAGAGCCTCGATATCGCGGCCATGACCATTGTTGGAAGAGAACTTGAATTGGAAGGATGCGCAGGCAGTGACGGGATAACAGCCGTGGCCTTCTTTAGTGTAAAGACAATAAAAGCTTTCACACTCGTCGATCTGTCTCTCCCAATCTCCGCCGGAAGAACTCTTCCATAGGTATGAGATATAGCTGGAGGTTGAACCCATGTTACAAGAACAGCTCAAGAGTATTGATTGTACGAGAAAATGATCAAGTCACCATAAGACGCGTCAATTGGAGGGGAAGGACTTTATAGCTGAACGTGTCAGGAAAACAACACGCTGTCACGTGAATGTCATCATTCCTTATCAGCAACGAATCCTTCTCGTGTTCGCACCCTTCATCTGCAATACTACATTATTAATGTCTCCTAAGATCTAGACATCTTCCTTATCCTCAGCGTCGCTTTCATGGGAGGTATCCTGTTCTGTGCAATCCAAGTATTCCGTGGCCGTTCTGCCAGATGCTCAATGTCATAGTTCAACAGAATGTAAGCAAGCAACATTTTGATCTCGTTGCTCGCAAAGAACCTTCCCGGACACGCGTTCCGGCCGAGTCCCCACGCCAAAAAGTCCTGTGTCGCAGTCGGTAAAGCATTACGCGCACTCTTGACATATTCGTCTGCCTCGTTTTGCCGCGCATCGTAGAAGCGAAGTGGTTTATAAGTCTTAGGTTCAGGGTAGATCTCACTGTCCTGCAGCACTGAGTACCCTGGTACGGCTATTCTTAGCCCTTTGGGGACGTGCGTACCCGATGGAAAAGTGACACCTTTTTCTCCTACGACGGTACGGGAAACTCCGATTGAGACGATGGAGTTCTTGCGCTGGCTTTCGCGAATTGCAGAGTCGAGCTTTTCGAGCTGTGCAACGGCGCGTTTGTTCCACTTGCCATCATGTAGTTTCAGTACGCTCTCTACTTCATCGCGAAGTTCAGACATAAGATCGGGAGATGATGAAGCAATGTCAAGAAGAGCATGGGTAACTGCAAACGTCGTAGTGTGAATGGACGCAAAGTTCAGTAGCAGAACACGTTGAGCCAGCGCGCTGACCTGCCAGTTCTTCGGGTTACCGATCTCCTTAGCTTGCTCAATTAACCACTGCAAGTAATCGTTCCGATCGGACTTGGTGCGTTCATCTTGCGAATCGTATTCTTCTAGACGGGCCTTGATCTCTGGTTCAAGGATCTTCTCAAAGCCGCGAGTGTGAATCCTGTTGGATCGGGTTATAAGAGGCGCAACTAGCGGTTTAACGAAGCTCGGGAACAACTTCATCATCATTGACGACAGTGGAATATCCTGGGCGAACGCGATGCCCAACTTCAGCATCTCTTCGTTTCGACAAAGCGGAAGACCAAGAAATGCTCGATTGGTGATACCACTGAGCATCTTTTGCGCAGATTCCATTATGCAAATTTCGGACCAGTCTGTGCTGCTGCCCAATTGTTTCCTAACACAATGCTCGATTTCTTCAGCGAGATCTGGGATGAGATTTCCGACCTCTTTGGTAAGCGTGGTAGTGACCAGTTCCAAATGAATAGGATCATGTGTGAGGGATGGATCCATGGTAGTGTAGTCCGTTTGTAAATCTTGCTGTGCCGATTCGTGCATGCTGAGCATATTGGTAGGTTGCTCGCTGGCGAACTTTGTATCTGATCGTGGAAGATAGATAATGTTTCCACCGTCGATCAAGGGAAAAATGGCCGCTTGGTTTCTGTACTGAATGTACGCCGAGTTGAGCGCGGCCTTGACATCGAGGGAGTTGCGAATTTTGGCTTGTAAAATGGGAAACCAGTCGCCTTTGCGTGCTCCGATGATTGGTAGGTCAGGTAAGTTGGAACGTTTCAGGAAAATCTGGTATATGATGTAGGATGTCAATAGAATCAGCGGCGCAGCAACCGCTGGTCGCGACAGGATCTCAGGCACTGAGTTTGACATGGCGATGTTGAGGTTTAGCTAATGGGAGAAGGATCTTGTGCGATCGCGCAACCTCAGACTTTATAGCTAACAAGAGATGGGCAACGTACGAATACGACAAGGTAAAGTGTCGGTATAAGCTCTTTCTAACTGGCTGGTTCGCATGAGACGAACTGTAGTGCTTGAACTAATCGGTGACAAGTGCTGACAGTGAGGGCATCCCGCTAAACCTGGCCAAGCTAGCCGTGTAAGATCGCTAGTGGAGATTGCCACCACTACAACGACTGTGCCTGAGAGATGCGACCCTCTCAGCCTCTCGAGCATCTGCATCATAATGCGCTTACGAATATGGAACACTGTTCATGTTATGTCTCGATTTGTGATCGTGACTCGGGAGTTGGGAACTCAGTTTGCCTGTTGGTTGATGTCTAACTGTGCTGACACGGATGAGATAACTACTGTGTTCGTTCAATGCTTGATCTCAAAAACTGCCTTGACGCCAAGATGATCAGTGATCCACGGCTTCTCAAAGCCAAGCGAGAGCAGATCCTTCCGAACATCCTCCTCCGACTTATCCGGCTCAACATCAGCACCAAATCTCTCAAACCCCAAGAGTTCAAGTCCATCGCCACAGAAAAACACCTTATCCATGCGCGAGCAGCCGAATAGCTGTCGCAGCTCTGGTAGAGCCTGCTGTCCCCATGTATACCCTTCGTTATCATCCCTACCGTCGCCTTCTGTGCCACCGAGATTGAGATATGCGTCTTCGAGGTTGTTGTCTGTGTGAAGGGTTCTGTCAAATGGCTGGATGGCGTTGAAGTCTCCAGTCACGACGGCGCCCGAAATGTCCTCGGCGTGCATGTGTGAAGCGATGAGCTGCATTTGGGCTGGGCGACGTGGTGGCTCCATTGCAAGTGATTCGAGGTGAGTGTTGCAAAGTCGAACTATCTGACCAGATGCTTCTACGTCAACAAAGAGGGCATCGCGCTCCATCCGAGTCGCTGAGTAATGCACTCGAAAGCAGGACAGGGCATCAAGTCGGCGATCAACCAGCGTCGTCGTACCATAAGCGCCCGAGGCCCAGTTCGCAGTATCAACATCAGTTCTGTAGAAACCATCTCTGATCCAATCCTTCTCGCTGATGAGAGTTAAATCAGATGGAACGCATTCTTGAATATTTATGACAACCGCCGTGTTGTTGTCATTTCTATGCGGGCGACTCAGCTCTTCCAGGTGTTTCAAAGCAGAGTTCATCCGGCTGTCGGCATGAGGGAGCATAAAATCGATATTCCAGCTGTAAACTGCTAGTCTAGTCGCCTTGGACTTGTTTGGTGAGGGCTCCGATGCTTGAAGTGGCTGCCATTCATCCGCGTTGCTGCTCCACCCGTACAAAGGCTGCCTGCAGGGTTCGTCGGGTCGCCACGGAAGTGCAGACGCTGGCTTTCTCAGCGCGATGGCATTTTCCATTTGCTTCTGAATGAGTGCCTGCATTTTGAGAAGCGTCTGTCTCATGGGATAGGCAAGATACAAAAATATTGGTGTTTCTTGTTTCTCAGTGAAACCTGGTTTGGTCTGGCCATGAATGATCCGCTCGGAGCGGGGTATTCCGGTATCTGACATAAGATCCGAGGCAGCAATGGGTTTATCCTGCCAGTAGCCAATAGCTCAGCAAAAAGGGGATCATAGTAAACTCTGAATAAAAAAGAAGTTCGTCTTAAGCTTTGGGCATTAAAGGTAATACTTCACTGACGAACAGTAGCGCAATCTGCCACGGAGATGAGGCATAGACGAATGCAGGAACAAGATATAATCTACTGGAATGAAACAAGAGGCAGAGAAACCGGTTGGCTCATGTATATAACTATAGGTCAAGCTCAAAATCCCATACTTGTAATTTGCGATCAGGAAATCCACCCGCCTGTCTTACAAACACGCTCAAAACTCCCGATTCATGAAGTCTTGTCTTATCAAAGAGCGGCTCGGTCGAAGTATTCGGGATCTCGGCCAGACTCTTCCAGTCCTTGAAATCTTTTGATGCGGTAGCGACATAAATACCAGTTGACTGCTTGACAGGATCAGGGAGCAAGCCGAACAAGTATTCGCCGCTCGCATCGCCAGCAAGTTTGCCTCTTGGGTCGTACAGATCAGGCCCGTTGAGGCCAGAGGGGTTAATGGCATTCTTGGTCCATGTTCCTTGTAAAAGTTTAGCGATGTTGATTGAAGGGCGATTGACAGAACTTACCGTCAGGTTTCCGGAGATAGTGCTGATACAGATGCTCTCCAGACAACAGGTCTCTCATCAGAATATGGAACCGGCCCTTGATGTCGATAAGCTGTCCCTCCTGGTTGACCATACGGCTGTTCTGAGGAACATCCCAGATCAAGGTGCTGTCATCAGATGTTGAAATGGGTTTCGACAGCTTGGTACCATTCGTATTGAACCATGTCTTGCCATCGTCATTCGAGTAGGCAAAATAAACACCATGATTGGTGTCAGCATTCGGTGTTTCTCTGACAGTCCACGAGGTATACAACTTTCCATCCAGGTAATCTATTCCGTTGATGTACGCATTGTTGTCGTCACCTTGGATGTACATTCCGTAGGCTTGCCATTTCCCAGTCGATGCGCTGTAGCGATGGATGTAACTATCGCCCGACCCCGACCTACGGTTGTCAGTACGCGCCCGAAGACAAAATCACAATACTCACTGGCCAATTCGAAACTCTAATAGAAGGTCACCGTTGCTCAAAGGCTCAAATCGAGGATACGTCAGTGGCGAGTAAGGTCCTTGGGACCCAACAAGCTCATGGACGACGGGGCCGAAGAGATCTGAGGTCCATTTTGAGGGAACGTCTTTTGCGATACCGTTTTTCGAGATGCGGTAATTGATCGGGACATCCTTCAAGAGTCAGAGAGGATCCCCAGTCTTGGTTTCAACTTACATGATGATCAAAGCTGAGGTGAATCTTTCCATCCCCTGAAATACCCATAGAGATCATGTTATGGCCATCCATCGTCTTCTGGGTATAGTCATCGAGAGTGAGGAACTCCCAGTCGCCGATACTAGGTGAAACCTTTCTACGTCCCACCTTCACGAAATGGTTGAGATATCCCGCCGGGGCAGTCTCGTAAAAAGTAACATATTGATAGTCCCCATAAGTAATGAGGGCATCTTCTTGATAGCTCACGCCATTGAGTCGTTCGGAGCCTTGGACATCGGTGCCGATTGTCCACTGTTTGGTGGACTTGACCGTGAGGGCTGAAACGGCCGACGTCAGGCTTGCAAAGATGACTGCAATCCTGTATAGATGCATTGTGAGCGAGAAATTCCGAACCAAGAGATGATGATAATTGAGCAACGAGAGAGGGATTCCAAGGCATATTATTTATGAACATTGCAGATCTTACCGATTTCACTCTCACAGGATCGTATTCCAGGTCTTCACCTGCGTATTCCTGGTAAACTGGCACTGATGAATTGATCTTGGAACCCCTTGTTTGCCAAGATGATGTTCATAAACGCTGCTTTTCAATTGGAGAGGCTACAACCCCGCGTCGTCAATTCTCCCGAGATTGTGGGGAAGTAGGCTTGGCATTAATATCACCAGGGACATGAATAACGGCACTTGTGACCTTCCCAATCATTACTAGGCACGGCTATTTCAACAAAATGGGTCATCGGAGTGACGGACGTGGACCCGTTGTTGCATACTCTCACTCTTGTTCATCATTGGTTCGAGAAGTTTTGGCCGGGCTCAGATAGCCCGATATCCCGATGCACGTCGTCACACGATATGTCAATCAAATGGTTTTTGCAATAATCTTTGTTATCGTGTTAATGATCTATAAAGATGTATAATCTCGGCGCCCATTTGTGCGAGATGAACTACAGTCAGTTGCATGACCAAGACAGCGCCACGAGTCAAAAGTATTCCAGCCGCGTGGAATGAAGGCCATTGGATGTGATGAAGTCCAGAATGACCCTGAGAGGGGACAGAAAATATTGATCTTTGGATGGAAAATGGGGAAAAAGAATAGATAGTTATTCTTTTGCCATTATACCTCCTTATTCTAAGATCGGATCAGAGTTGTGATGGGCTCGAAATAAGTTTCCATTACTGGTTGAGAGTGGACATTATATGCGACCAAAGACAGAGACGGTTTTCTCCCTGCCTGCCCCGTTCTCAAAGTTTTAGATCCCAGGTTGTGTCGCGCAAAGTTAGGTCGTGTAGGTAGTTAGATGAATCCACTCCTTACTTTTCGCCTCCACTAAGAGCTGAAGGTTAATAAAAGTCGACAAATAATAGTATTTTCCTTTAAGCCCCGAACGCTCCGTTGCTTTGGCTTCAGGCAGTCATAGCCTATGAGCCACGGTGCTGAGCACACAGTTGTTGCTCATGACTGCAGAGCCTCTTTGCCCCATGAGTTGTATCACTCTTGACTTGTGGACCAAGACTAAGTTCACAGCTATCTGGGCAGGGTACACGCCCACTCTGTAAAACCTTAGACCAAACGTTTACTTATTAAGAGGAGAAGAGCCACTCGCAACTAATGACGATGTACTTTCTGATTCTTTCCCTTCAAAAGCTCTTACTTGACCTTCGTGTTGCACATCGCCGTGGACAATTCGCTTAACGAACTTTACAGGAAGACGACCCAGAGCAGTAAACCAAAAAAGCCCAATACTTGTCATTCATTTTCTACATCATGTCAGAAGGAAATTCGAGGTAAGCGTTCAATATTCTTCCTACTTGCTGCACTGAATCTCGCGATGGTGTGCCTCAGACAATTCATCGACCCAGAAAAAGAACCCCAACTGTATTTACAGAAGCCGCGGATTAATTTCTATCTTACCCTCGTTTACCTTCATAAACTATACATAACGGCTCGCGCTAATATGGAACAAGCAGAAACTCGCCCGGTTTCGTCAAGCACCTGTATCTGATTTTTCTCAGCAGACCTGTTAATGATGTCACGGCGGTGGAGTTCATCAAGGCCACTCTCCAATGCGGCAGCATACCCCTTTGGGAAAGCGTCGGTGCCGGTCTAAAGTCCAATATTATCGAAGCGACGACTGAGGAAGCAGAGAAGCTCACCAGCCACCCCGATATAGTGCGCGTGACACTGGTTGAAGCAACAACTACTGAGGAAGACATTCAACATGACGATTGCTCAAACAAGAAAAGCCACGTCGTATGGCCTCTAAATCGCCGAGACAAAGATCAGTGTAGTACTACCCATCTTTCAGTCAAAGAAATCTTCAAAGGTCAGATGCAACCACAGGACGTTGGAAGTTATGGGGTCAAGCTGTGGAAGATCGATTCAACAAGAGACCAGGTATCGCTAGCTGAAAAGATCCAGGGCGTCAGATCTATAGTTCCTCTAGATCAGTATCTTCTCAAAAATTCAGGAAAACCTGTACTGAGGAAGCGAAGGATAATCAAGCCAGTGAGAATTGAGGATCAAGATCAATGCAAAGCCACAGGCACTGCTCTCAGGGACCTCTTTGGGGACTATGTAACCCCAAAGTTACTGCAAGATGGCAGGATCTGTCACTGGAGGGCATTGCTGTCTTCAGAAGAAATGGGACAGGCTGCAACCGTTGGAGGAGTGCTTTCAGTCCGCACAGCCGCGCTAGGGAGGCGTGGCCCCGGTCCCGGGCCGCATCCGGCGAATGTATGCAACCACAGGTAATACAGATAGAGAACAGACCGTCCAGCTTACCAGCGCACTTTCATGATAGAAGAATCAGAATTACTTGAGCTGGCTCTTATTATCAAAGAACATTTGCCCTAGTACTGTTGCTAAATAAAAGTAATTTGAAGAAAGCACTGAAGTTCGCTTGGTGCGCGCAGCTCCTTTTGGAAGACTCGTCCAAACCCCTAGGTAGGGTTCGGCAGAGTATACCTGTCCAACGATAACAATGGAAAGGAAATTAATTCTACCATCAGCATCATGTAACAGAAGTGGAATTCATTCACACAACATAATCCTACAATGCCGTAGGTCATGGAAATGCCTCCGAGGACAGCTGTGTATGGTAAAAAAAAGTCCCGTTGTTCCACAGGGTCACATTTCGTCACCGAAGCCCGTCGATCAGGATGACGGATGAGCTGGTGTATCCGTCGGCAGGAACCAATGATGCCAATTTTTGTTTCACATGGAATATCAAATGATCACTTAGTATCACTCTATAAACTTTCAACTATATTGAAGAAATCATGTCAGCCTTGCTATTCGTCATTCCATGGCAAATTGTCCTCGCATAAGGCGTCTGGATTGCCAAACGACAACCTACATGGAAGAACTTTTAAAGCGTTCTCACAAAGCATGTCCTCCCTGTTTTATTCATTGGTGCTTTGAACTCAACTCCTGACATGAGCCTGCCAGTCTTTGTGCCGATGAGAGGAAAGAAAGTAGCAAGACCTCCCAGAAGTCGATATTAGAAGATAAAGTATTTTGCACTATCAAAGAATACAGACAACTCTTGTAAAGAAAGATATCAAGTCCCGACCTAGGACTGCCGATATATCATTTGGCCGTGTATGGACTCTGTATGATGGTACATGGTACAGATGACAAGAGACTCTTTGTGGCGAACTCTATTGGCCTAGCACTTATCGGCGATGAGCTCCCTCTATTATTTTAAAATTTATTTAGTGAGATCCTATATTATTCGTCTCCATCGCCCAGAAACTCGAGCCCTCGGCCGGACAATAGCAATTTGAACACGAATTGGCAAGTTTGCTAATCACTTTTGTTTAATCTAGCCAAACTACTATATTTTATTGAATGCCATTCTGCAGTGCTTACATTGTACTTGCTGATTGCTTGGAAACTGGGAACGGCCATGAGTCCATGACGCGTGACGCGGTGAGTGGTACCTAAGCTTCAGTCACCAATTCTATTCGTATGACCTCTAATTCTTTGCCCCAGAAGCGCCCGATGGCGAATTAAACTTTTCAATCTCTGTGCATGGGGTATCATAAATAACGAGCGCCCTTGGTACGAGATTAGCTGGTGGTTCGTTCCATCCACTTCACTTATCACTTTCACAACTACCGAGGCACCACAGCTCATCTTGAACTGACTCTAGACCATGTCAGACGAATCCAGGTAAGACCGCAATATTTGGCAGCCGCCCGTATAAGATTTCCGAAGCGTTGCTATGATTTAATCATTTTCCTGCTATTACACAAGAAGTACAAGCTGGCAAAACCCATCCTTTACCATGTTTCTGCACATTCTTCTCTTTCCGTGGTTGAGTTTGGTACTCTGTTCAGTATCAAACACCGCTGACACGAATGACACCATTTCTAGCCTTCTGATCGTGGTGGATTGCTCTACACTGTATTCCTCCGCCTGAGTCCTGATGCCAATAAGAACGTCGATCTCATCCAGCATGCTCTTATGAGCAACAATCTTTCTCCCTAGGTAGAGATTGATGAGCATATAATTTCAAATACGATAAGGGCGTCCAACGGTGGAATTTCAGTCATCCGACGACGCCCTGATTTCGAGCGTGTTGTACGGATAGAGCCTGCAACTTACGACACTTCCATCTTACAGCAACAAGAAGACCTGGGCAAGGCAAGATACATCATTTTGCCGATTGACCTTGGGAATCAAGAACAGTTCAATGCGACTAATAGTTCCCTTGACCTAGAATTTGGAACCCAGATTGAGGCACAGATGGTTGGTCAGGGGAGTATTTATATGTGGGAGGCTGACTTATCCAGGGACCAAGTATCTCAAGCTGAGAGCCTCGATGGTGTCAAGTCCGTGCAGCCCAAGCTCTACAATCTGAACCGCAGATACGTGGCAGGGGGGTACGTGATTGATCCTCTTGACCGTGAAAACCAAGAACAGTGTGCCGACTCAGGCGCCTCTCTCGCAAGACTCCTTGGAGGTCATAATTACGATCCAATTATTAGTGTTTTTAGATGGCAAATTACACAAATGGAGGGCCGATTTGTCCAACGAACAAGTAGCGCAAGTTAAGGCTATCCATAGAGTGAAGGGCGTCCGACCCATTCACAAAGGGTTAGGCGATGTCACCTCGGTTTGAAATCCACAAATGGCCTAGAACCTTAGGCACAGCAGGAGATCCAGTATGAAACGCAAGCAGGTGCTCCTACGGAGTTGGTATCTATTAGTCAACCAAGTTATGTGTCTTGACCTATCAACCCGCTCGTTTGGTCACTCATTGAAGGAGATCAAAGGCTGCGCACTACTACCTGACACATGGAAGTTCACCTATGGCCTTGGAGATGATGGGCGTGAGTGGACAGCCAGATTTCGTACCGGGGTCTTTCAGAAAGAATGTGTCGGTAATGCAGTTGGAAAAGCGTCAGGCTTTGGCAATTTTGGGTGTGCAGGATCTGGCTAGCTTGAGCGACTTCTGGGTAGAGGCTCATCTTGCCAGCATTGTCTCGTGTTCTTAAATGCAGATTGTTTACAAGGAGGCAGGTGGACACTTCAGTGTCCTTTCGAGTAATTCATTTGTTTTTCATACATTTAACCCGGGCTTTGCTAAGCCTCCATAGTCTAATCTTTGTCTAGAAGTTCTTATCTAATCAGCTAAGGCGCAGTGGCAGAGTGGTCTAATGCGATAGACTAGAAATCTATTCTCCTCGGAGGCGTCTGTTCGAATCAGGCCTGCGTCGATTGGATCAACTTTTTCTTGAAACTGCTTTTATGGGATTGTTCTTTTTGCCTCTTGTTCGCTTGATAGACCAGCCAGTGTCTATCTCCGGCTGCTTAGACGGTGTTATGTCGCTGCATAATAGGATGTCTCGCTGAACATAATCACTACACTAAATCGCGTAGTTCAATTTGAAGTGGATGATTTGATTTATAATTAAACATCATACAAATATTTTCCTCTTAGCTATGCACTGCCAGGTCTTTGCCATTCTTCTCTCAAGCCTTGGAGATCGCAATCGATCCCACAGACCCCTCCTCAACCTTGTGTTCGCCTGCATCGAGCTCCTTGCCATCACCAGACAAATCGCCCGCAGAATACACAGTTAGCTTAGTACCAGAAGAAACACGGATGAAACGAATAGAGTCAGGCTTCAGTCCAGCCTCGGTCAAGAATTCTTCGTTGAAGTCACCGAGCCCAAGGCTAACACCCCGACCAGTCGCACTAGTAGTAACGAACACAGAGGCACCAATCCTGGGCTGGGGGACGGGGATTCCACCATCAAAGGTCAACTTGAGGACATAGGCGAGTGACTCGGCTGGTTGAGCTGGCAGCGAAATCTCTAGAGAATCCTTGGACTGCTTCCAATCCGAGACCTTTTCGTATTCGCCAGCCTTGTCGCCGAGAAGCTCAACAGACTTCAGGTTCTTGAGGTCAACCAAAGCATCGGAGCCAAGACTGCTGATAGAGACATGTTTATCGTCGGGCCAGCCAAGAACCGTGGCGTAGAGAACGTCAGCAGCCTTGTTGCGTGTGAAGCGAATGTCACTGCTGTTGCCCTGCAAAGGTGCCGTGAAAGAACCGCCAGTAACTTGATTAGGGCCTTCACCATAAATATCCCAAGCGCGGGTACTAAAGACAGACTCCCCATAGCGCCCAAGGAAGTCTCCTATATCCTGCAAGACCTTGAGCTGCTCGTCAGGCAAAACACCGACTGCAGTTGGCGAAATGTTGAGCAGCATGTTGCCATTCTTGCTGACACGGTCAAGCAGCGAGTGGACCATGGCCTTGGAGGAATAATACTTGATGCCGACTGTATAGCTCCAGCTTGAAGCACTGATCGCATCATCTGTCAACCAGTAAGGGCGGGTAATGTTGGCTGGTCCACCACGCTCATAATCACTGACGGTGGACGTGTCGCGAAATCCCACGTCAAAATGCTTATGTGTCGTAACGACCTCTTTGTTCCACTCAACAGCGCGATTGAAGTAGTACGCGAGAAATTTCAACCGTTTCTTCTCAGCAACAGCACATGGGCCATCAAAGTCAGCACAGTAGCCTGGACTGTCGAGTGAGAAGTCGTTCCAGATGATGTCAGGCTGCACGTGGTCCAGCATCTCTCTATGCTTGTCAAACCATAGCTGGTCTGATTCGTCGCGTGAGAGTTGCCCCAGTAATTTCTTCAAGCTCGTGTCGTTGGTCTTTGGCGCCCATTCATAGAAGCCGTTGTAGTTGTAGGCTTGATGCATGGCGACTACGAGCTTCATGCCGTTCTTGCGCACAAGATCCGCCCATAACTTGACCAAGTCTAGTTTGGGACCTCGCTTGACAGAGTTCCACTCATTGACCTTGCTGTCCCACATAGAGTACCCATCGTGATGCTCGCCAACTGGGCCAGCGAACTTTGCACCTGACGCCTTGACAGCTTTGATGATAGCCTCGGGATCGAACTCGCCGCCTTTTGAGCTAAGAACGGGCTTGAACTGGACGAAGTTCCCTTTGAGATCATCAGCACCATTGATGAAATTGGCGTAGCCCCATTCCTCGGGTGGTCCGTAGGTCTCGGTATGGTGTTTGCGTTGGTCTGAGCCTGGCTCATACATGTTGCGTGGATACCATTCGCTGGCATACTGAGGGGTTGTGAAGGCTCCCCAGTGCCAGTAAACACCGAATTTGGCGTCACGAAACCATTCAGGTGAGGCGTTGTGTTTGTCGGTTGACTCCCATGTTGCTTCGTAAGGGCCTGAAGCTTGAGCAGCAGCGTTGACGGAAAACAAGGCGCCGGCAGCAGCTGCAACTGCGGTCAACTTGGTAGAGAGAGTCATCATGAGCTTGTCCCTACGGCCTTTATCAACAGGTTACAAAGAAGTCTTGAACAAACAGCCAGCGATTCTTGCGGTTGAGTGATCACCAAACCCTCTTTTAAAGCCCCCCATCTAGCCATTAACACGCCATACGCACATGCAAAACAAAGGATCAACAAACTCATTGCAACCTCGTATATTGTAACGTTGATGTTCACGGGCAGGAAGTGTACAACCGGACCGAAACGGGCCGTGATACGAAGTCCATGAACAGCGATCGGCATGTAGGAGATTCGTGCGGATATCGTGCCCTGGCAATCTTGGGCGCTAAAGCGACTCGACGAGTCACGTTGTATAGACTACTTTTCTATTTACCCGGGATCGTCGTTTGACAATGCACGAAAGTCCTGCTGCATACGACCTTAGACATACGAAGTGAGTATCATCCCCGGACCCCGCGCTACCCCGCAAACGACCCATGCTCATCATCAGAAGATTGAGCTATTTCTTTGACGGCACGATGAATGCCGAACTGCTTACTTGTTCTCGACTTACATATGGTAGGGTTTGTGGAGAATTGTGGATTATTGAGAAGGCGAGTTTCATGATATAAGCCGGGGGGAGGACAAAGTATTCCGTGATATAATCAGGGTTTGCCCCTATACAAACGAAGAAAGATTCTGCATAGTTTATAGTCATTCACAACTTCACTAGCAATGGATATTCTGGTTGTCTGAAGAATAGATTGGTCCCTAACTGGTCCAGTAATCCAAGATGTCTTAGTGACATTATTCTCCCATTTTCTGCATTTATTTTCTGCATCTCTATCATGATCTCAGCATCTCTCATACTCCAATCCATTCTCGCGTTGTCTAACCACTCTCAAGTCCAAATTGAATACCTGCTGGTGGTAAAAGCCTACACGAAATCACAACCCAAAGCCTGTCCACGCCGAAACCTCCAGACCTTCGAGCACTCCTCGCCTTTCACATTCACCTTCAGTTCTTGGTCTCAGCCTCATCCCAAGGCAGAGTACCAGCCCGGCCAGGGATAGGATGACCCTCACGATCCATGTAGAAGGTCTTCTTGGAAGAGTGAAGGCGCCAGACCAAGACGCGGAAGCCCCAAGACTCGGGACCATCGAAGACAGGCTTGAGCTCATCATGAAGAACAGACTTAGCAGCAAGACTCCCAGGCTCCTCGAACATGTCCTTGTTGTTCTGAATCATGTTGGTGAAGTGAGTGTCCTTCATGCAGATGATCTCAATGTCGCCCTCGGCAATGTTGGTCGAGACAAGCTGAGCAGCAGGGCCAAAGACAAGGAAGGGAATCCACTTCCACTCAGTATAATCGCATCCGAAAACGCTCTCGGACCATTTGAAGGTGATTTCCTTGCCGTCGACACGGTCGCGGTGGATGATGGAACGGACGAAGGGAGTTCCGGGCTTGCGGCTGTCGAAGATAGCCTTCTGAAGGAACTTGGTCGAGATAGAAAGAGTCGGGTGAGGGTTGGTGACGTTGAGAGGGGAGTTGGGGTCAGTGGCATTGTTGTTCTCAGAAACCTCCTTTTCCTTTCCTTTGCAGGTAGTTGAGCCGCGGATAGTCTCCTCATCTTCGCAGCCGTCTTCAGACATACCAGTACCATCGTAGCAGTATGATGCAGGGTCCGAATGAATAACCTGGGGAACCTGCATGGTGGGAGAGAATTGGATACGAGCCACAGTAGAGGTGTCCGAGTAGACGGACTGCTTAGCGCTATGGAGCGAGACAGAGGACTCAGTATCAGTGATAGACCCAGCCAGATAAATTTGAGCCGGGGCGGCATGTCCTTCAGCGTCTGAGGCTGGGTAGTCCGCCATAGTGTAGGTAGACAAAGAGCCGGACTTGCTGTGCTCATCGTCAGAGTCGACGTCTTTCTCGTGAAGACTAGCTTCAAGAGCCCATTCGAGAACAGACTTCTCTGTCTCTAGCTCCTTGAGGCGAGCCTGCATTTGCTCGCGACCCATGTTGTATATGATGGGTAGGTGGACTAAGGAGTTGGTCTTATCGTCGTGATAGAGTGGAAGTATCGGGTTGTCGGTTTGTCTGTCTTGAAAGTTGTTATTGAGATGTTATCAAGTTGTTGGCGAGGTTTTGTCAGGGTTGCGGTTTGTGGGAAAGGAGAGGATGTTTGAATGGTTCATCTAGATAGACGAAATCTCTTTATGACAAGATGAAAGGGACTGAAACTGATCGGATGGCTCCTGCCACTGTCACCGGTATCATTTTCGCCATCAACGCTTCTATTGGCACTGGCACTTCTCTGTTCTGTTGTTTCTTGCTGGGCTGGTCACCACTCACTGGGTTCCTCACTCATGTTCATAGGGTCTCAGACACTGCTCGCCAGAAAAAGACTGAGTTGTCCTTCACCAAGTTGCGAGGTGATTCTTGGGAAATTGTTGTTCCAAAGAAAGCTTCTAGGTGCGTGTAATCCTTTAGACTACAGCGCCGCTTACTTCTTCCTTGTCTATCCATAAGGAACAGCCTGCTTCGGGTTTGTTCAACCTGGCTGTCAATACTTTAATAACTGTTCTCTTTCTCAAATCACTGTGTTCTCAGCAAGAAAAGGAGTTGTACTTTCGTTAGTTCACAGACTCCAGTGTCTGCAGTTGTTCTGTTGCCGTTCAACAAAATCAGCCTTGATATCTTTCTCAAGCCGCAACCGAGCCCGACTACCCGATCTGAATTGAATTATCATGGCAATCAGAGGATTTAGGTTATATGTACCAAGATTTTTGAACTTATCAGCTTTGCTCACATAGCTAAAGAATAGTTTGGGGGTATTTTAAATAGCGAGTCTTAGATATATTCTCCCACTCGTCATCCTATTCCCTTCCTACGCAGTTCTCCGCTCCAGTAAAGTGAAAGTTGTCTGTATGCTAAACATCGCGATTGCTACGCAATTAATAAAGTGATAGATCCACATCTTCACCGATATAATGTCTTATACCCACCAGTGGCTGCATGTTTATCAGTACTATTGCCGTAGATGGAAAGCAGTGCGGCTGACACAAGGCATATTTCAACCTGGTCATCACCAATCAATAATTATGTGGCTTATGCATGACACGCTGGTCAATCAACTCTGCATGATAATTCAAGGCAGAAGTGCAACTAAGATGTCTATGAGTGGCTAAGCCTCCACACTAGTGGAGGGAGGGGCCTCAGTGAGACTGCACCGTTAATCAGTCAGCCCGCAGGAAGACGGAGGAAATTGAAGTTCAAAAGAGAGCTGAAATCCCTCGAGCTTTGCACCGGTTTTCTCCGGTTCCCTGAGTCGCGAAAGCCATTTTCCAGAAAATGGCTGATCACACCCTTGATGCTGTTGCCCAGCTGGGTACAAGTCTCGCGAGTAAACTCAACCTGCACTCTGAGGGATGTCGCAAGTCTCGCCAGCGACTCCCAAAGCTGGTGTCTCTGGTCAACTCGACTGCTTCGACCATCCGTCAGATTCACGAACTGGTCCAGCAGAACGACAAAATCTTCACAGAAGCTTGCATGAAGGACATCAACTCCCTTGCTGCCAAGTGCAGGGCTATTTATGTCGGAGTCCTTACTCTTGTCGCTAAGAAGACACAGAGTGTAAGCGGAGACAAAGATGCGAAAACTTTGTCGTCTGAGCAGGTTGAGGAGCTCTTGGCCTGTCTTGCCAACATGAGTGTTTGGCGAACCGAAGCTTGGAACTGGCTGGAGCCGCGACTGAAGATTTGCCAGCAGGAGTTGAAGCAAGTCAAGTTTGAGCTTGTCCTGCGCTATCTCCTTGGCAGTATCGCTCGGCTCCAGATGGAGTTAGTAAACCCATTTCATGCGTCTACAGTTCAGGTACTAACGTCGAGCCAGAACTATGATACGTTCCCCAGGCGCTTGGGAGAATGAAAACTCCCTGCGATGTTTTGCCGAGAACGTCGCTGAAAGGCGCGTGATGTACTACAAGTCTTACAACAGAAGGCGAGCTGCCTGGAATAAGTCGCCGTCACCAAAAGCCTCGTTCGACGACTTCAGAAGTGTTTATTCAACATCAACGTTGGTATCTCCCCTTCCTTTTATCATAATCTCTTACTGACTATATACTCTTTATAGCACAAGTACCGCGGTCCTTCCTCCCCGCGTGTCAGTGGTTGACGGAGACAGCTTTAATGAGAAGGTGAAGACTGAAACAGTTGCAACTGAGAAAGAGTCTTCAGAAGCCATCTCTGAGAACACTATCCAGAACAAACAGCTTGATAACTCCCCTCGAAACTGGTTCCAACGTCTCTTCTCTTTCAGTCACAAAGAGGATTGGAAGAATGAGGATATCATGGCTTTCGTCCTTGACATGAGTCACGCAAACAAGCTCATCACGAGACTCGAGCTAGATGACAAGGAGCTCAAGGCAAACCTCTCCAAGCTAACCTCTAGTCGTCTGTGGAAAAGTCGCCCCAACCTTGTCGAGCAATACTCAGCACTTGATCAGAATGTTCGCCAGGATGTCGATAATGCCATCATTGTCGCAAAGCGGAAGAGCACCCGTGAGATGACTCTTGTCGCCATGATGACCAAGAAGTCGGATTCGCAGAAGGCAGCTGACAGAAGTTCTGGCTTCCATTATGCTCCTGATCTCAATGTCACTCTCTACTTCAAGCTGGGTGCTGAGTTTGAGCCGATCTATTTGATTGATACCCAAGAGAGAAGGCTTGAGTTACCTTACACATCTTGTGCCACTTACAAGGTATATAACCCAAACGAGGATGTCTTGAACGAACCGATACTGATCTTTGATGGCAGATGATGAGAGATCTGATGACTCAAACCAACTGGGCCCCCGGCATTGCTCATCATATCATGGCTGGTCGCTACGATCTCTGCACCCAAGACGGCCTGGCGGTCATGCTTGGAACCTGGGACTCAGTTCGTCGTCCCGGCATGACACTGACTCTCAAGATCTGGCCACCTCCAGTTCCACCAGGTCCACCTCGGCCCAGAATGTATCCACCCCCACCTGTGGGCTACGTTCCGCCGGCCAAGAAATATCGCGAAGAGATGAAGGAGGCGTACCATGAGGTGGTCGAGTTGCTCGGCCTCGCTGAAGGGTGGATGCCAGACCAGGAGACTGTCAAGTCTGGACTGGGAGATCTTTTGCGTCTGTGGACTAATGCTATTGATCCCCATACAGAGGATTGTTCGGACTGTGCATCGTTCATGATGAGCTACAGCTCTTCGAGCTCTGAGTACAGCGACTGAGATACTGGTGATATCTAGCGGGAAGGTTTCCTTTGTTGAGTGCTTATGTTGACCTTGATGACCAAATTGATGATCTGATTTGCGAGAACGTTGTTGTCTGAAACGCCGCGGTATTGGTGAACAGTCGCCAAATGCACAACCCATTAGCGCAATGCATGTTCGAATGGGATGTTGTTGTTTCAGCCTAGCAGATACGAAACATATCAATGACATAGCTATTCTGTTCACTAATCTTACCATCATTCCATGTAGAAGGGAGGTATGCTACCAAACATCACCCGATTCAACTGAAACACCATAATCAGGTATAATGACACCTTTTCCGTCAAACTTAAACCCGCATAAACCTTATCGGCCTACCCATCAATTAAAGTCTCTAGAGATGGTGTAACATCAATATTCTACGTAATGAACCGCTCTGGACCCCTGACCAACAACTATCGACAAATAAATGGCGAGATTATTCAAGTTGATAATTCGCCATCGTATCCACTACATTCGCCCCTAACAAGTCCAGAAGCCGACAAGCGGAGGTTAGACTTTTTCTCTTCCCGCTAAAAGATCCACATCAGCTGTCCCCGAGCCCCATATTCTTCCCCATTCTCACTACGCTCTAGGGGACACCGCGCACTAGCAGTGAAAACTTCGAATTGCGCAATCGGAGCCTTGTAAGAAAAAAAAATGGATAGTACCGAGATTAAATAAAGAAACAAAGATCTGTGTTTCTTGGCGATGGAACATTTCTCCTCTCCACATTCTCTGCTTCTTTTGGTGATATCAACATGACGTCTAATAAGGGTCTTGACGTTGATGCTATTCAGGCTGCTCCGCCCGTGGTGCAGAACCATGATACGGATGATGAGAAGCCTGTCCTCAACACCGGAGGTCATGGACCTACGCAGCGAAGGCTGAAGGATTATCACATCACCTGGATTGGTCTTTGCAGTGGTATTGGTACGGGGTTGTTTATTGGAACTGGTTCGGCTTATGCCAGTGCTGGTCCTGCTGGTCTGCTTCTGGCGTATATCGTCGTTGGAGCTGTTCTTTGGTGTGTTATGCAGAGTATCTCTGAGCTCGCGACACTGGTAAGATCCCTTGATCAGCTTGCGTCATCGTGATGCTGACCTTCATAGTTCCCTACTGCTGGTTCGTTCCCTCATTGGGCCACTCGCTTCATTGATCCTTCAGTCGGTTTCTCACTCGCCATCTCATACGGTTACTGCTACACCATCGCCATCGCATCCGAATGCTCAGCCGCCGCCGTTCTCGTCAGCTACTGGACCGATCTCACTCCCGCAGTAGTCATCACCATCAGTCTTGTTCTCATCCTATGGATCAACCTGATGAGCGTCCGATTCTTCGGTGAGACTGAAGTCGTCACTGGTGGTATCAAGGTTCTCTGCTTCCTCGGTCTCGTCATTGTCGCGATTGTCATTACTGCTGGCGGTGGTCCTAATCACAAGTCCATTGGTTTCAAGTACTGGAATAACCCCGGTGCTTGGGTCGATTACAATGGCATCACTGGCTCAACCGGACACTTCCTCGGCTTCCTCTCCGCCTTCGTCAACGCCTCCTTCTCTTTCGTCGGTGTTGAGACCGTCGTCATCACCGCCGCCGAGTCTGTCAACCCTCACAAGGCTATCCCCAAGGCTGCCAACCGTGTCACCTACCGTATCGGCTTCTTTTACGTCCTCGGTGCCCTCTTGATAGGCTTGATTGTCGATCCGAGGAATGCTGACCTTGTTTCTGGCTCTGGTAACGCTAAGAGTTCGCCATGGGTTATCGCTATCCAGACCGCTGGTATCAAGGTTCTCCCTTCGATCGTCAACGCCTGCATTCTGGTTTCTGCCTGGTCTGCTGGTAACTCTTACTGCTGGGTTGGTTCTCGTATGATCCTCGCCATGACTACCGATCGACAGCTCCCTCAATTCTTCGCCCGCACCACCTCAAAGGGTGTTCCTTACGTAGCAGTTATCACTGCCTGGTTGTTTGGACCCTTGGCGTATCTGAGTAAGTCCCTCTTTTCATACTCATCTTTGAATGTCGTACTAATAATCACTAGGTCTTGGTTCTGGTGGCGCTGCTCAGGCTTTCTCTTGGCTTCTCAACCTCAGCACAGTCGCAGGCCTCATCGCATGGGGAACTCTCTGCTTCTGTTACATCCGCTTCTATCGCGCCATGAAGGTTCAAGGCATCGACCGCAACACCCTCCCCTGGAAGGCGCCTTGGCAGCCCTACACCGCATGGTTTGGCGGTATTGGCTCCATCGTCATCACCCTCGTCGCTGGATTCCCTGTCTTCCTCAAGGGTAATTGGAACACTGCCGATTTCGTCGCCTCATATGTCGGCATTCCAATCTTCATCGTCCCCATCATCGCATGGAAGCTTTATCACCGCACCAAGGTACGCTCTTTGATCCAGTATTTCAGTAGTATCGTAAATACTGACTTTGCCGCTTGCAGGTTCTACGAGCCCACGAAATCGACTTGTGGTCTGGTCGTTTATCTGACGATGCCATCTCAGCCCATGACACTGAGCGGGAGCATGTTTAAGCACTACCTTGGCATATTATGGATCTCGAAACATTCTTGCATGCAACTCGCATGAAGGCCTTACTGCATCATACTCATACACTAGACTTATAATTAATCACTCAACGCATGGAAGCGTACATAGACAAGCGATATCAGCGCAAATAGAACTGAATTTTCTGGCTTGACAATTATCTACGGTTTTGTGGCATCACGCAGAGCGATGAGTGCCTTGATCTCATATGTTGATATGGCGCTTTTATTTATGCGCGCCGGTGAACGAAAAATCTAGCTTCAGTCTACTGCCAAACTATTGCTTGATCAAAATCGACTTGCTCTGGCGTAGTTGCAGTAGGACATAATATTATGATTCCATTCTCTTTATCCTCTTGCCCTGGAATTGGATGATCAATGTTGAGATCAGCCATCATCACTCCGACCTGAGTAACTTGTTAGAAATGCAAAGCCAGCACAGTCGACGTCAAACTTACCTTCCCAACAGTCCCTTGATCGACACCAGAAGCTCTCAACGTCTGCGCTAGTCGAACAGCCAACGATGCTGTAAACATGTTGTTCTTCCCTACTTCTACCATAACAGTCATGAGAGCTGTAAAGTTGGCCTCACTTTGAAGGTCACCAGTGGTGAGAAAGTCCGACAAGAAAAATGATGCCGCAATGAACGACGCAAACGAGACCAGTGGATTGCGGAACCTGGTATTCAGATCTGTGACCAAAGCAACAGTGATCATGATTTGAACCGCCGATTCCATCACTCTCGCTTTTGTAGTGGGCAGCGCAGCCATGTCCACCTGCGATCTTGTCAAGGCAGATTGATGAATGCATATCAAGGCCGTATGTAACTGAAGATTGATGAGAACCGCTTCGGGGCTTTCCATATTCTCTGGACACCTGAGATCCAACGGCAGTGTCGCGAATGCATTCGTGACTGCTTCATCTAGTTGCTGCAGCTGTTGCCAGTCATTATTGTCCTCATCTTCTTCGACATTTCTGGAGAAGTTGAAGCACTCGTTGAAGAGATGGACTGCGACTACTCTACAGGCGCTTGTAGAGAGCTCATACATACCCTGTCCTAGGGCTTGCCTGAGAGTCAGTGTGGCTATTGGGGTATTTGATAACAATGCATCGATGGATGACGGGAGTCGCGTTTGTATCTAGTTGGGTCAGAAGCTAGGGTCAAGCGTTGGGGAATTGGTTGTACTCACGCTCCTCCAGTCCATCATGGTTGGCCAACCGCCTGTGCTACTTGTGATACGATCAGTCGTGAAAATGACCCAGAAGGTCTTTCTGCGCTCTTCCTCCTCTGTGAAGTCCAATGCAATTGGGAGTGTTAAGCCTGCAGCATTCTTCCCGTCCAGTCGGTGAAGTCCGAGGATTTGGGCTAACCGGATAGCTCTCGCTATACTCATCGATGCTCTTGAGAACCAGAGATGCTGTGCTTCAAAATGGCTCATGAGAACCCAGGCTTGACAATGCGCCAGTGATATCTGGTCACTATCGCTCTGCTTTTGGTCAACGCCATGCTGGACATGTCGCTCTCGGGACAACTCACCTTCATTTCATCAACTTGGATGTACTGCCGCGCGCGCACATAGAATACTTCAGCCATGGGTTTGTAAGTAGGCGATGCGCTTGCTCCAGCGGCTAGGATGGCATACTGCAAGCACATGGGTGGCTGCATATGAGCAGGCCGGTAGAGAGAGGCGATGTACCTCTCGCCATGGATCATAAATGAATCGGATTGAAGTTTGGTAAAGTATATCGATGTTCTGACACCTCAAATTAGCCCTTCGTCCCCATAGGTCATTTGTGAGGTCTTACAGCTCATCAACCAAATGCGGAGGCGGCAGGCCCTCGAATCGGCCAGTGTCAACAAGTTCTGTGCTGGTACTAAATGGCTGAAATTCCGGCGGGCTGCTCTGAGCTTCTAATCTGGCCTCCAAATCTCCTGCAAACACCGTCAATAATCCGAGTTTTTGTACTGAGGCTGTCTCCGCTTCCACTTACGGATGCGACTCTGCATGTCCCGAAGTCGCGGTCTGTTGGCGGGATTAATAACCGGCTTCTTCCTCGCCGAGGGATAATCGCAGACCTCGCCAATCTTGACGCATCGGCCACAGATTGGCAACACCCTATTACATTTCAACTTGCGCACTCTACATCGTTGGCACGACCACGGCGACAGCGGCCCCAGGTCAGATTCGGAGCTTGAGGGCGCCTGTGGCGATAGCGATTGCGATTGAGAGGGCGACCCCTCAGACACGGACATGGTTTAGTGGCGTCGGCGGGGTACGTCTTGGCGAACAGGACCTGATAACGAAGGCCTATAACAGGCGCTTGGCTATTGCTGCAGATCGAGATGGTACGATCGAGACTATGTTTGTTTCGGGGGAAAGGATAAATAGTTGTTTGATCAGGATACTTTGCTCTTCGATCTCTGACTTGAGCTGCGGGGAGAATGTCAGCATGCCTTCCTGTTTTGGGTTACTCTGGATTCCTGCGATGGTGTCTTTCTTATCTTATCTCGCCACGGCTCATATGGTCCGCTGGTCCATACTATAAGCTTAAGCCAACCTCAATAATTACCTCTTTCTACAGTTGCATACATCGTGAGAGATGTCTCTAATTACCACAGTCAATTAATTTTGCCTCTCGCAACACATTTACTCCCTCACGGCCCTGCTACCCACCACTTGGCCTCGTCTCGTTATCGCAAATTCATCAAGGTTCATCACCCAAGACACTCTGTTACAATGCACTGTCTTAGAAGAGTTAAAGCCCAATAAACACTGCGTCACGAATAAGTTGGCGAGCAAAAGGTCTCGACTATAACCGTCCGTGCCCGCATCGGGACATCGCACATACTAGGACTTTAAGCATATCAGAAAGCTTCTAGACTACCGAAGATCGTCATCACTTTCCTTTACAAGTCACCAATCCCGACAAATAACGCGCCCCGATTCGCTGCATCCCCAGCGCGTAGAGATGATCAGGAACCTTTGCACTGCCGGCCAGACTAACATCACAGCGATAATGCGGCCAGCGACAGGGGTACAGCCAAATGGAGCTGCCCCTTTGGGAAAGGCGAATGGGAGCTTCCGTGCTTGGGATGTTGTATCACATACATCACCTACCTTTTTTGAAGCTATCGTCCGCATGGCATCATTCGCAGAAGTTCTTTGAGATAGAGGGTCTGCTGATCGGACTATAGTATCAAGATATCTCGTCTTGGCTAACTATAAATTCGAGGTCATGACCGCTCTGTGAAGCCCATCACCCCGCACCTCAAATCATCCTTCTTCACTGACAAGATGCGGTCCTCTCTTCTGCTCGCTCTTCTCCCTCTGGCTATTGCCACGGCTGTTCCCAGCTCCAAGAAGGTTGACTACACCGGCTTCAAGAGCCTGCGTGTCACTCTTCCCAAAGGCGCCAAGAATGCTGTCGCCGAGATCAACAAGCTCTCTGCTACCATCCTCAACCCTGGAGCCAAGGAGGAGCTCGATATTGTTGTTTCTCCTGACAACATCGATGCCGTCACCAAGATTGCTTCCGACACCACTGTCCTCGTTGAGGATGTCGGTGCTGCTCTTGCTGAGGAGGAGACCTCCGAGATCTACGCTGGTGAGTATTCCAAGTAGCGCATGAAACGCCAAGGAGCTAACATATGTGCAGTCCCCAGTGAATCTTGGTTCACCGCCTATCACAGCTACGCTGATCACCTCCAGTTCCTGAAGGACCTGCAGTCAAGCTTCCCTAGCCAGTCCGAGATTGTGACTCTTGGCAACTCTTTCCAGGGTCGTGCTCTTACTGGTATTCACATCTGGGGTAGCGGTGGCAAGGGTTCCAAGCCCGCCATTGTCTTCCACGGCACTGTCCACGCTCGCGAGTGGATTGCTACCATGGTATGTCTACCTCAGCGGTAATATGATGGGAATTATAACTAAAGATTGAGTAGACTGCCGAGTACATGGCCTACCAGCTCTTGACCAAGTACAGCAGCGACTCCGCTGTTAAGGCTATTGTCGACAAGTTCGACTTCTACATCACCCCTGTTGTCAACCCTGATGGTAAGCTTCATCCATCCGGCATTCTTCCAAGTCGTCTAACCCAGAATCACAGGTTTCGTCTACACCCAGACCACCAACCGTCTCTGGCGCAAGAACCGACAGACCGTCTCTGGAAACTCGTGTGTTGGCCGCGACATCAACCGTAACTGGCCTTACAAGTGGGAGCTCACTGGTGGTGCCTCCACTAACCCTTGTGACGAGACCTACAAGGGACAAGCAGCTGGTGACAGCCCTGAGCTCAAGGCTATCAAGGGCCAGATTGACTCCCTCGCTGCTGGCAAGGGCATTACTTTCTACGTTGACTTCCACTCTTACGGACAGTACATTCTCTGGCGTAAGTTCCTTTTTTTCTCGCCCCCGATATCTCCGGCACTAACAATACTCCTAGCTTATGGCTACGACTGCAGCTTCGTCGCCCCTGAAGAGGCCGCTCTCAAAACCGTTGGCACCCGCATCAGCAACGCCATCCGCACCAGCTCTGGACAATCTTACACCGCTGGTAACTCTTGCCGTGCTCTGTATGCCACCACTGGTGACAGTCTCGACTACGTCCAGGGTGTTGCTAAGGCCAAGTACTCTTACACCATTGAGCTCCGTGACCGCGGTACCTATGGCTTCAGCTTGCCCGCCAACCAGATCCAGCCTACCGTCCGCGAGACTTGGGCTGGCATCGTTGCTGGTCTCACGGGTCTGTGAATGGCCGACTAGGTTGACGTAGTGTCACATATTTATCACGATGGATAATCATGATCGGAAAGGACAGATTGCTACCTGAAAAGGTTCAAGAAGATTTATTGGCTTTATCTAAAGTACATATTACTCAAAATACATACATGATTCTCAACCTATTGTCCCGTAATTCTCTCTATGGACTGCCCAAAAGTTGGCGAAGACCAGAAGCTTACTCGCAAGAGGAGGCAAGAAAACTTAGGACCTTTTTCTTAAGTGATGAAAAGACTTGGGTAAGTTTAGTATATCCTAGTAGGACTTTAGACCAGTTTATTTTAGCATCCTGATTCTTTCTTGCTCCCTGAGACTCGATAACCCAGTTTCAACATCATCATGTTTATTTCTTGGTGGAGCTTCCATCGATGTTCACAGCCTGGCCTTCGATATCTGCGAACTTCTCTCCGAGAGCTGCCTGTTGCTCTGCAATCTCGTCTGCGGGGATCCTGTCGGGTGTAGTGTTGACGAGCATGATCATGGGCAGAAGTGAAGCACCTAACAGGCCAAAAGTCACACAACTAAACTACGTTAGTACTCTTGAAAGTTATGTGCGGAAAGTCAAGAACTTACAACCCAACAAGAGGATCGCTCTTCGTCTGAGTGTTCATGCCATATGCGATAGCCTGGCCAATGGCCTCAAGACAGCGGAACGCAGCTCCATTTCGAACATTCTCTGAAAGAAGTATCAGTTCTGTTATGTGTTACATCGCTCACGGTGTATATCTCACCTTGTGCATCGGTCGCGAAGGATGACAGAAGCCAGTACATGTACGACTGGGAAAGTGGTCCTGTTGTCTGCACAAAGAAGTACGGCAAGAAGGAAGTGGCGAAGAGGCTGTCGTCCCAATCGATAGCTCCTGGGTCATTGCGATCGAATCGAGCTTGCATGATGATGGACCAGATATACACTCCGACGTTGAGGACGACAACAGTATAGAGACCGATCTGGGCGCGGCGGCGTTGTGCCAATTTCTTGGCATCAAGAATGAAGCCGAGGCCAAAGCAGCCAACACTGAACTCATGTCAGCACTGCCAGATTCACTCTCACAGGGAACTTACATGCAGAAGAATGGCGAGATGAGCGACGAAAGGGCACGGGCGCGGACGGTGAAGTGGATGCCGAGATAAGTTGACCAGGAGCCGCTACATAAGTGTTAGTTACTGGTTCTCTTGTCATCTTGGGGCAATCTCACCTGTAGAAGAAAGACCAGACCGCCCAGATAGACGACAGAATGATGAGTCGCGAGGTCATGGTCTTTGCGATGCGCTTAACCTCAAGCTTTGTGGAGAGGGTCTCGGTAGTAACGATCTTAGTACCATCGGATCGAATGACATGCTCAAAGGGCGTGATCATAAATGCGAATGGCAGACTGTACAAATCCGTTAGTCATGTTCTGGGACTTAAATCCTGCAGTGCTACTCACGCTAGACACTCAATAATGAGGAAGGCAATGTAAGTATCGGGAGTAACTCCGCCACTGACACCCTTCTCGTGGTTCTTGGACAAGCTTACGACAATAAGTCAGTAGGTTTGTGGCCAAGCATGGAAAGTACGTACTTGATCGCACCGCCAACAAGCTGGCCAAGGTTTCGGGACACAATCCACAGGGCCAAATATTTTCCACGGGCTCCAGAAGGGGCTAGGGTCATGATGGCACCAGCTTCAGCGACATACCAACAGCCTGTGCCGATTCCACCAATGGCGCCACTGAGGATGAGATACTATCTATTGTCAGCTATCTGAAGAAGCGAGCCCGGTGGAGTACCAACCCATTGGTTACCGAACTTGCTATTGCAGTAGTATGCGGAACCCTGGATGGGAAAGGACATGGAGCCAATCACCAAAGCCCATTTGACTCCAATCTTGTTCACGATAGGGCCTCCCATGAAACAGGCTGGACGTATAATGTTAGTCTTGCCTAATTTGCCTCGCAGGTGTACATACTGAAAGCAAGAGCAGCATATCGCAGGGCTGTCGAGATGTTGGAAACTTGGGGAGTTGCAAGACCACCGCCGCCGAGGCCTGGAAGAAGTTAGTGACAGTCCGGATGAAGCCTCGACTGCAGTGACTGACCAGCAATGGCATCCGACATAGCAGGACCACAGAAAGCCTGAATGCTCAGAAGAATCATCTGGGTCAAACTGTGATGCCATATGTATTTCCACCTGGGAACATCCCTTGTTGTGTTCATATCAGCAGCTCGCACCGAAGGCTGAGGTGATCGAGCCCTGTCAGAGGGAGAAACTGCAGTCTTGTTGTCGGTCATTGTTTGATGACTTGAATCGCTGGAAGGATATGGAGGAAAGTCAGTACTTCATGGCGACGAGTGACTGGCTTATATATGCCGATCTCAGGACTAACAACCGCCCTCCTGCCGCTATCGCAGCTTCCCCACGGGGTAGGTCATTTTCCTCCGCTTGAGAATGCGACTGTGAAGGTCCAAGCGACGACAATCAAGGCTTGTATCTCGAGCCAATCGGTGCTTGGCCGAGGCTTGTTTATCCGACTTTCAAAGCGGGGTGGGTCCGCTTTTTCAATTTTGTCTTTATCTCTTATCGGATAAGCCCCAAAACTCCGGATGTTGCGATAATAGGAGGGAAGGTCCAAGCGAGACTACCGGCGATAACATCATGAGGGAATATGACACTACGCACGACCTGGAATATAGCTCGCGTTAAGTTCCTCTGGCCCTTTTTCGGTTACAGGAAGCGGTTCAATGGGACGGACCTAATCTTCCTTGGATTGCCACTAACAACATCGTGTATCAGTCTCAGAGTGAATGCCCTGAAGATACGACTGACACAAGGGCAAGGTTTTTCGCTTGGACTTTCCATAACATTATAGCTAACAGGTAAACATGTTATTAATGCTATAGTTCATTTATCTACGGTATTAAACCATCATTGAGTACAAGATTCTGATTCTTGGTTGTTGATTAGGTTCAAATTAAGCTTACCCTGAAGACTGGGTTCAGTGGATCCAGCGGCCCCTCTTCGCAAACAAACTCGATCATGGCCCTGCATTAGCAGCTTAACAGCGTGACATGGGTTGCGCATATACTTATGTTATCATCATAACATATCGCTCAACTACCTCAGATCGCTTGCACCACACGCATTGTGCTCTAAATTTTTGCTCACCCTGGCAACAGAATACAAAAAGTCAAGTCAAACAGCCGATCCTGATTGACAAATCAGGACACCATCAAAAATGCAAAAAATGAATCCCCGAAACCTGGATCGAACAAGTGACCTTTCGGTGTCAGATTAACAATTACAGCCGAACGCTCTTCCAGCTGAGCTATTCGGGGATGATCTCCGAATCCGGAGGAATAGCTATTGGTGCGGGGATAGTCACAAACTTCAATTCAAGTACCCGGCCTCACAACCACCACCTCCCACTGTTCCCCACCAGCCGAGCGCCATTCAGACAGGGTTGATGCGATCAATCAACGCGTACAGAATCGTGGTCTCAACCCTGCATCCTTCTCCCCCCCTTGTCGCCCGCCTGAAGCCCGGCCGGAGACATTGCTCTATCTCAGATGACTCAACGCCAGTGATATTGTGCTGACTGATGATTTCATATGCCACGCGACAAAGGGTCGTCGATTCGCCAACCGCGACTGGGGGTAATCGATCGTCTTTATCATACTGCTGAACCGTAGAAAACATATTAGACGCGAGTGCATCGGCTGGCGGTATCTCAAAAAGTGGAGCGACCGCATTTTCATCCAGATACTGTTGTCTAGAACGCTGGTCGATGGTTGTAAGGATATGACGATAACACGTCGGCTCATCACAGCCACCATTGGATGCCCCAAGCCCGACTTGCTCAGAGATGAACACGGGTTGATGTGTAGTAAGAAGAGATTCGAGCTCATGAATGCGCGCCTGGGCGGCTCGTAACTCTTGCTGCGTCGCGTTCAACTGGGCCTCAAGAGACTCAGTGCGGGCTTTGGCACGCGCGCGATGACGACGTTGATTATCGCGCACCCGAGTGGGGTTGGGGTTCAGCGTCCATTTTGTCACGTTTGGGGTTTTGTCTGTGGACTTCATGATGTAGACCAGCGAATGTTTCTCGGAGCCGTAAAACAGTGATTTGAATGATTGCAGAGGTGGCGGGTCATCGTGGCGACATATCATTTCATTGCCCCATGCGGTTACAAACCGTGACATATCGAAGAATTTCCTCTTCTGGCACGATTGTTGTCTTCCCTGATATCGTTGATTGGTTCAATCTTGCTGATTCATCAAACTTCCTGTGAACTCCAACATCTCGGCAGGAAACCGGGAGTGCGTTGACCTACCTTAAAAGTGTAGGCTTGACCCTCTCATCTCATGCTGAAATATTTCCTTCAAGCTTCGCTTCCTCAATATCTAGACTCCCCTTTCAAAAACTAAAAGACTGGCTGCCATGAATAATCAAGATATTTATACCCGAGTTGGCGAGCGATACGGCAATGCAGCGAAAGGTTCCAATGCAACATACAGCACCAATGTCGCGAAAGCCTTTGGCTATTCGAGCGAGGACCTCGACTCCATCCCCAAGGATGCTAACTTGGGACTGAGCTGCGGCACACCTTTGGCGATTGCCTCACTAAAGGAAGTAGGCACAGTGTCCACCGTGTTGCAAATGACAGAGCTGACACTTTTAGGGCGAGACCGTTATCGACCTGGGAAGCGGTGCTGGACTCGACGTATTCCTCTCCGCCAACAAAATCGGCTTGACCGGTAAGGCCATTGGTGTTGATATGAACAAGGTGAGTGGCATGATTGAACTGCCATCACTTCTGACTCGGAGTAGAGCATGCTCGCCAAAGCCAGGAAGCTCAAAGCAGACCGATCGATGGAAAACGTTCATTTCATTGAATCTCGCATCACCGACATAGCCTTGGAAGATAGCATCGCCGATTGCATCATCTCCAACTGTGTCGTCAATCTGGTACCTCATGATGAGAAACAAAAAGCCTTTGACGAAATGTATCGTCTGCTCAAGGCGGGAGGCCGAGTCGCCATATCCGATATCTTGGCGAAGAAGCCACTTTCAGATGATATTAGAAACAGCATCGCCCTTTACGTGGGATGCATCGCTGGAGCGAGCCAAGTCGCCGAGTATGAAGAGTACCTGAAACGTGCAGGCTTCACTGGTGAGTAGTTCTATGCTTATAAGGAGTATCAGCTGACCTGATCAACCTGTAGATATTCTAATCACTGATACGAAAAGTGACCTGAATGTATACCTTGATGCGTCAACTGATATCGCTGTGGGCGGATGTTGCTCAGTCCCAAGGACTATGGCAGTTGATCTCAAAGGACAAGATCTCAACGACTGGGCTGGTACTTAAAGTCTGACCGGTTGAACATGGTGTAACGCTGACATTTAGTTGTAGGATCATTCAAGATTTATGCTATGAAGTAGAGGTCTTGACCAGGAGACGGAGCTTTCAAACCATGGAAGACCACAACAAAACCAAAAAGTCCATAACACGTCTGGCGGGTTGAAATTATTACTGTTGGGAGTTATCTTCATCATTGAGTTGCTGGTGGAATCCATCCGATCTCCTCCGAAAGTCTCAAAATCCAAGATTTATGCTCTTCATCAAGCTGCATGTGAATCTTTCTCATCATACAATCCGCCCAGCCTTTCAACCACCACTGAGTTTCTGCTCTCTTGACCATAAGACAGAAGTGAGCCAGCACCGCCCAAGCCTCCTGATCGCGTGCTTTAACAAGAGGTAAGAATCCATCGATACCTCCGTACAGCCAAAAGAACAAATCAGTACTCTCCCAGTTCGGAATGTTACATGCTGCAGATCGCAAGCTACCAATCCTCTCGATCAAAACATTCAACTTCTCGCCCTCTGGAACACTGTCTCTTACCCTCTCTTCTAGTTGGCATAGTACCTCGTCCCTTTGGTCGTAGGAGGGATGAAAGACATTGTGCAACGCCCATCTTTGACGGCTGAATGAAAACATGCCTGTCAGGCAGCTTTCAGAACACTCTTGTTCAAAGGCCGTCCGGAGTTCAGCTGTTCCTTGTATCAAATAGATCCAATCTTCAAAATCGCCTTCGCCTGCTGGTATTCCATCTTGCTGCGACCGCTTTGGCGTAGCCATTGCTGTTCACCATTAGTATACAGAGCTGGACTGAATGCTGATATTGGAGATATTACCGATGACGATAGTTAGAGAAGAAAATATGAATAGGCCGTCGGCATTCTGAGGATTCAAATCTTTCAATAGTCCCATCGCTCGCTGCGAAGATTCCTGATGAAGCGTCAGGGCCGTTGCAAGACGTTCGTGCCGCTGGTCCGGCCTGTGATAAGCAAGGTGCAATGCTGCCAGCGCAAGTATCTCGCCCATCAAGTAGCTATTATGTATCGCCAACCGCGGAACTGTTATCCTCCAAAAGTCTTGCAATGCCGGAAATATTGACAGAGTTGAATACGTTGACGTCGCATATGTGTGAAATAACTCAAGATCCCCGAGATTGATACCACCAGTGCTGCTTATCGTTGGTTTCGGAGAACCTAATCTCCTTACATATGTCTTCTTTGGCGGTGGTGGTAAATATTTGCATTCTTCTTGCAATCTACTGCAATTGAAGCACGCAGGTCGCTGCTCATCGCACTACTGCCATGTCAGAATATGGTGTGTCGGTTGCCAAGTCAAATACTGACTTTGACCTTTCTTTTCTTGCATTGTTGGCAGCCTTTGCGTGACTTGGTATGCGAGATCCTCGTCGGTCTCCTTGGAATTTGGGAGGTGTCAATCGGAGAAGCCCCCTCAGTATGCACAGAGGATGCAGGGCTGTTGAGAAATCCCGCCTCGGTGTTTTCCATGGTTGAACGAGAAGCAGCGATTATCCTCGGCGCTAAAGTGGTTGTTGCATGACAGCGTGTGGCTATATAACGGAGTGGACTTCATGGGGTTGATATCAACAGCGGATCAAGGGACCCGACAGATCATCTCATAACCCCATATTTCGATCATGCTGAGTGGCAGCAAAAGTCCTCAAGTGGCTTGCGAGACATTTAGGGGCCGGGCTATCTTTCGGGGAGCGAAGTTAAACGAGGTTAAACGAGCATGACACAGACCGCACTAATGATTCAGGATCAATCGACCGTTTGACTATGCGTTGGTTGAGGAATTCTTCGTTTACTCGTTTAGGACACTCTTGAGCCTAATAATAAAAGAAACCCAGTAAGGCAGACTCGCCCATTGTCTAGTGAGTGATCAGTGAATGGAGACCCTTGATTTGTCCTCCGGCTTGGCCGAATGGCAGTGCTTTTCTCTCTCTCCCTTAAATTCTCTGACAGTTTTAGTGTCAAGCTCAATATAAAGACTTTCATTTTCCTAGACCACAACGTCGATTCAGACCATCATTCATTAGCTTGACTTTACTAGTTCCTTTCCATTCTCATCACTTTTTCTTTCCTTTATCGCCGTTCTTTTACGTACGTCAACAACTTCAATCATTACTTACCTACTTTTGTAATCGAATATCCAGTCTTTGAAAATGAACATGTTCACACGTTCTGACGATGGAGCGGAGGAGTTCAAACTCTATCATTACGACCCAACAGTGGCCGGTGGTGTTATTTTCACCATCCTTTTTCTAGCCACCACTCTCCTTCATTCGTGGCAACTTGTTAAAGGACGATCTTGGTTCGTCATTCCACTGACCATCGGTGGTTTTCGTAAGTTTATCTGTCACCTCAATGCGCCACTACTAAATCTGACATCTCCCCTTTTGCAGTCCAGGTTGTTGGATACGCTGCGCGAGCAAAGTCCGGTAACGAAAGTCCCAATTGGACTCTCGGCCCTTATATCATACAAAGCATTCTCCTTCTCGTCGCCCCCGCGCTTTATGCTGCAACAATTTATATGGAGCTCGGCAGAATTGTTCTGATGATAGACGGTGAAGGCCGTGTTTTGATCTCCAAGAAGTGGATGACCAAAATCTTTGTTACTGGAGATGTCTTATCATTCATCCTGCAGGCAGGAGGTAAGTCATTCTTATTGGTTCAGTCATCCAAGATGCTAATTAATTGACCAAGGTGGTGGTTATCAGGCATCCGGTACCATCGAGGCTCTTAGAGCCGGAGCAAAAGTCATCATCGGCGGCCTCTTCGTCCAACTCCTCTTCTTCGGCGTTTTCATCGTCATTGCAATAGCCTTTCATCGTGCTATCAGCGCCAACCCGACTGCCCGCTCATCAAGCGGCATTCCTTGGCAGAAGCATATGCTTGCTCTGTACATTGGAAGCTTCCTCATCATGGTACGATCCATCTTTAGGGCTGTGGAGTATCTGCAGGGCTTCAACGGTTATCTGCTTCGACATGAGGCTTACTTGTACATCTTTGATGCGTGTCTCATGTTCCTTGTTATGATCTTGTTCAACTGGTTCCATCCATCAGAAATCACAGAGATCTTGAATGGAAGGGGCGCTGGTAAAGGCTACAGCATGCATGCATTTACCGAGGTTGCCTAAGCTTCACAGCATGGTAAAGGTTCATGTCCGTGGTGGGACATCTATGCGGAAGAAAACTCCTATTGAGAGGGAAGCAGGTGTAGTTGGAATAGATCACGAAGGACAATGAGACAGATTTGGACGGTAAAGCTAGTTTTTGTATCATTATGTCATCACTTAGGGGAATACTTAGACTCGAGGCTCAATAATTCTACATGTTTTCTGTTCCCAAACCAACCACCTCAAGTGGCCATGACATCCATCGTTCCCAATAAGAGCCAAGCAAGTCATTGACTACCCCTACAATATCGTAGCCCCACCCTTCCATGAACCAAGAATCATTAAGTGAGTGTAGCAAGGCACCGTAATAAGCATATAGGATGAGCGCCGGCGGTTGTCTCTGATGCAACAGAGCAAAGTACCGCTCTGATGCAAAAGGCACGAACAGGAAAGCCCCCTGCCAGACCCTATTAACCACCGAACCCCCAGGGGTTTCAGCTTCCATGGTTGAGAACTGTGCCATGAACATCCTGATCTTCCTAAGAACGTGTAGAGTCTCTTCATACGTTGATGCATCTGGATTATGCTCCCAAATTTCCCTCATGCGACAGAAGCGCCTGTCGTCAACATCCTCTACCAAGTCGGGATCGATATCGTCCCAATTGCCAATATCCAGGGCCTCTCTCAACTGACCCGCCGCTAGGACTTCGAAATAAGGTATCAGTACAGTCTCGACACCTCGAAGCATGGGAACCCATCCCGCCCCCAAGATGCGATCTTTACGACCGCCCCAGCTAGACTCGTCCCAGAACCCCTCTCCCAATCGACCTGACGCCGCAAATACGTACAGAAGGTTGAGCGATGACCAGACGAATAACCCATCGGCCACCTCCTCATTCGACTGCGAAATGGCTTCGTTGAAGCCCTGTAGACCTTGGCTGTGGTAACGCGCTGCTTCTGCCGTATATCTCAGCCTATGCTGTGGCTCAAGGTACGCGATGTGGAGTGCACTCAGGCCTAGGAGAGCTTGCATGACGAACGGATGTTCAAATGCGATCTTGGGGAATATGACCTGGCAGATAACCGATAAAGCCGAGTTCTTGTAAACATCAAGACTAGTAGAGACTGTCCAGTGGTGAAGCAGAGCCATGTCCGCTATTCCATAAGTGACGCTTGGTCTGTCGTGTTGCTGTACCCCAAGAACTGACTGATATGCACTTGAGACCAGACCTGGAACAGGCGCAATCCTCTGAGTCTGAATCTGCTTCGGCGGCTGTGACGAAGTCGACTCGGGAGACGTTCCGTCACCATGCTGTGTAGACGGTGATGGGAATACTATCCCTTGAAATGAAGGATATTCACATTCGACTCCACGACGCCGACAAGCACGACATTCAGGCCTCTCCTCGGTACACTGTAGCATCAATCAGTTCCAAGATTGGCATGGGCACCGCCACATTCAAGCCACGCACCTTGACGCGCCGTCTTCTGCAATCGAGACAGCCTGTCTTTGCTTTCTTGTGTGGCCTTCGGGGCTTCGATCCACCTCTCACTGTAACGACGTCATGAACCTCGGCGTCCATGCCGACCAATAACAGAACAGCGAGGCAAGGCTGGGAGCTGAACGAGATTGTCAAGTTAGATTTGGGATTTCGGACATCGTTTGTGTCGGTAAACGAAGGGAAAAAAGAAAATCTGTTGGCGACGGATGGAACGAAGGTACTGTACGATTACTGCACAGAGCCAAGACTGAAGATCAACGTGCTGAACGAGGTTTAAACGAGACCTAAACGAGGACGAGGACTTAAACGAGGCACCTCGCTCATGAAATCTCTGCTGATTGGAGATGATGGTGCAACTACTCCACCGACTTGGCCAAGAATAGTTACTGCCGGCAAACACCGAGCGCATTAAATCCGCTTCTCCTCTGCCATGACATCCCCGAGGCCGAAGCGCAAAGAATGAATCGCATAAATAAAGTTTCAAAGGAGATCTGACTCTTTTGAAGCAAATCATGTTATTGGGGGAAGAAAACCTTAACCGTAATACGAAAAAGAGATCCCGTTCCCAGTCTCAGGAGCCAAAATATGATGCGACATTGGTGAAATGCCCCAGGATGCGGATATGATACATAACAAAGAAATAATTAACAGTTATTTCCTTTCATCCTTGTATGCTCGGAGATTCATCTCAGTTCCGCTGAATTGAGGCTCAGCCCTGCCAAAAGTGACCAGGGATGAATTCGCTCCTCGTTTATTCTCCGACCTCGTTAAGCTTCGTTCCCGTTACGAGCCTCCCCCTACTCATGCATTCCGCGCAAGCCCACTGCGGCTCGGCACAGCCTAGTGTCCCTAGCTTTTGTTATGTATATAGTTTTAAAGAGTGCCCTTCCTGGCATGATTCCCGATCCACTGGGTCTTTAATCTCTAAACCGTTTATTTTCCTTCTCTTCATCATGGCAGACACCGAAACCGCAGGCTTTGACTTCAAGCTTTATCGCTACGATCCTTCTCTCCCAGCAGCAGTTGTCAGCACCGTTGTCTTCGCAGTCCTTTCGGTGCTACATACTTGGCGATTGATGCGAGTTCGCGCTTATTACTTCACGCCTTTCGTCATTGGCGGGTTTTGTAGGTCTACCACTTTATCAGATCGCTCTGTTGAAATCGCTAACCTTTCCTTCAGTCGAGACTGTCGGATATGCTGGAAGAATATGGAGTCACTTTGACAAGTTCTCAGTTGGTGGCTTCGTGCTACAGGCCATTCCCATCCTCGTCGCACCCGCCCTCTTCGCCGCCTCGATCTACATGATTCTCGGTCGCCTGATTCGAACCGTCGGAGCTGCCCACCTATCTCTTGTACCCGTCAAGTGGGTGACACGCATTTTCGTCACCGGTGATGTTATCGCATTCAGTCTACAGGCCGGCGGCGGAGGTATTCAGTCAGCTGGTACCTTGGACCTCTACAACCTGGGCGAGAAGATCATCATCGCCGGTCTGTTCGTCCAAATCGTCGTCTTTGGCTTTTTCGTCGTCACCTCAATCCTCTTCCATACCCGACTACTCAAATCTCCGACACCCGAGTCACTGCGAGGCGATGTACCCTGGGCGAGATACCTTTACGTTCTTTATGCCACGAGTTTCCTTATTCTTGTCCGAAGTATCTTCAGGGTGGTAGAGTACCTCCAAGGAAACGACGGATACCTGATCTCTCATGAGTTCTACTTATATGTCTTTGATGCCATTCTGATGGCCCTGGTTATGATGATTTTTATGATTTGGTATGTCAAGCATTTGCAGAAGGAGAACAAGCCAGCAGATATCGAGGACAGGGAGTTGTCCTCGTATGAGAGCCCCGAGGAGTATCGACACAGGAAGTGAGGACAAAAGCATGCGACGGATAGACTGGTCTCGTTTTTTTAGCGTCTGAATTATGTTACCTCATTACATAGAGAGAATATGATTAATTGGTACACTCAGAACACTGCTGCTCTCTGTCTGTGACAGAATGGCGAACAATCGATAGTGCATTGTTAGATCTCAAATACCTAGCTCCTGGGATAGCCGTGGTAGAGAAGCATAATGCCTGGCCGACGGTAAGATAGGAGAGGTCTTATCTGGTAACATGCCACGATCACTCTCGTCCATCAGTGTTACACGTGAAAGTTCAATTGACGCAACCCCAGTTGCAGAAGATGTCGATCTTGCTGCAACCCCTCTTTCGACCCCGGGGTTGCCATGGGCCATCGGCTATCGGAGGCAACTCAAATTATGATAACTCATTTCTAGCCCAAGGTCAGAGCCGTCAATTTGCAAACTCAATTCGCCGAAAGTGTTCAACGCCCACGTGTTTCCCAAAAGTATTAAAATTCCGACATTTTCTGCACATAACGATTCCCGAAAAGGCGATGGCCACACAAACATTGGCATCCTCGGCGCGTGATTAACCTCTCGTCTGTCATTGGACGTGATCATGTCTTGGTAAGGTCTCAATGCAGCTAGAGGCATGGATTAGCAGGTTTTTCGGAAGGTTACCTGTAAACTAACACTGACCATGCTCTATTCGTCCAGGATCATCGGGTCTCCGAGATAAAGCCCACGCGACTTATTTTTCTCATGATCATCTTGGGCTTTCTTCTTCTTCTTCTTCTTCTTCTTCTTCTTCTTCTTCTTAATTATTCAGTCATTCGGTGAAAATCTCAATCATGACTTCTGTGAAAAAGAGTCAGGATGGTTTGGAGGAGCAGAATGGCCCTAACTATGGGACTGTCGATGTCAAGGTTGGCAGTCAACAGGATCTTCTTGACCTGCAAGATCTCGACCCTGCTTTCAATCAGAAAATGCGACTCGTCAACGATGTGAGAAGACATCTCAAAATTCCGTAACCAGGAAGGAACTGACTCGAGCCAGGCCATTGACGAAATTGGTTGGACGCCGTATCACCTAAAGTTATTCTTCTTAAACGGCTTTGGGTATGACCTCTTGGAGAAGCACGACCTGCTTTCGATTACCCTTCAGATTACAACGCCCGCTGACTGCTGACTGGTTCGTTCGTGAAGTTACGCTGTTGATTCAATGATCACTCTCTTCCAATCCATCATTGCCACACAAGCCTTCCGTGAATTTGGTGAAAAGGGCTACGCCAACGGCATGACAATTGCAGCTTACGTCGGAATGTTGACAGGCGCTCTTTTCTGGGGTTTTGGCGCCGACATTATTGGGCGAAAGTATGCCTTCAACATCACGCTCTTTCTCTGCTCAGTTAGCTGCATCATTGCTGGCGGAATGCCCAACTGGCCATCGCTTGGGTTTTTCGTCGCGTTGCTTAGTTTTGGTGCTGGCGGAAACCTCGTCATGGATACAGCTGTTTTTCTGGAGTACCTCCCGAGTAACAAACAGTGGCTTTTAACTCTCATGGCATGTTGGTGGGGCTTCGGCCAGGCGATTGCTGGTTTCATCGCTTGGGGATTCATGGTTCCCGAACGTTGGAATTGCGTTGATGTTGAGACTTGTTCACGAGGTAGTAACATGGGCTGGCGGTACGTCATGTTCACAGGCGGCGCTCTCGTCTTCTTCCTATCGTTGCTTCGAGTCACCGTTATCAGACTTCGCGAAACGCCCAAGTACCTGCTCGGTGTCGGAAAAGAGGAAGAAGTGATTGAGACATTCCAATACCTGGCGACCAAGTACAATCGCACTTGCTCTCTCACTCTGCAAGATCTCGCTGCCTGCGGAACTATTACCTCAGCTCATAGCAAGAACCGATTCTCGATAAGCGAGACGATGATCCATATTCGTGGTTTATTCAGTACCAGAAAGATGACCATGTCAACCGCCAGCATCTTTTTGTCCTGGACACTCATCGGTCTTGCGTACCCTCTCTTCTACGTCTTCCTTCCGTGAGTTGTCATCTTTATTCATGCACTTGGAACATGAGGCCCCTCCCCCGTTTGTGCTTCTAGCAATATTAACATTATCATAGGTCGTATCTGGCAAGCAGAGGCGCAGTCTTCAACCGCTCAAAGTTCGAAATCTGGCGCAACTACGCTCTGACAAACATCAGCGGTATCCCAGGTCCCGTTGTCGCTGGCTTCATGTGCAACACCAAGCTAGGCCGCAAGTACACCATGGTCATCGGTGCTTTGATCAGCATGGCCTTCTTTTTCGCCTACACTTCTGTGAAGACTTCTGTGCAAGACATCACGTTCACTTGTCTGATCGCCTTTTGCATCAACATCTACTACGGCACTCTTTATGCCTACACTCCTGAGGTTCTGCCAAGTGCTCATCGTGCTACTGGAAGTGCTATTGCTGTTGCGTGCAACCGAGTGATGGGAATCGTATCAGCTGTTGTCGCAAGTGAAGCTAACACTGACACGCCTGCTCCGCTGTATGTCTGTGCTGCGTTGTTCCTTGCAATGGCAGCCGTCTCGGCTTCGTTCCCATTTGAGCCATATGGACATCGAAGCTCATGAGGGATGAACTCCTTCAAGTTGCAAGCTCCTAATAATTTGACGAGGAATGGGCAGCCTGTTTTAAGCTTCGTTAAGATACTATAGGAACTGGATGCTACACGGGTAAGTCAATCCTCAAATTGAGGAAGCGCATTGTGACTGACACCGACAAAGAGTACGCCCTCAACTGCAGGCCAGAAAATGCTATAACCTTGCAGTAGAGGTCACTGCACTCTCCTTAGCCTGACCAACAGAGAATGTTCTTGAGAAACAGTGTTTAGCAATGAAATTTATATGAACAAAAAGACTATGATCCTCGTAATTCCATTGAACCCAACGAGCAGCAAAAAACCAGTTTCTTCTGTAACCAATTGCCGAATGGGATTCAAGAATATTTAGGTCTATGATAGGCAGCTTGTGCATATCGTGATTAGTATGACAAAATGGTTGAAAACACTTGTCCCAATGGACCAACATCCCGTCTTATGACTTTGAAAAACATTAGGTGTTCATCTAATGAGCAAGTGGTCCATTTATCCAACATTTGTGAATCGAAGGCGTGCCTCTAAGCATCTGATCCACCCGCCAATTTCTTGCGCCCTCACAGCGTGCTCATTTTCGTCTCTTTTCTCTATGGCACAAACTCTGAAGGATTTGCAGCACATCCTTCTCTCCTTGATCATTTTCTATCCCGTCGGTCTTCCCCTTCCGACTTTTGCTACTCATTTACAGCATTTGCATACGGTATGCCACCCAATCAATTCACTTATCCATCGTCTCTCAGCTAAGAAAACCCGAGTCCCAGTATCAATTCTCAAAGGCCGATATTCCAACACACAAGTCAGAGTCTACACCAAGGGAAAACCAGGCCAATCCTCTCAAACAAGCCATCATGTCTTCAGCCATGTCGGAAAAGTCGACCTCTCAGTCCAAGCGGAACTCGCCGAAACGCAGCCTTGCGTCCAGCTCAGCAACAAGCGATGCAAAACGCCGTAAGAGCGAACATATCAAGAAGTTCACCGAAATGAAACTCGAGGACATCGAACAGATCTTTCAGAACTCCCGAAACGCTCTCGACAGAGCGGAGGAACTGTACCAGGACGCCGAAAAAGCGCGTACCGAGAAGCTGGAAACCTACATGGATGCGACAAAAGCCATGACAGGTGCGCACCAGACACTGTCGAGCGCCATGATCCGGAAAGCTAATGCGACCAAGGACACCGCGCGACTCGAAATGATCAAGGATGCTCGGGAAGCGATTGAGAAACGGGACAACCTGCAGATTCAAGTCGAGAAGCAGAAGAAGGAGCTCTTTACGGTTGAAACCAAGCTCTTGACGTAGGATAACATTGCCAACATGGCGGTAGAGAATTTGAAGGAGGATGATCTGGAGCACTTGTTCCAGTTTCAAGGGTAGAGATTGCGAGTAAGACGTGGTATCAGGTGCTTTGTGATTGATTATCTCACCTACTAACTCTATTTTTATCGTCCTTGATGCACTGCAGCTACAAGACGGATTATTATTGCACGGTCTTCGGTTTTTGCTGGGGGAATTTGTTACAATACATTGCTTAAAGGCTACCTAGCATTTTGATACAAGTCATGCTCTCATAGCAGGCTGAATACACAAAAGTGATCGTTGTTAAGGTTGCTACCTTTGTGTGTGTGTGTCATGCTACGAAGTGGCATTTTGCTGGATAAGTTGGTAAAACATGAGAAGCTCTTTCAAGTAGTGCTTCTTACCTCAGAACATGACTGAAACAGACGCATGAGTATTTAATGGACAGCAAGCGATGGTTGTTGTGCTTTCTGATGTAGCTGGAAGCCTATAATGGGTATCATTTCAGCCTGTATACAGACCTTTTTCAAATGGCTGCACTGCTTTAAAACTCTAATAGCTCATGCTTTGTGATCTGGTCTGATTCTGTGAATACCATATGCTGTACGTTCCCTGCGCACTTGTCACTTGGCTTATCAGTCAGCTCATATCACATCAAACACGGGCCAAGGAGGAAAGACTCTGTTCTCCTCGTCTTTAATCGCAGCGTCAAGTCGGCCGCCGTCGACGAGGGTCCCCCTTGTGCAACAAACAGATAGTCTTGGTGGCTGTTACGTTGCGATTACACAGTGGATACTCTGTCTACCTACTTCGGTTCTCGGGGCACGATCCTTGTCTTGAGACAAGCCAGCCTGGACCTTTCTCAACAAGATGCTAAGGTTGACCGAAGGATTCCAACTGCATATGCAAATTTCGCTCATACTTCCGTTCTTCGAATGGCTCGAGTTCGCAGAGTCCCTTTTCTCCAAGTCGCGATGCTCCTCCGTTATTGGGACTAACTAATGAATGATCCATGTATTTTCCGTGGCTGAGTAATGTAAGAAATCAAACTGGTACCGAAAGGTCGTTATAAGGCAGGTTGCGTTGCAAGAGGCAGAAAAGTATAAATATCTCGACACAGCCTCCAAACTCCAGCGAATCATCATTCCTATTTCAATAACCTCCCATCTTTTCATCCCTTTCTGACCGCCAATATGCAGATATCTGCCCTCATCACCCTTTTCTCCCTTGCCACTGGCACAAACGCCCGGGCCCAAGCCGGAAACGGAGAATGGATCGCCAATCACAAGATCTATGATGTTACCAACTCTGGATTTGCCAGTAGGTTTTTGGCTCATCCTCTAATGTCAAGCCCATTCTTACCGATGCACCCAACAGAGGCTACCATGGAAGCTTGCACATACAGAAACACAGAGACCCGGGTTCCTATCGGCCAACCCTGCAAGTACTGGTTGGATGGTAACGGACGAATTGCTTCTGGAGGTAAGTGTCTATATCAGGTAAAGCATGAGGACTGTGAGTCTAACATGTAAATCAGTTTGCCGGGAGGATCAGTATATGTACTATTGCGCCTAAGTCATGTTTGATGAACAGCTCCACTGGATTTGGAGATTTGGCTTCCTGATGTAATCTGTTCGGGGCTCCGTAGTGTGGTAACCTTTATATAGAGACTGAAGATACGGAAGTATTCCTGGTTCATCACTTGCTGACATAAATCTAATGTCGTGAAAACTGCCTACGGGTAATATGTCTTCCAAGTTATATTGTAAGTGGGTTATTATTCATAGTCCTACAATTCGAGCTAAAAGACATACCTTTACAATTTTACATATTCTCGTGACGATGCTGCTAGATGCAGTCCGAAGATGCCATGAGGACTTTTTGCCCATATGCGTACAGCTACCTCCCTTGGTCTATGAGACCAGAGACAGTTCAAACAAGGGGTGAGCATTTCCGAAACCAGCACGCCCGATGCCACTACTGGCCAAAGCCCGTAAGCATATCCATAAAGCTCTTGAGGTGGATCTTTAAATTCTGTTCGATAAGTGCATTGTAAGTGGATAACATGGAATCCCGATCTTATGCCAAGCCCGGGTAGAGAGTGAGGTTAAGCATAACCGGCTGAGGAACGCCACCCCGGCCGGGCCGTTCCTTGGCCTGCATGTCAACCCCTGACTTGACAACAAGGAACGAGAGAAATAAACGATTACCAGACCAATCTGAAGGACTCTGGACCGAGACAGTTCGTTGAGTCTTACTACGTTGCGGGATATTTTTGTTCATCAGTCTCACAGGGCATTCATACCTTTGCCCACTAATGGCCGATGGTTACACAGCAGACTGTCATTAATCTATACTCTAGCGTCTCGGAATTGCCACCGCCTACATAGCAATCCGGCAGCGTATATCCTTTTGAGTCAATCGTCCCGATACCTTGAAGGGACGTGCTGAACCTTGCGTGTTCAGTCAGATCATCAAAGTTTGCTAGACGGTAAGTGAATTTTCAGATACTCTAGAAATCTGACTGCAGTCAACCCTATCTTACACCAAGTCGACATAAACAGAGGAGCACCATCAATTAATGGCGATATATTTTTCATCAATAGCCATCAGCCGCAAGGCTTTGTACTGCACTCTGGGTCGCGTCGCTGCCAGCGTTGCTTTTTGTTTGAAGGCACCATGGCTGAGTGACGAGTCGTTGACGACTCCCAACACGCGGTGGAACAGAAGATGCCCATCACGGATCTGGCGTTGTCTTCCATAGTTGGCATTTCAGACCAAGCCGAAAAGTCAGTAATTCTCGAATCTCGTTATCTTTAGAACTCAATTATCCCTCTTAAGCAGTGTAACATTGGTTTCAGCTGCACAATTCATAACGCACAGATGCCTTCCCAATCTATGTGCTGTCGCACGAATTGGTGATGATGATATTTATCTCCATTAATTGGACAAAGGTTGCCAGAAATGGTGAAACGTGTGGTGTATGTGAGTTTAGATACTCTACCATGTCAATTGCGCTTTATGACAGGAGTGTACGTACATTCGATCGAGAATAGTGGAGTGGATGCGATGAACTAGTGTTATTCAGCTGTCTACTTCAAGTCTATGCCTCAATAAATCGCCAAGATTTTTCGTATCCTCGTTTCCCAGCTTAAGAAACAAAAACATGTGACGAGCGCTGTTCTTGATGGCAGGCTTTTCCTTGCATGATGATGTTGTTGTTTTCTCGGTCGTTCGGCTCTTACATGCAATCATTTACTGTCGTCCCATTAACCGGGTGTTAAGTATCTACAAGGGGTAGGTCACTGGGCAGTGCCCCTGTGGGCTCTTCGGTTAGGCAGTCAGCCCTGTAAGTTACAGTACCTCACCCACGGTCGGAATTTTGTCCCAAAGCTGCCTGGCCATCCTGACGCCTTTGCAGTCGGGAATATTGGATATCAAATAGAAAAGAGGTCTACTGGCTTATAGTCCGCCTTATGTCAGTCTCACTCCAGTTTTTGAACACAGTTTTGTGTCCAAACGGTGGCGCAGTAATCCTTTGGGCTCAGCCTCGAGGCTCATCACTCCACTCAGCGGATAAAACGGAACGAATCCTCCCAAGTAAAGGAATCATAAACATAACTCATTCCTTGCCGTGGTAGATATCACCAGGCCCCAGCATCCAGTCCTATTCGCATCAACATCAGTCTAGCAAAACAGAAAACGTCAAGCAAAATGTCTTTCTTCGTCGAATTCTGTATTTTCACCATCGGCTTCACTAGCCTTGTTGGTGGATTACTCGCTCTTCACAACCCACGAAACCAATACAAGCTCAGAGGCATTCCAGACATGAGGTCCTCCGAGGATCCCGCCAGCTTCGCACTGATATACATGCTGGCAGCTAGGGATATATCTTTCGGCATTTTTATCCTCGCACATCAGTTCCAGTACAACCATATTGCTATCGCTACCGTCATGGCTGTCATGAGCTTCATGAAATTTGGCGATCTTCTAACTGTTCTTGCGGTTGGAGAAACAAAGAGACCGCTTCCAGTTACTCTCCATCTCGGTACAGGAATTGGCTATCTGGGCTGGGTGGTATACCTTTGCAAAAACTAATTCTGGGATTTTGAGGGAGGATATCCGTGCGTGCTGAGTCTCTGTTCTCGGGTTACACTCATTTACTTATACGGAAGGTTAAACGACTCGTCGACATACCGATTCGGCATTCAAACATCGAAAGATCATAGAAAGGGGAAGGTTTGAGATAAACTGTTGCCGTTAAATGAAGCCGTTAGCCATCTGAAGTTTGCGCCAGCTAGACGGTTCGTCAGCGCCACCTCGATGCGACATTGGTGGACAAGCGCTGGAGGCAGCATGCCGAATCTGGGGTCGAAAGTGAACCAGAAGCTCGGAACCAGGCGGGATGATGAGTTAGGGGCATAAATAGACTTTGGCGGGCGGTGCTTTTAGGTGGCATTGCTTGATCGTAATTAAACCTTGTTCCATTACCAACATACGTCAACACTAAGTGCCGACGGTAGTACAGTCAAGGTTATTTCGGTGAATACAACTGCAAAATATGTTGAGATGATTCATAATAATTGAGTAGAAAATATACCACCGCTGAAATGACTAAGTAAACAGTTTCTTTTTACATGATTACCTGCGCAGAACCCAGCGTGCTTTGACTGTCATTTTCTCTGAGACCTAGTGCCGAACTAGCAACAACAATCGAGCGCTGACAAGCATAGCCAGTCCAACTGCCGATGACATGGGTCCCAAGACTTGCGGGCAAAATTAACACCAAATCGAGCATCTTTAAATGAGGAATCTTTGCACGGAACCTTCGGCGCCCCAAGCAAAGAAAGCTTATTCAGATACGCCATGGCTTATGCTGTGTGACACCGTTATTCTCACGCGTCGATAAAAGCCCGAGCTGTCCTACCATCATCTCACCCATCACTCACGCTCCACTCTCGTTCTCTCCAGTCTCTCTTTTTCACAATGAAGTTCTACACCTCTGCCATCGCTTTGGCCTCATGTGCCACCGCCATTGTTGTCCCTGCTGGCTCTGCGCCAAAGTATGACGTTGATGTTGCGGTCATCGGCGGTGGATCCTCTGGTATTCATGCTGCTGTCAACCTCAAGGATGATGGTTTGAGGGTTGCTGTTATTGAGAAGGACAAGCAGATTGGTGGTCATGCTCAGACATACATCAACCCTGTGACCAAGCGACCTGCCAACATCGGTGTTGCGCTCTTTGAGAACACCAAGACTGTGCAGAAGTACATTGGCCGTCTTGGCGTTGCTCTTGCGAAGAACAACCCCTTCTCTGCTACCACCAGCACAAACAAGCAGTATGACTTCACTCTGGGCATTCCCATCCCTGCTCAGTCTCAGGCTCAGGCTGCTGCTACCAAGGAGGCCATGGCCGCTGCTATGCAAGCTTATGCTCAGAATGTCCTCCCCAAGTATCCCTGGATCGACCAAGGTTATTTGATCCCCAACCCTGTTCCCCAGGAGCTTCTTCTACCTTTCGGAGAATTCGCTGCCAAGAACAACTTCAGCGCCATCCTGCCTCTTATCAGCCAGCTGAACTGGTACCCCGGCAATATCACCGCCATCCCCACCATCTATGGTATCAAGAAGTTCGGCCCTGGTCTTCTCCAGAGTGTTTCTAGCGAGTTCCTCGTTGCTGCCTCAGGCGACACCCGAAGCATCTACGAAGCTGCTGCCAAGGTGCTCGGTGACAGCGTCTACCTCAACTCCGAGGTCGTCAGTGTTCGACGAAACGCTGCCGGTAAGGGTGTTGTTGTCGTCTTCAAGCAGAATGGCAAGACCATCACCCTCCGGGCCCGCAAGCTCGTCGTTGCCATTCCTCAGACACGCGCCAACACCAAGATGTTCGATCTTTGCGAGAAGGAGAGGAAGCTCATCACCAAATTTTCTGCTTTCGGCTACGTCGCTGGAGTTGCTCACATTCCCGGTCTTGATCACGGTCTTCAGAACATCGGTGCTCTCACCCCCGCCAACGTGCCTCTCATCCCTGGTAGCAACGGCTACTTCGAAAGTGGTTCACCCAACGATTTCCTCCTCGGCGCTGCTTTCGACAACACTGACTACACCCTCGCTGATGCTGAGGCTCTGATGCGCAAGGAACTCGCCACCGTGGCTCGTGTTGGCGGTGCCCCTGCTGATGCTGCTGAGAAGTGTACTTTCCCTATGCTTGAGGACCATGCTCCCTACTACCTCCACGTCACTGGTCACGATATTGCCCAGGGCTTTTACCGTGATCTTATTGCGCTTGAGGGATATCGCAACACTTACTGGACCGGTGCTGTGTTTGCTGGACACAACAGCGGTTTGATCTGGAACTGGAACGACGGTACAGTTCTGCCCGCCATCAAGAAGGCTCTTGAGCTTGAGACTTCACTGTAAAGTGGACCATATGAGATTATGTATTACTTTCGCTACAAATCTTTTCTTTTTTTAAACTTTCATAGAAATACGATGATTTAATGCAAGGCGCTGCAAATGATGCCCAGATCGATATCTTGCGAAAGTGACACTTTCAGGGGGCTCTCGTGATAGCCAAGCCAAGTTGCCAACCAGTAGCTATAATACAAGCTGCATTTTCGACTACCCTAAACTCGGTTGTATCAATTTTCGTGACTTTCCACAACGTTTACCTGCAGAAGCTGAGGGCCACTGTTTCGTGACTGAACAAACTCTAGTGCAAAAAGAAATTGTACAACACCACAAAAAAGATCGTGAAGAGGCTATTACAGCTTTTGAATGCGTAATCAGGGAATCGAACCCTGGGCTCCCCGACACTGCTCGAATGGCAACGGAGAATTTTACCACTAAACCAATTACGCGGTGCGATTGTTGAAGATTCGACGTCTCCATGATGGTCAAGTTTTTTTTGGTGGAGCGGGGATGGGTTCGACAACTTCACTCGCTCACCCTAGAGCTCATGTCCATTTTCCTTCTCCGTTCGTCCTAGTGTCAATTAGCTGCCGAACCAATGCGATGCCACGATTTTTCAACAGTGGGCTATCAATTTACCTGTTGTGGTTTAGCTCTCGACAGCCGCACGTCATACTGAATGTCACTAAAAACTACTGGAGACGCTTTGTATATCACTGCTGCGGATGCCCCTCCGCTCCCTCGATAACTTCCCCTCTCAACTCTTGAAATTAGTGAAAAAGAAGAGAATGGATGACTATACTATTCTGTCAATTGCCTTGAGTGCCTTCGCTGTCCTGGCAGGTATCTTCCTGCTTGTTTCCAGTAACAAGGCGCAGGAAACTGGAATGGAAGTCACTCAAGTAAGTAAGCTCACACAAAGAGAGTTCCCGGCTAACAATATCCCGAAGTTATACGTTTACCCTGTCAAAGGTATCCGAGGAACTTCTTTGACAAAAGCACGCCTCGGTCCATGTGGATTCGAGGGAGACAGGACCTTCTCTCTGCAAAAGGTCAACCGAGATGAAAATGGCAATGTTTCGTATGAGACAATGTTGATTGGATATCATCTGAAACTCGCTCTCTTTTCAGCTTCAGTCGACCATGACAAGGGCCAAGTCACGGTGAGATGGACTGGAGACAAGGCAGACGATAGCGTCGAATTCCCTCTAAAACCTACTATCGAAGGTCGGAAGACGATCGAAACCAGTCTGCATACTAGCAAGGCCAAAGCCTATGATATGGGAGATGAGCTATCGCAATGGTTCTCTGACCGTCTTGGTGATGAAGTCCGACTTGTCTACATCGGGAACGAGTCAAGAGCCGTCCTGGGTTCCTTGGCTCCTCACAGCTCAGACGCTTTGAAGAAAGCCTCTTTCACCGAGCGAATCAAGAGCATTCTTCCTCCTTGGTCCCACCCACCTGAGCGGCTTGCCTTCAACGATCTCGCCCACTACCTAGTCGTCACAGAAGAGTCTAACAATGAAGTTTCATCTCGTCTTGATGAAGGCTACTCCATGGACATTACCAAATTCCGTCCCAACATCGTTGTCCGCGGCGCCTCCAAAGCATTCGCCGAAGATTTCTGGGGCGAGCTCACTTTTGCAGGTGGAATACGCATGCCATTGACAGCAAATTGCTACAGATGTCAGAGTATCACTGTTGACTACAACACTGGGAAGACTGCTACCGATGATCGCGGTACGGTCTGGAAGAAACTTAACAAGGATAGAAGAGTGGACAAGGGAGCGAAATGGAGCCCTGTCTTTGGGCGCTATGGCTTTTGTTACGGGGACGCAACGAGAAAATCCTTAACGGTTGGCCAGCGAGTTGATGTCACGCGAATTAATACTCAAAGAACGACATTTGGTGAGTTCTACATCGAGATGTACATACAGTACTGACCAGAGTAGATTGGCCGCATTTAACCACATTTGGTGTTTCACAAAAGAAATGATTCAGGCATGAGTACTGGCTTACTTGGAAGTTAGTAGTTGAAGATAATATCAAATCTTTTATGAATTCCAGTTCCCCTGATATTATATATATCCTGATGCTATTTTACCTCCAAAGAGTTTTCGATTATTCTCCAAAGATCTCTTGGTCAAACCCCGAGACATACGTGTTACTCTTCGAGTTCCTTCACGATGTCTCGCCTAATGCAATGCAAAGAATGGCGGAGTGGTCAAACCCCCGTGATAAACATCCTGGTCTTCTTCCAATTTCATAACCGCGGTATAACTTTCGCATTTCGTTGGGGACTTGTACCACGGAGGGTTGGACCTTTTCTTATCAAAGTACTCCTTCCATTGCTTTCTCGTTCCCACCATCCGTTCTTTTTTCAGTCTCGCTATCTCTGTCTTTACCTCTTCTTCTGTCGGGAAATGGGCTTCTTGACCAGGACACAATCTCGCGTCATCGAAGAACTCCCAAGCTCGCTGTTGGTATATGTATGTTGCGTTGTGTTGGACTTTTATCCTAGATAATGAAAAGGATTAGAGAAGCTTGATGTAATTTGGGTTTCCTTGAGACTAGTTATTCTTGACACCTTATTTGAGGGTTAGAAGTTCTCTTTGCTGCCGGAGGAAAGGTGTATGGCTACTTGCTGGCCACAAGGTTAGACTTTAGGCTGGTAACACAGGTGATTGGTTCACGATATTGCTTTTCACAACACAAGCTTCTGCCTCGGAAGTTTCGATAATAACCAATAACCCTTATCTTGCAATCCAGCCTTTAAAGTTTTGCAAAAGGAAGAGTCTAAAAGGTATACAACCTCAAGTTTGCATCTCTGGCCAAGGGACGGGAAGAAGACGAGCTTTCAACCGGCAAGAGGATTCGAGATCTTTAAGTACTTTCCTTTGATGTCCGTTCAATGGATTGAGTGGTTAAGATTATCTCGGTTCTTTAATTAACGGTGAGAAGAATTGTTCTGGTTGTGTTCAGAGGAGGATTTCGTTCGAGTGCCGAACAATGGAGACGATGCCTAGACAGAACACTCTTGCCTGGACTGTTCAGCATGACGAAGGTAATTTAATCTCTAATTCTCAAATCACAGATTGGCTCTTTATAGTTTAGATGAGAAACAGTGGAGGAAAGAAGCAACAGATCAAAGTTTGAAGGCCAATGTTGGTCAACTAACTCACTCAACTATCCTTTTCCACCGGCGCAAATGGGAGCTGTGTCCATGGTAAGAGGTACATTCTACATGGTGGTCTTGATTCTTTTCAAGGAAACCTCCGCGTCTTTCTCATGCTTTCTCTTCTCGGCTTGAGGTGTTAACACTCCGTCGACAGCCTTTTCCTCCATGTAAGACCCAAGCAGCTCCGCCACGATGCGATCCGGAAAGGTCATGTAAGATTGGAAAGCTACCCGCGTGTGTGTAACCTTGGGCCATGTGACTCCATCCAAGTCGAGTGTTGGTTCGTCAAGTGCTTTGAGGATATGCGCATCAATATCAGCCTGGAAGACATGGGCAAAATTCTTGTCTCCGTCAACAGCCAAGAGGAGTCGCACCTTATTAGAGTCAGCAAAGTATCATGCACCGAGTTCATTAACGTACAGGGAAGGTCTCAGGCTTTTCATCCTTTTGTTTGCTTGATTGCGCTTGTGCCAGCGCCAACAACAGACAGACGATGTAAAGGTCCTCGGACCAGTTGTCTGGAGTGACTTTGCGCAAGTAGAGGCTGCAGAGTCTCTCTACGGGGTGATTGATGTCGGAATTTGGATGCAACCGAGGAGTGAAACGTCTCTGTCGCTCCCGGTTGATAGCTTTGTAGTATGCGTAGCCGGTCACGGGGGGCTGCTTCTTGGAGGCTGCCTTGGCGACATGAAGAACATGACACAATGTTTCGTGAACGGGGCGCTTTGCGTAAAAGAACTTTGCGGCGTATCTGTCAAAACAAACTAAGTTAGCCCTTCGATGCCGGCCAGAGGAAGCAAGAGTCAACTTACGGCTTGCACACAAGAGGGCTTCCTGGAGCACAAAGAAGATACAAGGCAGACTTGAGCTTCATTACGGTTGACGAAACCGTCGCGAGGCGAGTGACATGGTAAACGACTTCAATCGCGTCAAGGTATTTAACATCGTCACCGCGTGGTTGTGGTGCATGAAGGGGGCCTTTGAAGTGCTGGAAGCGAACGCCCAAAAGATTGAGGTGTTGGGATGTCCAGAGTATTGGGCGCATTGCAAACCAAGAGTTCTCTACGCTCAGTCGGTGAAGGGACTGATTCGGTGAGGAAGGCATCGTGGGCGGCGCATCACGGGGGGGTTGAAGATTGGTCAAGGTGAAATTTGCGTTGGTGTTGGTATAGTGACGTATCTTTGTTGGTCAGTAATCTTCAACATACCACTTCCCTCTAGATTTGAGGGATATGTCAGTTCTCTGTTCAATGACAAACAAAATCAAGCGCGCGTCCGTTCCGTTCTAAGTCTAGGTTCAGGATGATATTTGGCAAGGGGGAAGACCTCCGGCGGCCAGACTTTGTGGATGATCAGGAGACCCATCTCACGCGAGCCCCACTACCCAGTGATTCAAGGGCCTCTCCATGGAACATAAGGTAATGAACACTAAGTACGAACAGCAGAGAAGAACAGTGTCAGCCAGACTTTGGACGAAAGCCCCGCGAAACAGCGCCAGAGGAAAAAGAACTCTTTTAACCTTGATTTTCTCGCAGCTGCCAAATCCCTATTCCAATACCATCTCTTCCAAATTTGTCGTGGAAGGCTCCCTCCCAACCACAAACAACAACGAAAACCCTATTCCGACCTTATCGAGCCTCGATACCCAAGCCAACAGCAGATGGCTGCCGCAAGCATCTCTTCGCCAGTCGACTCTTGGCATAATAACTGCGACGATAATACAAACTCACAGATAAATCCCACTTTGCCAGAACTTGCAGCGCTCTGGAACAGTCGCATCCGTGGTGATACCGAAGCCCTCGTTACCGATGTAAAGCATACGCCTCTCTTCCCCGTACACTGGCACCCCCTGAGGAGCGGCCAGCGAAGTCGCGTTCCCAGTCGCTGCGAAGCTCGTCAGGAGCTCTTGAAACCCAACAGCAATAGCTTCATCGACCTCAGGGTTTCTTTTTGGACCATTGTAGAAAGTATAGTGCATTTCGCTACCGTGAAGGCCGGGATAAACGTTGAAACGGTAGCTCTTGGCTCGGTTTCCATACGCGGCCTGCAGGATTCCGTACTTGCAGGTGAACTCCGATTCAGCCTTGGTGATGGAGGCACGACCCGTTTGGTTGGTGTACCCGTAGCTTCCATCAAATACTGGTGGGTAGAGCTTTGTCTCGATGTGATCAAGTGTCTCGGGGCTGGCGTTGGAGTATGTTGACTCCAAAAACTTGCGGAACCCAGCATTGTCATTCGACTCGGGAGATGTGAAGATCAGTCCCTCGTCTTGGTTGAAGCCAATCAAGATATCCACATTCTGAATATGCCTCCCCTCTGCGAAGAGCTTATCCGGGTTCTCTGGTACATATAGCCCATCTACGAATGGACCAGTAGTACTTGTTCCCCAAGCAGAGTTTGAGATCAGAAGCCGGTTAGCCTCTTGAACCTCTTCAGTTGACAGCTTTCTAGCCGCTTTCAAATCTGGAACTTTGGCAAGAGCGAGGAACTTGTCGATAACATCATTCTCGAGTTTTCCATTTGCGATATGAACCCTAAAGTCTGTAAGCCAAAGACAGCATAACCTTTGCGTGTCTTACCAGCCAGTGCTCTGAGGGATTGCCCGCTGGAAGAGTGTTGTCTTATCTTTGCCTCCAAAAGCGGTCAGGTGATGATAAATACTGGCACCTGTAAAGTTACAGTCAGTGTTGAAGCTCGCTTCCATGGGCTAGAAAAAGACAAACCTCCAGCTGATTCGCCCATGATGGTCACACGAGTTGGATCGCCGCCGAACTGATGGATATTCTCTTGGATCCATTCAAGTGCCAGTCTCTGGTCGTAAAGTGCCGCATTGGCTACCATCGTTTCTGAACTGCTCATCAGCTACACATCATCAGTACCAGGTCGATTCGCATCATTACCGGGGTCCAGTTTCGATCCAGCAAGCCATCCAAGAGCACCAAGCTGTGACTCGTCAGCCTTCTAACTTCCTTGGCTTCAGCTGGCAACAACATACTCGGTAATTTGCAGAAACAAAGACCAATCCTTCCGGGCTCGACGCGTAGCTCGCCTTGATGAGACCTGCTGGATCAAACCAGCCTTTCTCACCAGTCGTGTATCCGCCTCCAGACAGCCAGAATATCACGGGCGCCAGTTTCTTTACTGGGCTATCGAAAGTCTCAACAGGCGTGACAACGTCGAGAAAGAGACAATCTTCTGTCTCTCTAGAATCTATTGCTATCTTAAGATCTGAAGGCTCTTGCAGAGCATGTTTGTGGTCGTCTGTAAGAGTCGAGATCTTGCCACTTAGGAAGTCCGGTCCAGTGAATGAAGTGTAGACTTCCCAAGCGGCCATCGCCTGGGGACAAATACGGCCAACGTCGCCTTTGTCTATGGTTACGTTACGTCCTTTGGGAGCAACAGGCTTCGCGCTATCAAGTCAGTATGTTGGCTCAGAACAATCGGCAATCGCAGATCGTATCGAGTAGTGCGACACGTACAATCGAAGATCACCTATCGGCGGTTCACCATATCTGATGTTGGAGAAGTTGTACAAATTCGAAGATTCCTTCACACCAGTCATATCAGCGATGTCGCGGCATCAATGATATTTCTTCTTACCTCTTGCACAGATCCTTGGTAAATTGCATACCCAAGATCTACAACAGGGCCTTCAGAAGCGAGGATTCCATGGATACCGAGGAGAAGGACGACGAGATGGCTTGCCATGGCTGAACTAAAGACCCGCGAGATCATGGGCAAGACAACTTGGACAGTAAAAGACAGTCTTCTAGGGAAACATAAACAAGTCATCCATGGTCTTTATATAAAGCTCAGGCTGCAGGGTGAAGGCTATCTCGGCATCTTAGGGCTGACAGGATTCCGGGTAATTGCAATAGTCAATCCTTCATGCAAGTCAACGGACAATAGAAGTTTTGTGGAATTTTAACAACTTTCGATTCCCGAAATCATGACGAAAGATGAAGACAAGATTCAATGCTTCCAAGTATCCACAATATTAATGCTAACCAGAATATGATATGCTTTTTTAAAAGGTAGAAATTAAGGTCATTGACATCGACTCAACCCCTGCAACTTCTCCTGGTCCCTGAGCTAGCACTCTGCGTTTTATGCTTTAGTGGGCTTAGCGTGTCGACGTCGCTCGGATTGGGCTGCATGGCTGGTCTTAGCAAGCCCAGCAGCTCAGCTGTTATCACTGCCGCTACCGAGTCTTCGTCCACCGAGACAAGCAGCCGACGTCTACAATCGCCTTGTCAGCTTCTATGACCAAAGCAATGTCGTCCGAGATGTCGGAGCTGTCCATCATCTCCTCCATCGTTTCAGGCCAGCATCACACCAACACACATGGCTGGAACGTTATCAGCCACACTCTTAGAGTAATTGAACAGCACAGCCAGGGCGACAAGGAGTACAGACATGGGCCCAACAGTAAAAGGCATCCGCCTCGACAAACGGTCCGAGAATCTTCTAGATAACCAGGCAGCAATACCACCACATACATATGGAGGCATGGTCAGAGCTGTGACTGTGCAGTTGAGAATCCAAGCTGCTTGATTATCTGCGGCATAGTGAACTTGAAGGCAGCATTAGGGACAGAATTAGCCCAAGCGAGAATAATGCCCAGCAAAACCTTCCAATCAACCATAGTCTTAAAGAGCAATTTCCATGAGAACTTATCGCCCTCTTCCGTGTTTGATCTGGCTCCAGACAGTCGCAAACGGAGGTCCACATATCGCTTCTCGTCATCCGAAAGCCACTTGACCCTTTCGGGAGTGTCGATAATGAGTAGCGGCATCACGAGACCAGCTGCTACAGTCACAGCTCCTTCAATAAGAAAGATCCAGCGCCATCCAGCAGTACCTCTAGCACCATCGAGACAAGCGATTCCGAAAGCCAGAAGGCCACTGATTGCACCAGAAAATGCTGAAGCTGTGTAGAAAATGGCGCGACGTTGCTGAAGTTCGTAACGAGGGTACCAGCTTGAGTCGATGAAGACGGCACCTGGGAAGAAGCCCGCCTGGCCTACGAGTCAGCATGGTGGAGCAGAAGAAGGATGTGCCACTTACCACCTCGAATACTCCGAGAATTACTCGGCACGCAACGAGGCCTTGGAAGTTCTGCACTACTCGCATGCAGGTCATGACTGTTCCCCAGCATATAACCAAGAATGACAGCCAAATGCTCGCTCTGACCTTCTTCAAGACAATATTGGAAGGCACCTCCATAGTTTATCAGCACATGTCCCCCAGTTTTCTTGTGAGAACTTGCCGAAAATGATGTAGGGCACGAAAAAGATGGTGCTGGCGATGTTGTACTGGTTTCCAACAAGGTCAAGATCCTTGTCCATCCCCTCGATTTTCGCGTTTCCAATATTTCCTCGGTCGATATGCGCAAGTAGATACAGAACGGCCATAATGGGGAGAAGTCGAAAGTCAATCTGCGCGCGTCAGTTGAAGCTGCTTTGCCGCATCTTAGGGACATACCTTTTTGACAACTTTCTTGCCAGTCTTTCCTTCATACCCCCTCATAAACTCGGCATCCTCTGGTGAGAGGCCTGGGTAGACATCAGGAGCGTGCTCGACAAATTTGTCGTCTCCCTTGATCGGCTCAAGGGTCTTGTTGGTGCTTTGGTCCATGGCTCGTAGAGATACGTCTCATGGATTGTGGAGTGACTGTTTGGCCATTTGTTTACTCTGTCACGGGATTAAGAATGGCATATATGTTGACCTGAATCATGGTGAGCAAAGCAACTCTGTCCATCGGGTGCGCTCCGGTGCTGCTGATCCCCGAGCTCAACCCAATGGGGACCCCGCATCTCACTTCATATACTTTATTGAGCTAGATGGAATTGAGTACTGGCTACTGACTGGGTTCTCCCTTGCCTGAGTCACGTCAAGCGAGTGAACCTTGCCTCGGTCGGAAATGGTTTCGTTGTGTAGGCGGAACATGACATCCATCGGACATTTTCCGACCTCGGGAAAAGACCTGGTTCCCAAGGATAGGTTTATCGTTTCAGACAAGTAATTTTGAGCAGGATCTGATAGCCATTTGCAATAGGTGTTGATATTTTTCCTACTCAATGTTCCCTTGGAGGTAGCAGAGTAGTCACGAGAGCATACAAGCACGTTTAAGGGACACGATGCTGAAACGGCTTATCGCAAGCATTTATCAGCCCAATGACCATTTACCAAGGTATCCATTTGCCTCTATGTATAGTAGTTATGGTATTCTTCTATTAGAACTCGCCATCTCAGAAGAATGCAAGGGCATTTGGCGGACTTGCAACTGCCCCAGGTACATGAAGCACGAAGTGAAGTTATGAGTAATCGGGAGTAAATACAAGCTTTGCCACAGGTTATAGCATAGTGAAGTTGCTTCTCTCCTTAGAACCTTCAACATCATTCTACCTTGATGACAATCTCCCCTTCGCCACTTGGTGGCTCAAACCCACCCAAATACATAGCAAAGGTCTCATCATCGATATCAAAGGCTGAGTCGCCATTTCTTCCAGGATCCTTCACGCTTAATGCGTCCCTCTCGACTCTTCGTCGTTGAATCCGTTTCCACAGAAGATCTCGGCCAGCATCGAGGTAGGCCAGTACCCAGCGACCGCCATTACGTTCCACAATGTTTTTGTACTCATCGCGATACTGTTTATCGTAGAAAGATAAGTCTAGTACTATATCGTTGGACTTCTCTTGCAGGATACGTTCAAGTTCTGCAATGAGCTTCTGGCTTGCTTCTTGTTGGTACACTTGATACTGTTCTGCGGGGTAGTCAATCTTGTAAAGACCATGCGACTCGTAGATGATTTGGTCATTTGAAAGTCGCTTGAAGTTTGGAAGTTGAGTCACGATAGCTTTGGCGAGAGTTGACTTTCCGGCGCCTGTACATCTTGATCAGCAGCCATGCTTTTGTATTGAAGTAGCTGAATGGTTCGTCTGGCTTACCAGCAATTCCACAAGTCATCACTACAATGGGGCAGCCGTCTTGTCTTGTTCGAAAGAGGTGAGGCCGGAGCTGAGGTCAAGGTCAGTCCTGCGAAACCTTAATTTCTTTTCGACTTGCCTGATCAGGTATGTCCTCAGATCGGACACCACCAGCGCTATCCGTTGAGGCCATGGTTCACTTTGTTAGGCTTAGAAGCGTTTGGTGCCCCAAATTCGATAATTAGAGGCGCTTTGGTAAGAGATCAAAATTTAGATACAGTCTGAAGCCGAGAAGAGGGATGATGAGTCACAACACAACATCGCACATGACACCCGCGATCCTTAGTCATCGATACAGTACAATTTGTCCAGCAGGATCAAGCATATATAATAATGTATTATTAAGTTAATTTCAGTATTTAGTGTAATTAGACTGAAGAAATATAGCCTGTTCTTGATACATGACAATTCCCAAACTCAACCCGTGACTATACTAAGCTGGTCTTGCATATGTCTCATCTGAAACACGAGATCCTATCGATTCCGCATTATTCTCCATTGTATGCATCTCCACGTCCACGGTAACAATAATCCCTCTCCTAGATGAGCCATCATCAAGACCTTCCCAGTGGTCCTTGCCGTCATTCTCCACGTCTCTTGATATGTTGAACCCTTTAACACGGCTTGCGGTTCCGACATGACTAGTAATTCCCAACCCATGCGATCCCCCGTATGGCTTAGGTGGCGAATATTGGCGAGCTGTGCTGTCAAAGGTAATCCAGCGTTTGACAAATTTTCTCAAAGCAGGGAGAGAACCAGCTATAATCCCAATTCCTGCTTCAACGGTGCTCCATAGAGAAACATGGCAATGCCGATCTTGAGTCATGTTAGAGAGACGATTTCTTGGATTGTTTCGGAAGTAAGAGAAATGACTGACAAAGATAGTCTGGATCAGGGTGGAAGTAAAACAAGACAAACGGCATTCGAATAATTGTAGCAACCGATGCACTGTACCAATTAGTGAAACGGACATGTATCCCAAGTTTGACCTACAGAGCACCAAGCCCAAGCACCATGCTGATAGATACCTTTGTCGCTAATTTCATCTGTGTTTTGTATAGCATCAGTGCAGGAAGTGCTGCACAGATAATGTCGGTTAATATAGACGAGGCCGAGACAAAACAAGCCAGAATGGCCAAAGCCGAAGGAGGTGAGCATTTTCCGTCACCAGTCCATGTTGCTGACAATGGCTTGCAAAGCACGAAAAGACTTATAAAGACAATCATGGCGCAGATAACAGCCATGGCAAGTGTCATCCATGCAACCACTCGGTGCCATGGTACAACTGCGATTCTAAGAAGGGCGTCGCAAATAGAGGCTTTGATAAAGACGAGGGACGCGCAGTAGAATATTTGGAAGAGCCAGACAAACTGAGCCACGGGTCGTTAGCCAGATACAAGGAAATAGGGGAGGCAGGGATGACATACAAACTTTCCATAAGGGTAAATACCCTCCGGAAGGGCCGCGTCTCGTTGGCCTGCCCCATAGTATGTAGCTTTACAGCTTACGCCGACAAGGATTGCAAATAAAACCTTGTGTCTGAATGTTAGCTGCATGGTTACTGTAGACATTCAGGTGATGAAACCAACATATCCAATGACCATCAAGATATCATCGGCTCCAAGAACGCCGTTTTTCACGCGAATGAACGTCCGCAGAAAAACAACAACGGTGGTCAGGGTGGCAAATATAATAGAGGTGATGATCTGGGCCAGACCGAGCCCGCGAGGCTCAATTGTTGGTGTAGCAGCCATTTCCAGTAGGTAAATACCACGCAGTGCACACCAAGCGAATATTTCTTTGGACGGATATAATTACGGGTTGGTTTTTATACGCCGTTGCTATCAAGTTGCTGGCTTTCTGCTTGCTGTATTTGCAAGAGCACGCACAGACGCCGGGTAACAGTCTTCCAGGCGATAATCAGCCACTCACTCTTGCAGGGTATAACACTTTACCCAAATACGCCAAAGTCTTGTCGCGCGGAAACAGGAGGCTGCCTCCTTTCTGAGGGCAGCCTATCGGAAGTGACGCATTATCGCTTGTAATGGAACAAGGTTCAAGCCTCGATTGCCAGGGCTGAGACTGAGTCCCGTGAGCCTGATGGATGTTGATCAAAATTCCCTACCGACGCTTAGAGTTTCACGATCTTTTTTACCGGCTACTGTGTAGTCGTCCCGATAATCTCTATCGGATGATGGTAAGCCTAGACTTTTCTTGCAGCATGCATTCACGTTCTATAATAAACTTTTGGCTTGCATCTTCTCAATACATGGAAGGCTGTCGGAAAATCTGACCGAGCTTACCTTAGCTTGATCTACCTTATCTAGATTGAATGGCCTACATCAATCAGCCTGACTTTATTCTCGTCTTAGGCAATACAAGGTCTTTTGAACCTCATTCTTAAGCTTACTTCGGTGTAATTAGCTCGTCGTCGCACTTACGTATCTGTGGTGTAGTCCACGAGAACCCACAATTCTAAAAGACAAGAAGAAAGAAGGAGCTAAGCTCAGCGTAATGAAATCTAATACTTGTTAAATTTGCCTGCTCTGATACAGTCCCAGATGGAACACTTAGAAGGCTGACTATGTAGCCTTTCGCTTGATAAAGGGTACACATGACTCTCGTGACAGACAACATCAGTTATCGTTGCAGAGCGATCTTCCCAGCACGTTCAAGGATGTATAGCAATGTATGATCAAGCCAATTCGAACGGTTGACGGCGTTGAACTGAAGATATATGCCTTGGCTCGTTATATACTTGCAATTAGCGCAGGCAAGTGACTTGTTGTAAATCTTGTCCGGGAGATTGATAAGATTGTCGATCATATCAGTATCAGCATATGACGTCTCATAGATTTCTTGCAAGCTATTCATTCTAACACGTCTCATTCCACTACGCAAACTTGCAATTTTCTATTTTTGAAACAAAAGGAGACGACATTGGCTCGCACAACTCCCCAGTAAGCAATAAATTCATCTCGAGTTGCAGAAACGTGATCCGCAATTCAGGCCAGAGATTGCTGTGCCATTCACCTGATACAAACACAAGCCTTGGCACAAACAGGTCCACAATCGTGCTAGGGTTTCCCGGAGTTGAACAACGTAAGTGAGCCAATGGGGCTCAAAAACGGCCAAGAAGCGCGTATTCTCGCTCCGGATCCGAACTTATCGACAGAGCAGTGCTCAGTCAAGCAGTCTCTCAAAACATTTTGTTCAATTTGGTGACGAAGTTCTCGTGGTGAAATGAAGGAAACTGTCAATTGTTTCATCAGTGTTTATAACGCCTTTTCCACGAATAAAACACAGACCTCGAAACCAAACTTCTTCTCAAACAAGCATGGGTAATAAGCATAATTTTTCCGTCACCGTTTCAAGATCATCTTGGCGCCAGCCGTTTGGGTCACTGCAACAGGGGCATGAGACACTTCACGTCAGACAATCGGCTCAACATACCATCTCGGCCTAGCCCGTTTTCAACAACAAGACATCAAAAAGGGTCCCAACATCGTCAACTATTATCACTTTCTCTCACTTCTTTGGTACTGCTCTTTACTTTCCTTCATTTGGCTCTCATTCATTCGTTACATCTTAGGCCGGCCTAAGTCATTCGTTTATTCCTTTTCACGGCTTGTCATTCATTTCTCTATTCAATATGCGTCTGCAAAGTATCGCTGCCATCCTGGCTGCTGCCGCTACGGCTTCTGCTCAGAGTGTTTCGGGCAAGGCTTATGGTTTTGCTGCTGGTGTTACTGGTGGTGAGGGAGAGGCCGTTACGCCTTCTTCTGCTGAGGAGCTTGCTACGCTTCTCGCTGATGACACTCCTCGTGTTATCTATCTCGACAAGGAGTTTGACTTTACTGGAGATGTCAAGACTGGTGCTGGTTGTGATCGCAAGAGCTGCAGTGCCAGCAATGGTGGTCAGCTTTACCTCGGTGATCTTTCTTGCGGCGGTGATGACAATGTCGCTGTTAGCTCCATCACCTACGACGCTGCTGGTCCTGAGCCCCTTCCCGTTGGTAGCAACAAGAGTATCATCGGTAACGGAAAGGCTGTTCTCAAGGGCAAGGGTCTCTCAATCAAGAAGGGATCCAAGAACGTCATTGTCCAGGGCATTGAGTTCACCGACATCAACCCCGGTGTTGTATGGGGTGGTGACGCTCTCGAGCTCAAGGGTCTCAACGATGGTGTCTGGATCGATCACTGCAAGTTCTCCAAGGTTGGCCGCATGTTCATCGTCTCCCACTACGATGGCTCCCGCCTCACCATCTCCAACTCCGAATTCGACGGTGTCACGGACACTTCTGCTTCTTGCAACGGCAACCACTACTGGACCATGATGTTCTACGGTGAGGGTGACCAGGTCACTCTTGATCGCAACCACTTCCACGATGTCGCTGGCCGAGCTCCCAAGCTTGGCGAGCCTGGCACCAACGGTTACTTCCACGCTACCAACAACTACTTCCAGAACATGAAGGGCCATGCCTTTGATGCCTACCAGGGAGCCAACGCCATCATTGAGGGTAACGTCTTTGATGGTGTCGACACTCCTATCACTAAGGAGGCTGCTTCCGTCAGCACTCTGTTCGTCGCTGATGAGAGCGATGCTTCTGCTTGCCAGTCCGCTCTTGGCCGTGCTTGCGTGCCCAACTCTGCTACCAGCAGCGGTGATCTTCCCTCTTTGAAGGGTCAGAGCGGCCTCGACGCTGTCGCTAAGAACAAGGACAATATCATCACCCCCGTCTCTGCCAGCGAAGTCACTGCTCTTGTCCTTGGTAGCGTTGGACCCGCCAACGTTGGTTCCGGCTCCAACTCCGGATCTGGCTCTGATTCCGCCCCATCTCAAAGCCCCGAGTCTGGCAATGATGCTACCCAGACCACTCCCGCTACGCCTGAGGCTACTCCCGAGACCACCCCCGAGACTGCTCCTGAGACCACCCCTGAGGCTGTCAACGAGCAAGAAGCCCTTCCCGATCGCCCCGAGGAGACTGAGGCTGAGCCCGTCGCGAATGCTGAGGTCAAGCCTGTCGCTTCCGACGACTGCGAGGAGGAAACGGACGCTACTCCTTCCAAGACTGAGGAGAAGCCCGTTGCCACCGGAGACTGTGACGAGGAAGAGACCTCCGAGGCTGCCGCCGACTCCTCCTCTTCCGCTGGTTCCTCCACTGCTCAGATGTACGGTCAATGCGGAGGCAAGAACTGGACTGGTGCTACCACGTGCCCCTCTGGCTCTTCTTGCAAGAAGATGAACGACTATTACTCCCAGTGCATTGGCTCCAACAGCCGTGTTCGTCGCTATGTCCAGTAAGGAGCGTTGGCTGTAGTCAAATCGTAACGCGACGCGACGCGATTGAACTTTTCTTGTAATTATTATCATTTATCTACTCACCTCGACCTCGAGCAATGAAGAGTATATAGCGATTGAATGGGCATAGAACCCAACTTCACTTTTACAACTTTTTAATTTTAAAATGCCACAACCGATGTGAATTTGAACGGTATGCTCCGTTTCACAGGTCATTCCTTTTAGAAGCCAAGCGCGACGCGGTGCGTTTGTTCCTTGCGTGGAGCTACCCTGTAGAGAAGCAGGTTTTACAATTGTACACACAATTGTCGATTTGATGGTGAAAAAAGTTGTCGATCGAGTCAAGCGATGTTTATATTCTTTTTTCAAAACTTATGTTTCCGAGAAACTTACTCAACAGACTGTGATTCAGATGATTGGCGATGAATTCCTCGTTTGCTTCGGGGGTTGAATCAATTCTTGCTCAGTCGCAATACTAACCAACGAGCCGTGGAGAGCAAAATGCGCAGAATTCCACCTCTTCAAGTTCGCGTGTTCGAACCCGAGAACAGACAGCATTGTGCGTATGTTTGGAATGATTGCAATAAGCCACTGGAACTCGATGTATCCTCATGTGGATGTTCTGCCACCTCCCCAATGAATCCTCCAAAACACCCGCTGTGGATAAGTCTGTGCAAGCTTGCATATGCACGGCATTAACGGGTGCTCACTTCTGGAAGCTAAAGTTGGCATTCACCAATAAAGACGGACGGTTCATGCGACCACTGATCAACAGAGACGCTGCAAGTTGTCACGAGTCTCAATCATGCATATGTCGAACCATTTGCCTTGTTTCATTGAGTTGATGCTGCAGAATTTGTCTCATGCATGTTGCTTCGAATCTGCTACCTATCTATACTCCAACTTTGGCACCCTCCAACTTGCTCCCCTCCAACTGAGTCACCCCTCTTGTTGATGTGTCTCGTTCAGAGTCATAATATCGTGTTATTTGCTTAGAGGCATGAACAACAAAGCAATAATCTGAAACAGCTGTCGTCAACATTTGGTGAGGGATTATTTAGACTCACCTCGGCTCGGAGCTAAACGGGATCTAACCCGTCCGTTACCGCTATCTCCACTTCCAAGTTTAGCTCAGATCTAGCAGCCTATCGCAGATGGCGATGTGGCTTGACACGTACATGATCCAAAACTTCACCAGCGCATGACTCCAGTATGAGTCACTCAGCAAGTTTGGCGAGTCTTTTCTCGAATTGTATAAGAGTCTCTGTTTCACTTTCTTAGTTTTCGCCTCTTTTCTCTCTCAGATATCAGGCAAGGACACGAGAATAACACGAGAATTGTTCACGTTAGACAGTTTAAATTGCGCAATTTCCCCAGCCACACACCCTCTTCCTCAGATATCACCAGCCACAACCCCCCCCTTCGATAAACATCCAGTCAAACCTCATGACCCATCTAGCCACATCCCATGACTTGTCAATGCTCACCGCTCTTCTCAAAACAACATTATTTTTAACTCAGCATTGTCCAGGTTGAGTTGGAAAAACTGAAAGAATCTGATCTTGAGATACTTCATGTCTCTTGGTCAACAAAAACAAACAAAAACAGACAAAACATAGCGCACAGGCCGTTGGAACGGCGAGAAATTAGTGGTGACGCTTTATTTACATAGACCCTTGAACAAAACGCCCCACGTGGCTGAAGAGTAATTTCCGGGCCTTGTCGTGTCGCGTCAGTGACCAAATCTTCCTTAACTATCCTATCTAGCAGGCATCACGCCCGCCAGCCCCCTTGAAATCTTTCAACTCTGCACTGCACTATTTACGTCTCTTGGGTTGGGTTGCCTAGGTAATAATAAACCCCCACTCATGATCGTATCATTAATCCTCTAACACATCGTCTCACAGACTGCTATGGCCCATCAGAGTCGTGTCAAAGGTCCAGGGATTTCTGCCGCCAAAGCTCCCGCTCCCGTCGTCCGTGACGTGTCTGACTGGGAGGTCTTCACTGATGACGAGTCTGACAGTGACACTTCTCAGAACACTGTCGATTTCATTGAGCCCCCTCCTGCCTACAAGGTAGACGATCCCGGGTTGGTGGTCAACAGACCCACGCTGGGTAGACCGACTTTGGGCAGGCCTGTTGTTGAGAGGCCTGTCCAGGAGAAGCGTCAGTCGTCGTGGCGACAATGGCTCAACAGAGATAAGGTCAGCCCGGAGGCGGCGGATGAACCGACTCTACGTCCTGACCGAAGGGTCAGGCGTCATCGGTCTGAAACCGAGACACCCGAGGAGCGGGAGGCGAGAAGATCAGAACGTCGTCGTCGACACAGGGAACATGAAGAGCGTGGTCGCACTGAGAAAGACCGCCATACTCGTGACAGAAGCCGAGCAGGTAGTCCAAGCACGCGACACAGACGACACAAGCGACGCGAAGGTGAGGAGAGAGAAGAGAGAAGCGATGAGAAGGAGTCTCGTCGCCTCTCACGGAGGTTCCTTGGACGAACTGATGAAGAGGACAAGGAACGGGAGAGGGAGAAGCGCAGGTCTATGAGAGAACGACCTACTCTTGACAAGAGACACTCTACCTCTGCCTCAATCAGGCATCGCGACCCTGAGTATGCCGAACGCGAGAGGAGATCTAGTCGCGTGGACGGTGAGAGGCGACACAAGAGTAGTCGTGAGCACTCACGAGCCTCACATAGCCACACTCGCGCTCCTGAAGAAGACAAACGTCGCGATGAGGACCGGGAGGCTCGGAGAGCAGAGCGCCGACGACTGCACAATGAGCGCAAGGCAGCTACCCCCAAGAACAGTGACTCTGACCGCGGCGAGAAGGAGAGGTCATACACCAGAAGTGTTGATCCTGAACGCGCAAGAGAGCGACGCCATAGCCGACATCTCAGCCAACTTGACAACGACAACCGAAGGGACCGCTACAAGGACTACGAATCAGCCCGAGCCTCAATGAAGATCAAGAGTCCAAGTCCAGGCTCAGATCCTGAGAAGGAGAAGTTGAGGATGCACGAGAAGGAGCGCGAGAGAGAAGAGGAACGGCAGAGAGAGCGTGAACGCGAGAAGGAGAATGAGCGCGAACGCATCCGCTTAGAGGAGAAGCGAAAGGCTGAAGAGAAGAAGAGGATTGAGGAGATGGAGAAGGAGCGTGAGAGAGAGCGACTCGAGGAACAGAAGAAGCTTGATGAGAAGAAGAGAGCGGAGGACAGGCGACGTGCTGAAGAGAAGAAACGCGCTGAGGAGAAGCGTAAGCTCGAGGAGAAGAAGAAGTTGGTCGAAGAGAAGCGTCGCCTTGCAGAGAAGAAGCTGAAGGCCGAGAGTCGACGAAAGGCCGCTGAGGAGCGCGAGAAGGAGAAGGAGCGCGAGAGACTTGAGGAGAAGAAGAGAATCGAGGAGGAGAAGCGTCTTGAAGAGGAGCGACGTATTGAGGAAGAGCGAAAGCTCGAAGAGAAGAAGCGTCTGGAGGAGAAGCGCAAGGCTGATGAGAAGAGACGCGCTGATGTCCAGGAGAAGGAGCGAAAGCTCGCCGAGGCCAAGAAGCGTATTGAGGAGAAGGAGAAGCGCGCTGCTGAGCGCAAGGAAAAGGATGCTCGCCGTGCTCTCCGCAAACAACAAAAGGAAGAGCAAAAGAAGAAGGATGCTGCCGCCGAGGAGCAAGCGTACGTCCCCACTGCCCGGTCCCTTGACACCTTATGCAAGTACCGTATACTAACACGATCACAGAAACAAGCCTCAAATTCTCGGCCCCAACAAGTGGCCCGCCCCAGGAGCACGACTCGGCCCCGCCCTGGGCCCCCTGAGACTAGCTACAGCTACAGCTACAGAGACCAAGCCGAAGCCGGCTGTTGTTGACGACTCTGACAGCGGTGTCGACTAAGCGAGGAACAAACAGTACATGAGGCGTTTTTACGGGATGACCAAAGCGGTTCTTTTGATCTATGACACAACATCTCCACTCACAAACTTGAACTTGAACTTGCAGGATGAAAGATTCCTGAACGGTTCAACCGACTAATGCAGCTTTGGAAGAAGCCTATCTTATACCCTGACTGATGAAACAGTCACAACTCCACTCAAAGAAATACTTTAACGCTAATGCTCTGTATGAGTATAATATGAATATGAATGATTACGAACACTTTTATTTCTCTCGTGACTGTGACGTGATGACTTTTGGCTTGTACTTGAACTACTTGATCATGACTGCGCCTCCATCGACAATGAGATCCTGACCTGTCACAAAGCCAGCGTTGACCAGATACTCAACAGCCTGAGCAATATCTAACGGTCTTCCGGCCCTATTCGTAAGGTGATCCTCAACGTCCTTATCCTCGTTCAAATGCGCCCACTCAACACCATTCTCATCACCCTCCTTCGACTCATGACCTGCCTTGATACGACCCGGCGCAACCAGATTCACCCTGATCCCAAAGGGCTGCAGACTAACAGCCATGCTGTGCGTAAGACCCAACAGACCAGCCTTTGCGGATGCATAGCCTTCTTGGTTTGGATCACTCTGCTTTGCGCGGAACGATCCCACGTTGATGATGCAAGGCCCAGCAGTGCTGTGACTATCATCCGTAACAGGCCCCGTATCCTTCTCATTCTTCATGAACGGGATACAAGCCTGAGAGACCACAAATGGCGCCGTGAGGTTCGTCTCAATGTACGCCTGCCACTCCTTTAACGTCTCTCGATCAACCATAGTCTTGCCATCTTTCCAATGCGGTGACGCAATACCGCCATTGTTGATGACAACGTCAATATGGCCGTCCAGAAATTTGGCTGCTTGTTGGATTCTATCGTAAATCTCATCTGTGTTGCGTAAGTCGCAGATGGCTGAGTCAACAGCTTTGGAGTCGTAGTAGGATTTGAGATGTGTGCGTGTTGTGTGAGTAAGTTCTTGCTCGTCTATGTCGAGGATGAAGACACGGTAGTGTTTTTCAAGGAAATAACGTGCGAGGGTGCGGCCGATACCACGGGCTCCGCCGCTGACGACGGCTGTTTTAGGCATCATGATGGTGTTGCAATGAGGTTTGATCTGGTTCATGGGAACGGGAGTCGAGTGGTAATATCGTCAGAGATACGGGCGTCATGAGCACGTACTGAAGACGTCACGCTACGTCATTGAATCTGAACTTTTGAAAGAGAATGAATAGCGATAAGTTCTTATCGCGGCGCATATTGTGTCGTCCATCGATGCGTGTTGTCCATTTCAAGGCAAGGTGGCATAGTAGTCCTTTCATGGTTGTCATTCTGCAATGACGAGGAGGGGTATTGGGTCTCCTTCTAACGTGTGGAATTATTTGGCGCGATTAACTCTTATACAAAGTATAATTAACAGTCCCGTAGTAAAGTGTATTTTGAGAACTTATCTCACAGATAATTATAGCATTCAAATTTTATCTGTCTTCCCCTAAGTCTGTAAATAGATCTTCAACTAAGGCTTCCACCCAACGACCGCTCGAACAGCTTGAGTCATAGCACCGACTTGCTTATTCGTCTTGACCGATTTCCCTTTATTATATCCCTCTCTATAAGCAATCCTGTCCTCGCCTGCAACTAGTTAGCCCATATCACTACAAAATTAAGCCTCAAAATTGAGAGAGCGGTCTTACCAAGCAATGCTTTAACCCAATGCTTTGGTGCTGCCTTTTGGTGCTCATCCCACAATGTCAGAAGATAGAGTGCAGTAGTGCCATATTCCGTCTCGTGTTGATGCACAGAGACATTAAACTCCGGATTGACACGTTTGGCAAGGTCGAGTCGATTTTTCGTTGCTTTGGCCGCTGTTTCGATTGTGACAAATTTATCTTTGCGGCTAATCTTATCCAGCCCAAGATCGCGTGCGACGGGATCAAAGACAGTAGCATCGAAGTGCAAATCATCGCCGAAGAAGATGTCGTTTCGAGTGAGAGAGCCATCGACCTCGATCTGGTCATGTTGAGCCAGGTCTCGGAGATGGAAGGTTTCGTTGGGTCGGCTTGTGGTGGAGATATCAAGCTGAAACACCATGTTGACGGCATCGATGTAGAAGCCATCTTCGAAATGGTAAGCGGCTTGGGCTGCATGATTGATCATGTCGTAATTGATGTTTGCACCATCGCGTGGAAGGTAACCGTGGTTGGCGAGAGCGTTGAGGCCTGGACATGGTGATCGACCTGTAGTGAGACACAATGTTAACATTTTGGTCAGTTTTCCAGTCTAATATGAAAGGCTTACTGTCGTAGGGTCCTGCGGCGCGGAACTCATGACCCTTTGGATCTGGCAGGGCAGAGGCCACGATTGCGAAGAATACTGAGGAAAAAAGAAAAGCTTTCATTCTGCAAAACAATACTATTTGGGGTTGGAAGTAACTCTTTTTCTAGAATCAGGGAGAGAGACATATATTTAACGCTTTTTATCTCTTTTATTACTGCGGTAACTTCTATTTCTGCGTCTAATCCTGTCGAAAGAATACGCTGTTCTTGGTTGGCGTATTGCGTATTAGAGGCGTATTATTAACTAGCGGCAAGCGTATAGCAGGCGTATCGCTTACAGGGGCATTAGTGAATCAAACGGACCACTTTACAGGTAGCGTGCTGATTGAGGCGCTTGCATTCTATGTAATCAGATGGTACTTGGCTCCATCACGAGATACCCAGCTCTATGATCACGGAACAGCAAGACAGGGACAAAGACATTGATGAAAAATGCTTCATCGAGTGGATTCTGCTTAGCAGCATAAAAGGAACCAGAACCTAGCATTCTTGGATTTGTTTGCCTTGCAGAAGCTCTACTGAGACCCCTCTGATCATTTCACGTATGCCAGTTTGGCAATCTCATCAGCTGCTACATCACGCCCCTTCTTCCCTGCTTTAATCCTATCACCCAGCCATTTTGCTCGTCGCTGTAAGAGACTCTCACCGCAACCATCTATTCCTTCCATGAAAGCATCCAACAAGCACTCACTCATCCAGTTGGGCGTTGAATCCTTACAACCCCAAACCCCAATGCCACTTGTCTCAGCTAGAGCAGCGTAGTTATAAAGATCGGCCCATAGAGGAAGTATAACTTGCGTAACACCGGCTCTTTGCAATGGTCAGAGGTTGTCTGCCGAGTAGTCTTGAACATTTACTTACGCGAGGGCTTCGTGATAGCAGTTCGAACCGCCATGATGCACTGAAGTAACAATGTTCCCAGTATCGAGAAGTGAAGACGGGTCTGCTACAAGCCAACTTGGCATTTTTAGTCGCTCGTTGTCGAGGTAGGGCTTCAAGTGCACCAAGAAATCATCAGAGAAGTCCCCCAGCTTATTAAATTTCCACAAGACCTGGTAATCAGTAGAGGATAGTAACGCCGCTATGGCGATCGCCATGACTTCAGCACGACTTTCGTCATACTGCCAAACATCAGCTACCTGTGAAATTCTTGTATTCTTCATGACCTACAGCAAGATTACTACCGAGATTAATGAGAACTGTAGGGGCATTCTTGAGCCAAGTTGCAGTTTCAGGATCTTGTTGATGAGCTGGCGGCCCTGATAGGATGATTGGCCCAGCACAGGTGACATTTGGCGGAATAATTTCAACTGGGATCATGGCGCCTTGTGTGTTTTGGGTAATCCATGGAACACCTAGCCGATTCATTCCGAACAAGTTCATAGGTTCTCCTAGACCAATCTCTTGAAGTCGAGCTTTCTTTTTTGAAGCATCTGGCGTAAACATTGCGCTGTAGATATAACGAATATTCATGTATATATTTTCTGGGATGTTCACCAGAGGAATCGGTGAGAGAAAGCCTGACGATGGGCTATTGCTATTAGGATCAGCCAATCTCAGTTGACGCAAGCGACTTACGCAGGGTATTTCCATAACCTAGTCCAGAGCGGCTGGATACCTAAGAAATGATCTACAAGAGTATTCGGCGTGATGAAGGCATGCTGCCTATTCCTCTTGCGCGTGGCATCTATAGCTGGCCGGAACCAACTGTCGAGCACGATAACTGCTGGGTCGACCTCATCAATAATGCTACCAAGCTCTTTGTACAAGTATACATGATCTTCAAATGTCCATGGCGATATCCAAAGCTGTATGTGCTCTGCCAAAGTAGCAATACCTCTCCATCCTGGAGGGGAGATGAAGCTTCGACCTTCTTTGGCGATTGCCTGCACAAATGTGAGACCGGTGAGACCGTGGAAAACGATGGCTCTCGCATGAGGAGATTTGATCTTAGCGAATGAGGAAACTCGTTCCAACTTTTGCTCAATAGACGAAAATGAAGCAAAATAAACTTCTATATCTGGGTAGTTCTCTAGTATCGCCGATGCAGTTGCAATGTGCACATTGGATAGACCATGCTCGCTGTTTGTGAGGAAAAGCACGGTTTTGTTTCTTCCTTGGACATACGGAGCATGTTCTGTCGAGGTCTCGCGGGATAGGAAGTAAGCCAGAGACACAGCGAGCAAGGCTGTAAATAAGAGGAGCCGGGCAAACATGGCGAACCCTATGTTCACTGCAATTATTTCTGACACTATTCACAGGTTACTTAAAAAGACAGTGAATTGCCTCACATTTCTCTGCACAGAAAACCAAGGCAGGTGTCTGCTTGCCTCCGCGTCAACTCATGTTGTACGTTGAACTAGGTGAACTTCGCTTAACCAATTCCACCAGCTCCTCCAGCTCGTCAGCCATTCAAACTACCTTGCCTTGGAGCTCTATCCTTTGAAAAGATTAGCCAATCCTTAAACTGCTGCCTTGCTAGGGTAGAGGAGGGGCATTCAAAACCCCGCACCACAGAGGAAGAGCAGGGAATGTAATCGTTTGCATGCTACCTTGCCATCCAGCTTGGCATCTCGCTTGTTATCATGGCGGCAACTCGTACAGATCAACAAATTTCCCCCGCATCATGGCAGTCATTGCACCAATTTGCAAAGTTTGTATTCTCAACGGCAATGTCGGCTTTGCTCAATTACCTACCCTTCTCCAAGAAGGAAGAGCGACGTCCTCTCCCGGACACTGTTGAGTCAGATGACATCATTCCGGTGCACTTGTTCGACGATACTGCAGCGGCGCGGGGAATCGTATTGGTATGGACTTTACAGTTTGAAGACGTATTGAACCCCCATAAACTGAGCGTCGCTCTGTCCAAGCTCTTTGAAATGGAGGGATGGCGGAGATTAGGTGGAAGGTTTCGGCAAAGGGTATGCTCTCACGGCTCCACGAAGTTTCTCGATATTGACCCGCATACAGTCAGATGGCGGACTCGAAATACATGTTCCACGAGAATTTACAAACGACCGGCCAGCAGTTTATTTCACCAAAGAAGAGTTTGAAACCCCAATGTCAGAACATCCGCTGGCTTCCAGACTACCCAAGCCAACCGGGAGTATCTCTACTTATACTGGACCGAAAGAATTCTGTGCTCTTGGACTCCGCCCCGAGACACCTCGCAACATGGACGATTTTGTTCACTCTGACATCCCTCAATTCTGTCTCCATGTGCAAACCTTCACTGACGGCACTCTTGTCAACTTGACATTTTCCCATGTAACAACTGACCTGATGGGGTTGTCTGCCATATTCGAGGCGTGGAGTCAGGTCTTGGCCGGGAAGCCAGAAGCTGTTATCCCAATGCCAGGATACCGGAAAGATGTGTTTGACGATATGCTCAAATCACCGCGCAAGGAGCCCCATGTTCTTGCAGATAAGATCCTTGATGGCTGGCGTTTCAAAGTCTGGGGCTTACGGAGCTTGTATGAATCGTGGAGATCCGGCAACATTCGGTCGCGGACTCTGTGCATCCCGAAAGATACAATTAGAAGGATGATGCAGCAAGCTAGGAGCCACCTAGAAGAGGAAGCCATAAATGACAAGCCTTTCATCAGCGAGGGTGATATCTTCGCCGCTCTCTCTTGTCTCATGCTAGCCAAGTATCAAGGTCGGGGCACGAATCGGGAGCTGGCAACTATCATGGCTGTTGACCCTCGAAGTCGAGCCCGATCGGTGTTCTTGCCAGACAAGGCATACGTGCAGAACTCTCCTACCAATGCCTTTGTGTTCTGTCGCGCCAACGAAATCTTGGACCTACCACTGGGGAAACTTGCTCTCCAAGTGCGAGAGGCCATACAAGCACAGACCACAGAGGAACAGCTGAAAGCCTCAACGGCGCTCTCAGTGGAGTCTATGAAGACGAACAGTATGCCCGTTGTCTTTGGAAGCACCAACATGGCTGCCCAGTTCATGTCAAATTGGACCAAGGGTGACCTTGCTGAGAAGCTGGACTTCAGTCCCGCGATAGAACAGGAGGTACGCCCTGAGTCTAGAAGGGGGAAGAGGGGACATCCTGTGTATTATCAAGCTTCTGATCCCGGACACAATACTGTCTCCGCCATATCGAGCGTGTTTGTAGTGGTTGGTAAGGACTATGAAGGGAACACTTGGTTTTCCAACTCGTTGCCGCAAGAGATGTGGACAGACTTGATGGATTACCTTGAGCAGCTCAGCCATGCTGGCAGAGCGCCTAAACTTTGACAGTGATCTTTTATCTTCAGCTGGGAGGGGCTGTGATAGCTTGAATAGTTTAGATTCAACTTTTGGATTAGATGAGGTAGCGACTTTGTTTGTCCGATGAAAGGATCTTGATATAGCATGACACTTTCTTCGATGAAAACTGTGAGATATTGAGACGTTGTCAGATTGCACTCTATTCAATCGCTATCTATATCTAAGGGCGTCTCCAAAACTCCCCGGTTGTTCGCATCACGATCTTCATATGCAGGCTTAATGAATTTTCGAGATTTCCAGAATCGTCCCCTCAATGTTGTTCAGTCAGTCACGAAGAGCAGCTTGTGCAAAAAGCACCGGAGCCAGTCCCAGAAGTGACATAGACCCCCAAGCCCATGAGTTCTGCCTGGGGAACCTCAAAACTTGCCAATACGACGTCATTGTCAGACCAACTCGTAAGAATGCACGGGCAATCAATGGCGCTTTCACGTTAATTCCTGACGTTGTTATGTCGATACCGTGAGTGAGTAATGATTCGGCTAAAACGCCTACCGTAGCCAAGAGTAATACCGTGTTTTGTTTGCCAAGCTTAACCGGCAATGTTTTGAGACCTTCCTTGGTATCTTCCGGAATATCTCTGATGTCGCATGATGTCTCACGGAAGAATTGGTATAAGACGGCGAGATAAAAGCTTCTTGCTCGTAAATCTCTGCTCGCACATTGGTACTCCTTTTGTCGACAGCAATAAGCCATGCTGGCTTCGGCACAAACACTTGCCATACAGAATGCGACTACCAAAGACTTTGCTTCAAAGAGCTAAAAGTGTAAGGATATGTCATGTATATAGAATGAGTGTTGAGCTTACCAGAGTTTTGGGCTTGCTTAGAATCCACCCCTTGGAGATCGAGTACAATGGGACGCAAGGGATTCCCCAAGCCAGACCAAGAGGTAGGACACGGTATATGTCGTATATGGTGTGAAGGTCTAACGTTGCAGTACAGGCCAGGACAATGGCCCAGAGGCCGTATACCCAAAGATTCCATATCCACTTGGCAGGTCGGTTTGATGGCGAGAGATCTTTGTATGTGTCCATGGCTACAGAGGGGATTGTCAGTAGCATATTCTTCGGATGGAATTGAATAGAGTTTAGAGTATGACTTGCAGTCAACAACAGCCGATATGGTACCAATGAGTCCAAGTAGCCTCACAGGAAAGTGATACGAGCCGGTTGCAGTCTGTATAGCACCTATGGCTGGAGCCAGATGCCCCAGCCCCATCAATGCAGGCATTACACCGAGGCTGTAGAAGGTATTCGTCCTGGACATGTTTGATGTTGAATAAAGCCGAGAGTATGATCAGCAGATGGAAAGGTTGTCAAAGGAAAGGTACTAGGCAAATAAACGTCATAAGGGCGAGAAGAGAATTACAACTTAGGATGGGCTGTCATGCTTTCACGCGGACAATCACCGACAATTCCTTCCGCTTTCACTGACGTCTGTCGGCTTCGGCATCAAATAGCCAGTCTACCAGTGATCCACGGCCACTCCGACCCAACTCCCCTCGCCAAGCTGTTCCATCATTGATCAAGAGCCATCAGTAAGTCCCACCAGAAGCATGTAACTGATGCATCCCAAGCCTCCCACGTTATCACTCACCCTCAATCACCCAATGAGTACGTGACAAGAATGTTAACCAATCAGTGACGCCCTGCGACAAGGATATCTCCGAGCAAGGTTGTCCGCCCTCGTCATGTAAGCGAAGTCCTGCAGCAGACTCTGAATCATGACGAGATATTTCCAAGAAGTCGATCCGACCCTAGATAGGACTCTTGCATACAGAACAAAATCGATCGCCATCAGGCGGCAGCATTCTCACACAAGTAATTGGCTCCCCAAAGTCTTTGGGTTGGATCCTAAAAAGTGACGGTCGCATCCTCGAGGTGGGGCGGGGATTAACAAGGTATTGTGGTCTTTGCTCCAGCCAACATTCTTTTACCCTTGACCTCATCCCTCATCTTAGCGAGACCTTTACAAGCAGCTTTAGCCTCCACTTTTGGGATAATTCATCATTCTTTCCAATCTCAGGCTTTGTCACAATGGCTGTTGATCTCGCTACTACCGCCCAGGCGTTTCTGCCTCGGGTTGTTGTTTACACAATCATTGGTACCACTGCAGCATGGCTGCTACACCTCATGCAACCTGCTTTTCAAGCGGCACTCTCCAAGGATTACCAGAAGTTCAACTGGGCTGGTGATAAGAAAGGTGTCGGTACATTCATGAAGGCATCATATGAAGTTGCTCTTAAGTCTCAAGAATATTTCAAGGAGACTCATCGCAAGGTAGGCTATACTGTTTGCCCTTTGGGGTCCAACGCTTATAAGACTAGATTCTTGAAGCTGGCCATGGAGGTATTCAGCTCGTTCCAATCCCCCACTGCAGCACGGGCTTCATGCTCATGGTGCCAAAGCAGCTGCTGAATGAATATGTCAAACAACCTGAGAATGACATTTCTCTCAAGAGATATACTCTCCAAGCCCTTGTACCTGACTACACTACCCTTGGTCCTCATATCGTCATTCACCCCGTCTACAGAAATGTTGTTCACAAAGAGCTCTACCAGAAGGTCGCAGACAAAATGCTCATGGTCAATGAGGAGATGCAGGCTGCTCTAGATGACAATGTCGCCTCAAAGCTTGACTCCAATGGTGTTGTGCAGATAAATATGTGGGATACAGCGAGTGCTATTCTCAGCAGATCTGCCAACCGTATTATCTCAGGTCAGCCTTTGTGTGACAACAAAGAGTACAGAGATGCTACCGCTGAATACGCCGCCACATTCTTTGCGTCAGCGCTGTACGCCAGATTTATCCCACCATTTCTTCGCCCGTAAGCAGCCCCAATACAATGATTTCTTGTCAGTTTTAGTGATAGGTTGCTGACATCCTACAGGCTTCTGCTGCCTTACATGTGTCGCCCGTTGATGCAATGCATTGAGACAGCTGCCAAGCACGCGACGCCCGTGCTGAAAGAGCGCATGGCTATTATTGATGCGGCTGAAGAAAAGGACATCGAACCAGATCTCCCTGTAAGTTGGAAGATATACCGGTTGTTTTTGACAGCGGCTGATATTTCCCAGAATGACATGCTGAGCGCTATCATCCTGGCCGCCAAAAAGGACCCCTACGGGCCATCAGAGTACGAGCCAATGGTCATCGTCGCCAGAATGATGGTTCTAAACTTTGTCCAATCGTACACTAACCTCGTCACAATGACCAATTTGGTATATGACCTCATCTCACTCCCCGCAGGCGACTACGAAGCCATGATCAGCGACTTGCGTGCCGAGATAAGCCAGGAAATGGCAAAAGGCGATGCATTTTCACATGAATTCTTCCAAAGGTTGACGCTAATGGACTCTCTCATCCGGGAGAGCATTCGCTACAACCCAATTGGTGAGACGGGCATTGAGCGAGCCGTGGGTAAACAGGGCGGCTTCACTTTCTCCAACGGCATCCATGTGCCGCAGGGTGCCATCCTTGCTGCACCTATCAAGGCCTATCAGAGAGATGAGAGGACATACCCTGGCGGGTTTAATCCCCGTCGATCAATGGAAGATCCGGAGCATCCTAAGATGACGGATATTTCGCCGGACTTTTTGAACTTTGGACTTGGAAGGGGTGCATGTCCTGGAAGGTTCTTTACTAGCAACTTGCTTAAGCTTACGCTGACGCATTTGCTTATGGATTACGACTTTGAGAGATTGGACAAGAGACCGGAGAACGTTCGCAAGGTTACAATTGACGAGCCATGCGGACGATTCCTCATTACGTTGAAGAAGAGGAACTATGCTTGAAATGGCTTAGATAGATCTCGGCATGTATGTAGAGCAAACTGTAGTAAGAAATTAGTCTCAGTCATATCCCAATAGAGCAATGAGTGACAGGAATGTCAAGTCCGATCGCAACATACGCCCAAACACGATAGACCAGAGCCAAATGCCTCAGTAGACAGACTCTTGAGCATGCATCAACACATTGAAAGCCCAGAGGATCACCTCCTCTTCCCTAGTCCTTTCTCATTAACCCCTCCATGGCATATTTCATGATCCTGATTCCACTTCCCCACGGGATATCCCCACTTACAGCGTTGACACCCCGCATAGATAGAACATGGACGTTGATCCTTCACCCCGCAGATGACAAGGCAGCAGAATAAAAATCTTGGCAGAGAACATCAAAAGAGGATGAATGCAGCGGCGCATATGCATATTGTAATCTAATCCCTCAAACTTGTGATCTTGATGTAGGATCATGCAAGCCAAGTTTCCAAGATAATTTGGTACTTTTGTAAATTCCCGCCTACTCGTCCCCTGAGTATCTACATTATGCAGTGGTAACCAGTATTGCAACCCAGCAGTTCATGATGAATCCTCACGGACAAATTCCAGCAAGGCATTTGTGACTTCGGCACGTCGTTCGAGCATGATCCAGTGTCCCGCTCCTTCGAGAACCAGTTCTTTGTAGCCCTTGCTTGCATATGGTGTGATGCCCCTCCCAATTTGGTCCGCCCGTGTCACCATATCTCCCCCGCCGCAGATACTAAAAACTGGAACTTTGAGCATGCGTTGCTCGTTCGTCAGTGGATCCTCATCTGTTGCTTGGATCCCACGCATGAGGGAACGGTAGTAGTTGAGCAGGCCTTTGATGGCGTCCTTACGTCTGTTGATTTCGAGCCAACGGGTCCTGTCCTGTTCTACGAGGAATGGAGGGAGGGGACATGTCTTATTTGAGGTCAGCCATTCTCGAGTTCCATTGATGGCTGCAAGGCCTGTTATCCAGAGGGCGTTGTCGTCGGCGTATGCAAGGTGGAAGAATGACTCTAGCTACAAGAAGTCAGTGAATTGGTTCGATAGGACAATGGGCCCAGCACATACATGATCAAGAATAACCCGCTCGGCATCATATGAGTTAAAGAAGTACCAGTAACCCAACTGCATATACCCAAGCTCCTTCTGGCTCCAAACGTTCAGTCCATCAATGTCAAAGAACACTCCAGGCGCTGTGTAGCCTGCCGACATGAACACCAGCTTGGAAAATCTCTCAGGGTGCCAAACAACAACTCTAGACATGACCATCGATCCCCAGTCATGTGAGACGCCAATGACTTTGTCGACCTTCTCATGGTCTAGCAATTCTATAAAGTGCCCACTAAGACGCTTCAAATTGTAAGCTTCAACGTCGGAGCGCTTGTCAGAATCGCCATAGCCGAGACAATCTGGGGCAATGACTCCATAACCTGCTTCTGAGAGGTCCTTGAATTGATATCGCCAGTCGTAGCGCGAAGACGGGCAGCCGTGAATGAAGAGAAATGTTTCTTTGCTGTCCTTGGCAGGGATGTAGTCGTAGGCATAAGTATCACCATCGTGGGTGGTGAATCGCTTGTCGAAATTGTCCATGATTCACAAGAAATAAGCGTAAGCAACGAGATTTACGAATCAGAGTGAGACACCAATTGAACTGTGATGGTTTGAACTGATTTGTCCGAGTCAAGGAAGCACTGAAAGTCTGAGCTATAAAAGCTGGGCGTGGCGGTGCGCTAAAGCTCAGTGAGCTGGTGCCTATATCTCTGTCACTGTCAAGGGTTATTCACTGGCCCCGCTGTCAGATATTAGCCTCTACGGCTGTCTCGGACAGAGCACCACAGCAGTGACAAAATCAACTCCAGCAAAGCAGACAGCGCTGATAACCTTCACTCATCACCCAAAGTGGCTACCGAGATCACATCTCCTCGCAAAATGGCATCGAAATCAGAGCCTCTTCCTGCTAAAATGCCTGTAGCACTAGTGGACCAAGAAGAAGCGCTTCAAAACACAGGAGAGAGGTGTGACAAGAAAACCGAGCATACCTCATACAAACTGACTGAATTAATTTACTAGTAACACGACCTCGTATCTCAAAGCGAAAGAAGATGGCCTAGCATTCTGGACGGAGCACACCAAACCGGTTCTCACCTCTCTTCTCAAATCCGTTGGAGATTACACTCCCGAACAACAAGCTGCTCATCTTGAGTTCCTTGACAACTATATCATCCCGAGCATGGGGCGTGCGCCTGAAAAGTACCGTGCAAGATCACTCCTGACCCCAAATGGCTCACCATTCGAAACCAGTCTCAACAATAGTGACAGCGGCAAGTCATACGTGCGCTTCTGCTACGAACCTGTGTTTCCAGGCTCAGATGGTGTCACTGAAGATCCCATTCCAAGAATTGCCGAGAAGACAGGTGCTGATCTCCGCTGGTTCAATCAATTTGCTGCCGAGTTCTACCCGTCGGAGGAAGATGCTGTGACTCTGGCGGAGAAGATGCCAAAGGATACTATTCGCATACCCAAGGTGTTTCTGGCCTTTGACCTCAAAGATGACAAGCAGACTATGAAGGCATATTTCTACCCTGTTATCAAGTGGATGACAGCAAAGCAGAACTCGGACAGAGCTGGGTTTGACCTCATCCGACGACTTGATCCCCTCGGTCCATCGTTTGGACCTGCCATCGACACGATCGAGAAGTACCAGAGCAAGCTGTATCAAGATCCACCACTTACTGTGGTCATTGGTATCGACTGCATAAGTCCCGAAGAAGGCCCCCGAGTCAAGATCTACATCGAACCTCAGTCCAACACCTGGGAAGCAGTTGTACAACATGTCACCCTAGGAGGCCAAGTAACAGACAAAATGACAATGGATGGTCTAGCAATTCTTCGCGATATGTGGCATATCCTCATAAACGAGCCAGAGGACAAGGAGTTTGATGAGAAGTTCTCAAAGAGAATATTAGAAGACAAGCCAGATGTTAGTGGAGCATGCTTCAGCTGGGAACTCAAGCCTGGCCAGGACGTCCCTGACGTCAAGATTTATGTCCCTTTGAATCAGTACTTCAAGAATGACAAGTATGCTACCGAAGCAATGGAGAAAGTGTTTAGGAAGAGAGGATGGGCCTGGGGCATAGAGGGCACATACAAGAAGATTGTGTCGGATGCATAGTAAGCAACTACTGATCAAGACGATCATGATACTAACAACTGTAGTGGGAGCGATGTTGTCGACGATATGGTTGAGACGCCAACTGAGCATACCTTTGTCTCATTCAACTTCTCCCAGAAGAAGGGGGCGTACATGACAACATATGTGGCACCATTTGTGAGGTTTCCTTAAATGGGCATTGCGATGTTGGAGAAACGTGGCTAATAATAAAGAAATGGAATTAATGTCCCGCACTATCGTACTAATATTGATGACTCTGGAATGTCCCTGTCACGGGATGTATAGCCTCCTAAGCAGAATCGCCTGGACTCTTCGTCCTCTTCTCGATCTCTACAACCTCTGTATCCGGTGCAATGGGCGCGTCGATCTGGGAAGTAAACTTCTCAGTGGGATCGCGTAGAAAGAAACCGGCTAAGACGAATGATTAGCAATCAAATTCTCCCTGAGGTTCACTTGTCTTTGTTATCCACTCACCGATGCTAGCGACGAGACATAGACTCGCAGTGGTCAACCAGACACCGCGAAAGCTTACACGGTAAGCTTCCAGAAGACCATCGACCCCGGCGTGAATTATTTCTGGAGAAATGCCGTGAATCTGTTTGAGCGCCACTGTATCGTTATGGGCAAGGGCGGGTATGAGTTGAGGCAACTCCCTTTCGGGGAAGCCAAGTGGCAAGACAGCATGAGATATCTTGGGTCCCAAGTTGGATGAGAACCCATTAGAGAAGATAGCGTTGAATACGGCCAACCCAACAGACCCTCCCAAACTTCTGACAGAGATCATAAGACCGGATGTAATCGCGATCAATTCTCGAGGTGTTGCAAAATGAGCTACTGTAATCAGCGCTGGCATGCAAACACCCAATCCGAGACCTAGAGTTATGGGGTATATCCAGATGAGGGCTTGGGGTGTGGACTTGGAGACAGTAGCCATCAGGACCATAAACAGGGTCTTGAAGCCAAAGGCCAGGATAATCGGGAAACGCAAAGCCTTACTGATGGAGCACCATATACCGCTCACGATGGCAGAAATACACAGAGCTATGAAGGCCATGCTGTACTGGGCCCCGATGATAAGATTATCGGTTGCAAAGAGAACACTGACTTCAAAGGCGAAATAGTTGTTGCCACAGTGGAATGCCATGCCCTCGGCAAAGATGCAACCCAAAGCTAGTGCAAAGTTCCGATCGCGAAAGAGACGACGATGAAACATGCCGTTCTTTTTTATCGATGTCTCATAGACGATAAGGGCCACTCCCGAAAGTACACCAATGAGAAATGTGGCCAGTACATGGGCGTCAGTCCATGAATATGGGTTCCCACTCCAAGCGAGAGACATGCAGAAGAGGACAAGCGCAGGAGTCAAGAAGCCGTACCCGACCCAGTCCAGGTTACGCATTTTCTCTGATACGCTGAGAACAATTTCCAAGGCTCTCGGAGGCGGGTTGTAAAAGAATTGACATGCGACTGTCGCAACTGCATATATGCCAGCAACCATATACCAGTAGGCCCGGAAGCCATCATGATGCTCATGTCTAGTCAACACGCCACCAATCAAAAGGCCGACAATGGCTCCCAGAGAAGCTGAAACATTGATACTGCCCTGTGCCCAAGGACGATACTTGCGAGCAACGACCTCAGAAGAAATGGCATGGAGAAGCGGCTGCGCACCGAATGAGATGCCTGAAACGGCAAATCCAGCGATGGCTGTACCGGAAGATGAAGCTTTAGCTATAATGAGAGACCCGACAAAGCCACAGCTCGTTAAGCAAACTAGTATCGTCTTGCGACCCCAGAGATCGGCGGCTTGAGAAGCAGGAATGCCAAGAAGGGTTGTCAAGATTGCGATCACTTCACTGTACCAGACAGAATCGTGGGAGCCGCCAACAACAGCGGAGATGTCTCTGGTCAAGGCACCAGATCCAACGACATTGGCAACATGGACGAAGTATACCAGATTGATCGACTAGAAGCAATTCTCAGCTCACAATTGTGAAAGAGGATGAAGATAGCACTTACAAGTAATAACAGCAAACTCTTCATAGACACCTTACTATTCCCCTGAACTTCACTTCTAACTTCATTGGCCCTTTCGCTATGCTCACACGAAGATCTATCAGACATGATTAAACAGTGTAGAAGTTAAATGAATGTCGTGAAGGAAACCAAGCCTTGGAACATTTCTGGAAACCTGTCTTGGTAGTTATAAGCCATGAGGAGACGGCATCTGGGGTCCTGCGCATTGACGTTGTATTTCCGTCTTGAACCTTATTTTGGTACATTAACCTTAGTTTCATGATGTTGATGTTTCGAACAGAAAGGTCATGGCGCAAACTTGCCTATCGCGTTATGCTTTCTAGCGCGAACGGGCGCAGTCTTGGTGATGATAAGTAACGCGCTTTGACTGTCACTTGCAGCTCGGAGTTTTGCTCCAGTTTTAATTCGATCAGACTAAATTCTCTTTTCTATATGCATTAGCACTATATACTGTGTTTATCCAGGCATGAAACGAGGGAGATGAGAAGTAGAGTTTTCTTTGATCTTAGCCGTTGAGACGCATTTCTCAACATCAACGATCGGGATTTATCTGGACATCAAGGGCATGAACGACATTGATTAGAAAAGTGCTTGAACTCTATTCGAGCTATCGCGTATTATAAACACACTTTACTGGCTTCCTTTGAAAATCTTAGAAAAATCATGCTCATTCCAGTACATGGTCGGCTTCAAGCCCGCCAACTTCCATTCGCCATCAACCTTTGCATAAGTATGTTGCATAACAGCATGGCAGTGGCCCTTGGCCTCAACAGTCTTCTTATCGGGCCCTGTGTATCGCTGGTGGGCAGCTCGGAGCTGGTGGGTACCGACTATACGGCCATCTGAGAGAACTTCATATTTGGAAGCCCCGATAAAATGCTGGCTGTCAACAAGAGCGTCGCCAACGAATCCCGGGTCTGAAACCATGGCGACAAAGTCTTTAGCTGGCATGGCATCCCACTTTTCACCCGTCACGACGGTATAATCGACCTTGAGGATATCATATTAGCAGAAAAATGTCAAAGTGTTTTTTCGGGAACTCATACAACCAGTTCCGGGGCGACGATACTGGCCAGGCGATCCCAGTCCTGCAAGTCGGTTAGATAAGTTTGGTCCTTAACATGGAATGACCGTACAAACCTTTGCGTCGAGACTGTCTCCCCAGTCGAAAGTAATTGCAGCAACCTGCAGGGCATCTATTTTATATAGTTTATTAACATCGTTCGCTCAGATCGAAAGGTAGTGACTGGCTCGAAGGCCACTAACCAGCGGGATCGACTCTTGAAGTAACCATGGCGCCGATATATGAGCGACGACAGATATGGAGCGACTAATAGCCGTGTATAGGCTTGAAGGACGGAGTAATGATATCGATCGGTTCAAGGAAAGCTTTGGAGAATTAAAAGTCAATGAGAGAAACATCATTATTATGGATTACGGAACTTCCGATCTCATTCCGTCGGTATCCCGATAGCGGATTTTCCCCGCCTCTAACTAAAATCGGTCAAGTCTGCCAACTGACCTTGTGTGTCCTGGCATGGGTAAGACGGCTTTGAGCTGGCTTAGATATGCAGCAGCAACTGCCGAGAACCCTTATGCCAGCCCGGCAGGTCCGGCTGTCTAGGAGCGGAGAAGTCGAATAAGAATATGTCCAACTCAGAAGCATTTTATAAGATGGTCTTTAGGTGCGCTACATGGTTCTATTCCATCTGCATCTTCTAGAAGATAGCACTTGATCAAATCATCTCACCCTTTCATATATCGAAATGATACCAACTACTCACCCACCTGTCAAACCCCAGAGAATTCAGGAACTATTCCCCGATGCCATCATATCAAAAATCACTCCAGCACCTGAGCACCCCCGTTACAATTATGACGGTTTCGACCCGGGACGTCGAGTTCTAGAAGCAGGTCATGTCCGCTATCCGGGTCGCAGGCCGTTCGGTGTACGAACTATATATGAGCGAGACCAAGCCATTATTGTTCGCGATGGCGCTCGCCTATACGCAGATATCTTCCGCCCCCAGTCATCAGATACACAGCCTGTCCCGTGTATCCTTCCGTGGAGCCCGTACGGTAAAACTGGGACTGGTCCTCAAAATTACGACTTCATGGCACCCTATCGAGCGGGAATCGCCCTTGATCGCACATCAGGCTATGAAAAGTTTGAGGCCCCAGATCCTGCCGACTGGGCCGGACGTGGCTATGCTGTGTTGAATATTGATGCTCGTGGTGCTGGGCATAGCGAAGGAGTTATCGCACGCTGGGGCATTCAAGAAGCAGAAGACATTTACGATGTCATCGACTGGCTGTCTAAACAGCATTGGTGCAACGGCTCTGTCGTTATGGCAGGAAATTCATGGTTGGCTATATCGCAAATCAACTTTGCTTCAAGAATGCACCACCCGGCACTGAAAGCGATTGCACCCTGGGAAGGTTATACGGACCTGTATCGTCACTACGTTGCCAGGGGTGGACGCCCGCATATTCCTGGCTTTCACCGGATGATCTCAAATGGCCTTGCAGGGCCTGAAGGTGTTGAGAATGTTGTGGCTATGCTGAAGAAACATCCGTTGTACGACGACTACTGGGAGGCCAAGAGAATTCCTGTGGAGAGCATCTACAATATTCCCATGTACGTTGTTGCTTCGTACTCAAGCATGTTACACACGTATGGCTCGTTCCAGACTTTCCGACAAGCCAAGACAGAAAAGAAGTGGCTTCGTGTCCATCCGTATCAAGAGTGTAAGAAAAACTGGTTTCTTTAGTCCTTTCCGTACCACTGCGTGTAGTCTGAGCCTATACTCATGATTGAACGTCGCTGATTGACTATGAGCTAATAGGGTACGACATGTATCGACAATCCGTGTCGGATGAACTTCAACAATTCTTTGACTTCTATTGCAAGCCTGGCAGTGTCAAAGACACCAACTGGGAAACCTTAACACCCAAGGTTCGCCTTTCACTTCTCGGCTTTGAGGCAGATGGAAGTTCCGCGACGACTGTTGTTGAAAGGCATGAGCAGAGTTACCCGCTTGCAAGACAAAGGCTACGAACCGTATTCCTAGACGGAAAAACAGGAAAGCTGGTGGATACAAGGCCAGATCAGGAATCCATAAAGTCATATGAAGGAAAGAGTTTGACTGGTAGATTGGTGAGCCTTTATTGCCTCGGGAGCATACACAGGACTCACCAATTGTTAGACCTTTACAGCTACGTTTGACGTCGCAACTGAGCTGGCTGGTTACCCAAAGGTAGTGCTACACATGTCATGCCCTGATCATGATGATTTCGACGTCGTTGTGCAGATCCGCAAGATTGACAACAAAGGCCGGCAGCTCTCACATCTCAACTACCCTTGTCCTGTTGCTATTGACGAGGTACCCGATGTAAACACGGCGAAAACTTTAGGCCCGCAGGGCTTCCTTCGAGCTTCGCACAGCGTCTCTCTTAATGGAGATGGCGGGCCTGTTGTTTCCGACGATCTGTCGCGCAAGACAGACGTTTTGTACAGCCACCGCGTTCGACAGCCCATCAGTCCGGGTACAATTGTCCGCCTAGAGATCCCAATCTGGCCGGTTGGGATGGTATTTGCTGCTGGAGAGGGCATAGCACTGAACGTTTCTGGACATGATATGTGCCTGCCTGAGACTGACTTGTGTCGCTTGACAGAACCAGAGGATGAGAATGTCGGGCGGCATTATGTTCATACTGGAGGGAAGTACGACAGCCATTTGATCATTCCTGTTATAATGGGGTAGTGCAGTTAGCTTCAGTTATACAGGAGCTGCTACCACTCGATCTTGTCAATTGGGCGTTTTTTTGGGAACCCATCATCTACAACGCTCAATAGGATGAGAGTATCCGTGCAGTTCATAATGTTCACATTTCTTCCTCACTACCAAGGCAAGCCTCAGAAAGCAACGAAAAAAGAAGCCTGTCAGACGTCCATCAATGCCCGCCCCAAAAGCGCGCCCGAAGGCGGACCGCTCTTAGGGCCGAGATCATCAAGAGTAACATCTCTCTATACAGCGGCCACTCAAAGAGCAACCACCGCCATCCTTGCGGACAGATCGAGAGGACCAAAAGGGGTATTCACTCTGGGGCATCGAGGATATTCATTCATCAACCAGGGTGGGATCTGTGGCTCTTTTAGGGAACCAAGAGAAGGTCGAATACTATAGAAATGATTCTCTGAAGTATTGTCGACATGAAGAAGAAAAGAAGAAAAGTCCAAATGGTCGGCGACAGAGCAGACTTTTATAGAGGTGCTGTGGGGGACTCATACCCGCATAACCGGCTATGCGTTTAGTATCACGTGTTTTTCGCATAACCGGTTATGCAGATAAGGCCACGTAAGCTTCTTTGGTCAAATCTGCATAACTGGGGGACTATTAGTTAATTTATCTTCCTATTATATTTATATTACTAATAAAGTAATTACCGACTTTCTGCTTTATAATTAAACTTTATCTATATAATTAGTATTTAAATAAGTAATATTAAGCTCTTAGTCCTTTCTGTTGCCGATGAATTAGTAAGATAGTAGCCTAATGATGTTCTTCCCCTAGAGGTATTATATTTATTATAAGAAGCCCTTCTTATAGATATTAATAAGTAGGTAAAGGCTTAAGGATATGCCTTTATAATAAGGCGTATAATATATATGGTAAATAGAAGACTATATATATACTTTAGCTGTAACTATAGCAGAGGTAAATATATACTAATTCCTGATTCTAAGAGGAAGAGGAAGTATACTACTTAATATATAGGGTGTAAGTTCTCTGTAATAGGAAAAGAGAGCCTTTATAAGAGTAAATAGAGTTTTTAATATTATCTTAATCCCTCTTACTCTTATTATAATTATAAGCCTATTATTAGAAGTGGTATTATATATATAACTTACTAAAAGCTCTCTAATAAAGATATCCTTATGGTTAAAAAGCTTACTCTTGCTAGTGTTAAATAATACTAAATTAAGACCTACCTATTGCAGAATATAGAGGTATTATTTATTAACTTAGATCTTATAAATTATATTTCTTAAGTAAAGCAAGACCTTACTAATAGATAGAGCTATATAATTACTTTGCTTTAATATCTTAATTTATAGGGCTTTTAGAGTTATTATCTTATTAGAAAGGATTCTTAACTATAGTTAGTTATGTTTATTTATCTAGAATTACTCTAATTTGCTAGGTTATACCCTAAGGTACTTATAGTTAATTATACCTATAAGACTAATAAGTATAAGATACCTCTCCTTAATATAGTTAATATTAATGCTATAGGGAGTACCTTTTATATTATATTTATATATCTTAGTGGCAAGGAAAAAGAGGACTTTGCCTAGGCTCTTAGGGTATTATAAGATTTATATAATACTAATAATATTTCTTATCCTTTAGTTATACTAACTAATTAATATCTTACTTATATAAATACTATTATATCCCTTCTCTGCTTTCTAGTATTAAAGGTTATACTCTGCCTTTGGTATATTAATAGAGTAGTCTTGACCTTCTATATAAGTGGCTTTATAAAGGGCAAGGATAATAAAGAGGGATAAGAGGCATAGAAGGAATTCTATAATAGTTAGTATATGCTTATAGCCTTAAAGTCATAGGCTATATATAATAAGAGACTAAAGGTCTTTCTGCTTTAGTATACTTATTTATATCTAAAGGAGGTAGATTACCTT